TTCGCAGTTTATATTGATTGTGGCCACAAACAAAATCAATAGTTTAAACACAGAGCCTTGTTTCCTTAAATTTTTTAGTGCTTTATAACTCACATATATATATATATATATATATTTAATATATATTGTTGAGGCAAATCCAAACAGTCCGATATTGTGTAATATAAAAATCTGTATTTTAATGTGATACAAAATGAATGCAAAATTCAAACTGTAAACGAATAAACGATTTTTAAATAGCACACGCCCCGCTGATTGATGAATACACTTGTAAGTCCCACACACAGATACACACACACACACAAGCATAATCACCCAACCAGTCTGGCAATCTGTCAGCAGTCAACCGCCAGGGGGCGCCACAGGCGCGTGAATAATAACGACAATGTTTGCTGATGCGTTGATTATTAGTTTAAATTGCCGGCCGCTCGGGGGGTTGTCTACCATTCAGGGGGGTTGATCAGCGCTCAGCGCTCAGAGCTCAACTCTTAACGCTTAATGGGATTCACTACGCCCACTTGTTTATGCAACCGACTGTGAGTTGCGATGAGGCGTGGCGCGATGACAAAAAAAAAATAGAAAACAATTGACACCTTTTCAGCTGACGACCAAAACAAAGAAGCAGCCAGCAGAAGCCGCCAACGGGGTGGGATGTGCGCTGTAGCAATTGCGATGGCATCATAACCAGCTCAAAAGCCGCACATAAAACTCACACAAATGCCACGCTGCATCGCAGCCAAAGTGCTGATAAGAAAGCGAACGCGCGACGTCTGTCCAAAGAGTCCCCTTTCCACCCTCCCCCTCACCCAACCAGCCAACCAATGCAACCCCCAGCCTCATACTGACAGCTCCAACCCGGCAGGCAAAAGTCGTGCGCTGATTGTCTGCACAGTCACACACACACACAGACATACACAAACACACAGAAGGACAGAGCGAAAGCGAATGAGAGCTCACGTCTGGCTGCCTTTTGTTGCCGCAAGGTCGTTTTTATAGTGTCCGAGAGCCAGCAAAACCAGCAATAAAGACAGCGCCCCGTTGTTTGTATTTGACCTCACCCAAAGGCCAGAGTCGAGCCACAGTCGCAGTGCAAATCACTTGTGCGAAACACTACGAAATGCTACAAAAATATTTGCCCAATGAAGTTGTCAGGCCGCCCACCAGGCGCACGTTGACAATAAGCCCCCCCAGCTCGCACAATGCGGAAAACCAGAGGGGAACTGGCTTGTCAAACGGTCCAAAGATCTGGTAATTAAGTGATAGAGCCTTAGCTATGCCCCAAGAAAATAATTAGTTAACAGCTGGTTAAGTTAAGCCTAGATGTATGCAACATTTTCTCTTCAGATATAAACTTTTTCAGGAGTTGAAAATAACACTAAGTAACTACTGTGTGTATTCATATAAGCTGTTTACGAATTCTCAACCAGTTTAGGAGAAAACAATGGCAAATCAATTATCAAAATTTAACGGGTCAACTACTTACAGGACTTGGCAGGAGTCAATAGCTATCAAAACTAGCAGGCACGCGCAGGACACGTGCGCTCACCCCAATACCAGGCACACACACACACGCACACACACCACACTCACACTTTAAGAGCTCTTTCAATTTCGTTCTGGTTCTCTCAAGTCACTTGTTTCAAGACAAACAAAAACTGCGAGTGGAACAAACGAGAAACGTGTGAAATGAAAGTTGTTTGGTTTGCTCTGTGTGCGGTTGTGTGGGGTGTGGGGTGTGGGCAGAGGTCAGGAGGGCGTGGATGAAGAGGTGACAAAAGTGGCAATGAAATTTAGTAGCCCAGAATTCTACCCGCCCCCCACACTAGAGTACAAATTTTTGTTTTATTTATTTGGAACGACGTCGCCTGGTTGCTTCTTAACCTTCTTCCATGCCCAGCTCCTTATTTTTTCTTTTTGCTGCTATTTCATTCCTGGCACACTCACATCCGTTTCGATAAAAAGAAATATTTTCTTTTTGCCATGCGTTGGTGTGTGGCACTTTTCTTTTGCCCTGCGCGCTTCATTATTACTATGAAGTAGTATATTTATATTTATTTTTTGTGCGCCCTCTTATTATTTTGCTGAAGCTGGCTCTTTAAGGTAGCCTAGACCATTGGCCATTACGCAGAGGATATTGTGGGGTCATGAATCAATTGGGCAATGTCCATTGCCCGGAAATATGGTGAACCGAAAAAGATGGCACTCCATTTGCATCTCTCTGACTTTTGAAAAGCGGTAGGGACTTGACTTGTAAGCGTTTTTCTTTCCAGCTGCCTGTGTGGCCCATAATCGCGTGTAATAAATTTTAATTTTTTAAGCATTTGTAAGCAGTTTTATCGGTCCAACAAAAGACTACATTTTTTAAGTGCCAAGCCAGCCAAAAAAAAGGATATAAGATTAAGACGCCAAGGCGAAGATGAGACATAAAAAACGCCAAGCAAATTAGCGGCACGGTCGAGGAACGCGCAACGGGATGGGAGCGAGGATAAAGACGTCTGACACGGCTGCTGCTCCTGCTCCGCAACTGCGGTTTATCACGCCCACTGCGTCAACGGATATCCGACGCATGGAAGACAAACAAAAAAGGCATTAAATCGCATTTAAGTCAGGGCGAGACGCAGAATGCGGAACGAAACCAACCACCGCCCCCTGCGACCGGCTTATACTTCATTTGCTTGGCAGCAGGCCGACAAGGATGAAGTCAGGCAAAGATACTGATGCCTTGACATTCCCACTTCAGTGTGAAGGATATGTACAGCTTATCATATGGCTTCTGGGTTGCCAAGGAGCGTGGAGCTTAAAGTAGAATCATGGAATATAAAGTCTTATAAATATCGATAATCTTAATGAATATATACATTTTCATAATTTGGTCTTCGTATTGCAGATGAACACAGACAAGACAAACAAGCAAATATACTCTCGTAGGGAGTGCCCGACTGGGAAGTTCTTTGGACCAGAGTTAAGCTGACCTGTCAAAAATTGTGCGAGTCGCCACTTCATGTTCGATATTTACCAAATATAAGAGCCTACATTCCATATTTAGTGTATCTAGCTCTTAACAGCTTTGAGATATATGAAATAAACTTAGCTGCTAATAATAAAGAATATAATAAGTATGGTCAGCAAAATGCCCAAGCAGAATAAACAACATGTTCCATTTAATTGTGTTTTCCCAATGTTGTTTTTCAATAAAAAGTTAAAACTGTATGCCAGATTCATTGTCTGGCATACTGAATTAATGAAATTGCCCATGGACGGGATTACTCTATATAAAACTTATGCCTGGCCCGTGGCTACTGCAAATGAGGCAGTCAGCAATTAAACTGAGCACTGGACAGCGGCATTCAGAGAGCAGCAAATGCATTCGCGAACAATGCCCGGATCCCTTTTTTTAGGTCCTTTTTTCCTGTAGGCGCGCGAAAAAAGTGGCAATGCCGCCCACGCAGTCAGCAGGCAGTGGGCAGTGGGCAGCGGGCAGCTGGGCGGCTGGGCGGCCGTGCACAAAGGAGCAATTAATGCAAAATTGTCGCTGCATAATTGCTGAACATGCAGCTGGAGCAGCAGCAGAGGCAACGGCAGCAGCAGCTGGACATAAAGAAGCAATTAACGGCGCACAAATGCGCTTGGCATGCATAAAAATGCTGAGCCTTCATCATTTTGTTGCAAAGAGTTGAAAAAGTGCAGCAGCAAAAGGCAAAATCAAAGTTGCTGACCATTTGCCAGGCCGGCAAACAATTGCAATTACATTAGAAAAGGCAGCAAAAGCAGCGGCAACAGCAGCGCCAACAATGGCCACAGTTTAGCCCTAGCCCTGGCAATGTGGCACCCACGTAGCGCGTTGACTTCCGTTGCATGCCAGGCACGTTGCAAATTGTCGCAACGCAGCGCATCCAAAGGAGCAGAAAAAAAAATGACTGGCAGCACACAAAAGCCACGGCCAAGCGAATTGCCAATTTAAATGTGAATAGAAAAATTGCAAGCGCCCCTCAGCGTTGCCAGAATCCTTTCACAATCGCCAATCACTTGGTTGTCCCCAATCATAACAATGGCCACGAGCCCAGACCTACCCGTTTTCTGCTGCTCACAAACTACACGCTACACCGTGACGTATTCTGCCGTGTACTAAAACTTGATCGCAATGATGCACACACTTTTAGATTCTATTTTTTATGTAACGCGCACCGTTTTTGTATCCCTTTTTGTTTAGTTAAAAATCCAAATATCTACAACACGAACGAAAACAATAAGATAGTTGGCAACAGTGCTCTTAAGAGATCTGATTGGCAATAAGTGTCGTATATCATATATCGATATATTACTTACTAGGCAGATTATCGCACTTCACTATTGAAAGGCAACCAGATCGTTAAATTTATTGGCAATAATTCTCATATTTACGCATATCGATATATTGCTAGACAGTTTATCGCACTCCACTTTTGAAAGGCAAACAGATCGTTAAATTTAAAACGTAAATAAGTAACGGAATAATTTGAAACTTCACCAGTAAGTGAATATATATAAATATATGACACCTCGTCAGGTGCTTAAACATATAATCGATACTGAGTGCCCGGTCAATGGAAACTTGTGCAGATAACTTACAGCCTGCATGGCAGCAAAATTCTGGTTATTGATGCATGAACAAAGGCAGCAAACAAAAGCTATGGATCCCAGGGCAATGGCCTAATTAAGCAGCGTCTTAAAATGACCGCTATCTGCAGCAGCAACCAATCAACCCACCGAATGCAGCCAGTGTGCAATCTGTTGACCTCTGGCCGCAATTTCGACTCAGCTGACTGACCAGTCTATAAGTAATTGCATAATGTACTTTGGGATTGAGCAGATAAACATTTTGTTGCCAGTTCAGAGCGAATGCTGAAAATATTTACGTAGGCCTACGTAGGCCAGGCGATAAGAATGGGTATAAATGCGGCTCTGAGTGAAGTCAAAAATGCAGTCGCCTTCTGGTTTGTAAGGAAGGAGCTACTAACAAGATGAACAAACTTCTCGTGCTGGTAGCCTGTGTGCTTGGCTCAGTATCCGCTGGACGCATCCTGCAACGTGACTGGCAGGGTGACATTGGCACTGGTAAGTTTCCCAGCTGGGATAAAGCGCTAAAATCCATGTGATCTCACCTTGTTTTGCAGTTGATCAGCGCATAGAGCGCATGTCTAGGCAGGACTTGCAGCGCCAAAAGTTTCTTCTGGACATTGTGCAGCGTGTTCAACAGCCATTGCAGCAGGATGATCTTATACAGCTGGACCGGGGCCTGATTGTGGAACCACAGCGCTATCGTGGTGGCATTGATGGAGAGATGCAGCGCGTCATTGATTTGGATCGTCAGCGCCGGCTGCTGGATGAGCACCAGATCTATAGCATACGTAATGTGGAGCATGTGCAGCAGCTGCGTGGCATCTATCGCCTGCTGGTGCGCGCCCTCGATTTTGAGACACTGCAGCGCAATGTCATCTATCTGAGGCGGAACATCAATCCCGTGCTGTTGATCAATGCCCTAACTTTGGCCATCCGCGATCGCGAGGACACCCAAATCTTGATCATGCCCGCCGTTCAGGAGATATTGCCCGAACTTTATCTCGACCAGCAGACGATTGAGCAAGTTCAGCGTATGCAATCCGAGGTGGAGGGTAGCCCACGACCCTCTCTAATGGATCTGGTAGGCCTAGGCCAACGTATGCGTCAGGTGAATCCTGTGATGCGGATGGTTATGCCTTGGCGGGATCTGCACATGCAAATGGCGCTGAGAAGGCAAGAGATGCTGCAACGTCAGATTCAGAATCGTGTAGTGTTGCCCATTCAAACCTTGCAAGGGGACCAGGACATTTCGCTACTGACTGAGGATATTGGCTTGCGCAACTTCATGCAGAATCTAATCCAAGAGCTGGCCCTGCTTGAGGACACCACGAATGCCCGTCAGATGCTCGACATGGAAAATGATAACGACATGGTAAGGCAGATGGAGGTGGAGCAGCGTCGTCAAGGTAACTCCGACATCAACAACGATCGTGTGCTGGGTGTCAACCGTCGCCGTATGCAGCAACAGCAGAACGAAGATGACAACGAGAGCGAGATCCAGCGTGAGCGTGTTATGGTCCGTGACGATGAGGACGATGAAGAGGTTCCGTTCGGAAGTCAACTGCCTGGCAGCCGTGTGCCTCTGCTGCGTGGCATAGGACAGGGTATTAGACGAATGTTGGGTGGCATCCGGGAAGATCGAGTGGGCCAAGAACATGGCATGCGCGGAATCCTCAAGGAGGATAGCGAACAACAGCTTACCGACAACCTGCCAACCGTTGAACGTGATGACGAACGCCTGGTGCACATCAACAGACGTCGACTGGGTCAACCCATGGATAACATGACACCGCGTCGTATTAATCCAATTGGAGAAGGTCGTCGCGTGGGTGACATGGACATCATAAAGGATGATGACATTGTGCAGCTGATTCGCAAGGATAATCGTCTGCGTCAGCTTAGTGATGAAGAGCTCGTCGAGATGCTGGGTCGTAATCGCCAACGCAAAGAACAAACACAACATGGTAAGATCTGGAATAGTCAAAGTGATCTCAGCCAGGACGAAGACTTGAACCGTGGTAACGAGAACCTGCAAACCGTTTCACGTAATGACGAGCGCCTGGTGCACATCAACAGACGTCGCTTGGGTCAACCCATTGATAACATGACTCCGCGTCGTATTAATCCAATTGGAGAGGGTCGTCGCGTGGGTGACATGGACATCATAAAGGATGATGACATTGTGCAGCTGATCCGCAAGGATAATCGTCTGCGTCAGCTTAGTGATGAAGAGCTCGTCGAGATGCTGGGTCGTAATCGCCAACGCAAAGAACAAACACAACATGGTAAGATCTGGAATAGTCAAAGTGATCTCAGCCAGGACGAAGACTTGAACCGTGGTAACGAGAACCTGCAAACCGTTTCACGTAATGACGAGCGCCTGGTGCACATCAACAGACGTCGCTTGGGTCAACCTATGGATATCATGACTCCGCGTCGTATTAATCCAATTGGAGAGGGTCGTCGCGTAGGCGACATGGATACCATGAAGGATGAGGACATTGTGCAGCTGATACGCAAGGATAATCGTCTGCGTCAGCTTAGTGATGAAGAGCTCGTCGAGATGGTACGTCGCAATCGCCAGCGCAAGGAGCAAACAGAGAAGGAACGCTTTATGGGCGTAGTACGTGACGACCGACTGAGCGAGGGACGCCGTTTAAGCCAGGTTCAACTGGAACAGGATCAGATCAGCAATAGTCTGCGCGATTTCAGCCGGGACGAAGACTGGCACCGTGGTACCGACAACCTGCAAACCATACGTCGCGATGATGAGCGATTGGTGCATATTAATAGAAGACGTCTTGGTCAGCCCATGGAGAACATGACTCCTCGTCGCATTAGTCCTATTGGAGAGGGTCGCCGCGTGGACGGCGAAGACACCATGAAGGTTGAGGATATTATGCAGCTGATCCGCCGCGACAATCGTCTAGTTCATCTCAGCGATGATGAGATCATCGAGATGCTGCGTCGCAATCGCCAGCGCAAGGAGCAGGAAAAACAACAGAACGAAGAGCACACAACTGTGGAGCAGGGACACCGCTACCGACGCAGCTTGGTCAACCCCATGGTGGAGCAAACGACCCGTCGCAGTGAAATGATATTGCACACTTTTCGCCAGCTGTTGGCACGCTTGAACCAGGAGCGCATTGCTGGACGACTAGGCAATGACGAGATGAAGCTAATCGACAATTCCCGTTTGATCATGCTTAACCAAGATCAGACTCAACGTTATGCAGTGCGCCTGAACGAGATGCGCTTAGACTCACGTCGCAACCGGGTGCTGATTGAGCAAATCAATGCCATCGAGGGCCGTTTGCAGCAGGTGATTGGTCATGTGGTCCGCGAGATGAGCAATGGCAACATCGGCGTTAACCGTGTGACAGGATCTGGAGTGGAGCAGATTGATGAGCAGCTTCGCATTGAGGGTCTGATTGGTGATGTCCTAATGGGACGCCTGGGTAATATTGGTATTTTGCGCATCCTGCGTGAGCTGCTCCAAGATGCCAACGTTCAGCTGGATCGTTCCGGGCTGGGAGTCAGCATGGGTGACCGCCTGTTGCAGCACACCCTCCGCAGAATCATAAGCATTGTGGATGATCTTCGCGAGCAGCAGCTCGGCGTCTATAGGCGCGAGCAGCTGGACATGCGGGATGTGACCATTAACGCTGTGCGCGTCGGCAAACTGCGCACCCGCATCGAAGACAGCGACATGGACGTGAGCAGCCTGCTGGAGCAGCCGCAACAAATGCAAATGATGGTGCGCCAGCGCCGCCTGAACAACAAGCCCTTTACCATTGACATGGACATGAGCTCAGAGCGCCCACAGGATGTCATCGTGCGTCTCTTTCTGGGACCACGTCAGGATGCCACGGGCCGTGAAGTGAACTTGGAGCAGCGCCGCTCAGACTTTGTGCTTCTGGATGCAATCAACACTCAACTACAGTCGGGCCGCAATCGCATTCAATATCTCTCCACGAACATTGCCTGGACTACCCGCGATGCCACGCCCTACAGCGAGATTTATCGTCGTGTGATGACCACACTGCGTGGCCAGCAGGATGCGATGATGGTGAACGACCTGGTTGGCGAGAATGGACGCTTTCCTCAGCGCTTGCTGCTGCCACGCGGTCGTCCCGAGGGCCTACCCATGCAGCTGCTTGTGATTGTCTCGCCCATGGAGCGCCTGGGCCGAGAGCAACTGATGCGAATGGAGCGCATTGATGGCGTTATGGGCATGAGCATGGCTTCCATAATGGACAGCCGTCCGCTGGGTTTCCCGCTCGACCGACGCATTAACAATGAGCAGGAGCTGTTGCAACTGCCCAACGTACAACTGGAGGACGTTATGATCATTCACGAGAACTGAAGACGAGACCGCATATTAACCCTTTACCCGACCGACTGACCGATCGATTGACCCCAAATCATGCGCATTCTGATATATCCGAAATGTAATAGTTAAATTTCATATTTTCTGTAATCCCTAAATAAAGCTATGCAAGTGATGCATAAGTGCATTGAACAAAAAAACTTGTTGAATTTCTAACAATACAGTCACACGGGCGAAAAATCATTTGTGATCGATGACGGAACTTTTTACTTATCGATAGCCTAAGTTAATGATCGATAACCAAATGAATGCCAGCTTCCATTCGCTATGCAAATTTGCACCTGACTGAATTTTCTAATTTCGAAAAACCGATTTGATGCAAATTGCATGATAGTCCTGGGAAGGATGACAGGGATTAGGGCACCCCAACAAAAGCCGCCCACAAAAGCAGTTTCATATTATGTTCGAGGCAGACAATGCAACGGCAAAATAGCTGGCAGGCAGCTTTTCCCGACACTATAATAGACTTTTCTTATTCTTGCCACACAACTCAATTTGCAACAATCTCCCTCCCACAGCTATGTAAATACATATACACGTATATCTGTGCTGTCGCAGACGCCCAGCGAAGCGTCAATTGCCAAATTAATTGGCCGTAAAAAATTGAAAATGAAAATATAATCACACTTTCCGTTGTGAAGCTGTCGGGCTCGCTGTCACTGGCTCAGAGAGCTCGAAACGATTTCAGCCTCGGATTTAACCCTCAGCTCCAGAACAGTTTTCCCATCAAGGCAGACACTGGCTGCGTTGGCCAACCATAGAACAGCAGACATTTCGCTGCAGGCAGTCAAATGTTGCATTTTTCCAGAATGCCTCCTCCCATCACAATCCTGGAATATTGATACCCTTTCCGTGAATGTGAAGAATAGGCGACAACTGACATACTTTGGCTAAGGCTTATCAAAGTTTTTAAAATATCAGCATGTAAAGGCAGTTAATATAAAATTAATTTAACATATTTCCGACTGACCGTAGAGTCCTATAAGTATACTATAGAGTATTATATGATCGTATTTGAATTATTTAAATTGGTTTTTGTGCTGGCAAAGAATGTGGCACATCGGATAATGGAAAAATGTTGGCACTCGACCTGTCTCTGACTTTTGCCACCTGAATGCACTTTCATTATCTTCGAGTGTCTCCTTTTTTTCTCTCTCCTTTTTTCGATGGTCTGATGAGCTGATTTAGGGGCAAAAAACTTTGGTATTACACGGCCTATTAGCTGCCGCTTAATGCAAAAATAATTATGTCTCGTTAATCAGTGCTGCAAAAACTTTGAGTTCTGAGAGACTTTCGCTAACTCTGCTTAACCCTTTTGGCTCCCAGTGCTGCAGCACGCCAAACTTTCCTCGAGTGGCAATTGAAGGTAGCGAAACGCAAGCCCGAAAACTTTTGTGATTAGCGGCCGCGCGACGCAGATAGCGTGGAGCAGCTGATGCGGAAAGCGCTCGCATAATTTATGTTGTGCGGCTTGCACTCAGCTAACTCAGAAAGGCCGGAAATGGCGTCGCGCGCAGTTTGTGGCGCCTCCGTATGCTGCAGTGCGCATCCAACTGGCAAATGCCATGGCAAATATTTCTGGGCGCCAAACGAAAAGTTTTTGCCACGCAAATTAGCGCCCACATTTGTTTCGCTGCCACATGCTGCATGCCGCACTCCTTAGAGTCCGACAGCGCAAAAGTTTTTCAGTTATGAATATAAAGTTTATTTATTAAGCAAACAAGTTGGCGTTCTTATCTGTGTCGAGTGTGTTTCTTTTCTATTTTAACATTTAGTTGGCAAACAATTTCGCAGTTCAGTTGAAACAATTTTCGCAAAAAGGTGAAGGGAGGCAAAATAATTTCATGAATAGCTATGAAAATTAATTGGCCAAAAGCGCCAAAGCTCTTTGAATGTTTACAATTAAAAAAACATATTTTAATTATTTTCGATTCGAAAACAGATTTTGAATAGGAGATCCAAGAAAAATGATAGGAAATAGTTATATTCTATATTAAAACTTGCCAGGGCTGCCAAACATATTTGAGTCGAACCGGTTCAAAATGGAGTTTTCTCTATACTATGAATTGAAGCTTAAATTTAAGTTTTGATTTAAAAGTTAAAACAAATTCACGGCGACCCAGCCCGCAAAGTATAAATAACTTTGGGCCCAATTATTGCATTAACCACATTTGGTAAATGCCACGTTTTGGGTATAGGTCAAATTTAGCCCGCATCGTGTATGTGAAAATAAGTATGACTTACAATATTTTCAGTACAGCGGGCAATTTAAAATTAACAAAAACTAGTTGTGTTTATATAGTTTTGAAAATATGACAAACAAAGGTTTGAACCAGTAGCGAAAGGCAGGAAATTGATTTAAACTGCGAACATTTTCTCGGGTTGGCAACCCTGGCACTTGCAAATGAGCTTGATTAAGCCCTAGAAAACTAAGTAGCCCATCAAAAATCGAAAAATCGTAATAAAAGCGACATTAGTGCATTGCCTCCGTGAAGAAATCAATGAAGAAAGTTTAGTTTCTACCTTTTGTGTAGACGTGTGGAAAATATTGAACTAAGGAGGCGTGAGTTGCCTTCAAATCAACGCAATGCCACCCAAAAGAAAAAAAGAAGATACACCCTTGTCGCCCCTTTCCCACCTAATACCCAGTCAAAATGTACAATAGGAATTTTTGCATGCACTGTTGTAATGGGAAGGGCTTGAGCTGCGCGTGGTTGGGGTTCAGGTTGGGTTTGTGTTTGGGGCTATCAAGTTGAGCAGAAAACTTCTTGCCATTCATATTCGTACATGAATACACACTCGTGCGAGTGAGTGTGTGAATATACAATGTAGAAAAATGCTAACAAACGGAAATGTGATATACGCGACGCAGCCGAAATACAAAGGCTAATGGGGTGAGGCGCTGGGCGGGATGTGGGCGGGATGTGGCCCGAAGTGGGGGACTAGGAATCGAACCAATTGCTTACAAGCTATTCAAAATTTTAGGTGTGTAGGTGATAATGCTATATGGCAATCGTCACTGTCGTCTATTCAATTTGCAGCGAATTAAAAAAAATAAGTAAATGTCTAAAAAACATGAGACTGAATGCAATTGCTCGACTACAAAGTACCCTGCACTGAATGCATTTTCACTTTAATAAAATTTGTAGAGTAAAAAGACTCTTTAAGCAAACATACCCGGACTGCCTCTGTATGCTTCTTAGGGAGTTCCTTACATCCTACACGCCGGTTACAGCCGTTTCGCGTCTTTTTGATTACAGGGTAATCGGAGTTGTGGAAAGTACATAGAAATCTGTGTGGCGCATTGTCAAAAGGCTTTTCTGCTATTGTAAAGATGGAACCGCAAGCAGCCCTTGTCCAGGTCTCCCCGGCCAGGAGCACAGCTGACACGCTTTGGCGCATCGCTAGATAAGAAAGAAAGAGGAACCTCTTAAGGCAACGCTTGAAGTGGGATTAAAAGCAAGGCAGCCCGCCCACCGTAAGCAGCTGAAGGGAATTACGGAAATGTGCACAGGAAGGGATGCCTGACGCAGGTAAGGCGGGTCGCCCAAACTACTTACTACTGGCAACGGGAATGTATCACTAAACTAATAGTTAACAAATATTTTCAATTACAGTTGCTGTCACAGCAAAATCAATCAATTTCTGCAGCCACAGACACGACAGCCAAAGCAATTGCATTTAATTTTCCAATATGTTGTGGGAAGGCAGCTTTGGCTGATATAAATTTTGTAACGCAAATTGATTTTGTGGCCACAGAGATTACACAGCGAATGCATTTTGCATTTCCCATTTAACGAGTATTTTACTCCAATTTGACTTTTCCAACATTTTGTCAACTAATGAGGCGGCAAATGTTTTAAATTATTTTGCTGCGCTTGCTGAATGCATTGTAATTAGAATAAATGTGCTTTCAGCTAGGCCACACACTTCATAGAAACCAGTCCATCGAACTATGGGATAGAATCGCATTTGTCGCGGCTTATTTGCTATTCACACCACAAACAAAGTAAACAAAGCGCCCAGTTCCCAGTTCCCAGTCGCAAAGGACAACCCTCCCGGCAAACCCTCAAGTGGCAAGTGGCGAGTGGCGAGTGCGAAAAGCAATAAAACGTTAAGCATACACCAAAACACACACAGACACACGCACACACATACAAGATATACAATGCCGCAGTAAATTTGTTGCAAATCAAAATAAATTCCTACCAGAGCCAAGAAAAAAACGAATCATAACAAGAAAATATCCGAGTGTACAAAAAGCCAAAGTCTGTATACACTATAAGAAATGTTTCACTTATTAAATAATAAATACAAATTATTTTGTTTTCATGGTTTAGGAAACATATTTTAAGCAATTGCAAAGATTAAAGAACTTTTAATAAAAAAGAGGAATTTAAATTAAAAATTAAGTTTTTAACTGTTCGGATCTCTTATGAGCACACACAATCATAAAAATGGAATATTAAAATGATGTGAATAAAAAGCTGTTTTCAAATTTTCAAAATATATTTCTGCAAAGCAAGCTACACAAACCGAACCCAACTGCAGGAGCATCATTTTTCATGGCCTGATAGTCAGGATAGTCAATATAGATTTAAACCGAAGTTCGACTAAAATGCCTTTTAAAGTCTACTATGCCTTCTACAATTTACAGAGTACAATGATGCATAAAAAGCGAAGGCACTGACAAGAATCCCTCAACACCCGAATCAGTTTCCCTTGCGCCCAAAAATAAAAAAGGACCATGTGAAATTGTCATTCACAGCCTTTTCTATGAGTACTCGTCCATGGCATTCCATAACAATTTATGCAATCAGTTGGACAATGCGTACGCCAAAGGAAACTGGCGGATTTACAGCCACCCCGAGTGCCCGAGCACCCGAACGAACCGCTACTTAATCCTTTTGAATATTTTTGACACGTGCGCTGCAATTATTTTATTACCCCCGCGAGTGCACTGCACACAAGAAAGAATAAACACACACACACGCACACACTCGCACACACACACGGGGAACAACAATGCAGCAGGGCAACGTGCAACCAGGCACGCCCACTCAATAGATGAACACAAGGGCGGACATTTTTTTGGAAGAGCACAATGGGCCGGCAATTGATGCAATTCATTCAAATTGTTGGCGACTGTTTAGACTAAAATTGCATTAGTCTCTGAGGCTTTTGTTGCTGTTTTTGTTCTTGTTTTTGTTGCTGGCTCTGGCTCTGACTCTGGCTGGACCAGCACAAACAATTGCCAATCATTTTCGCGGTTGCATTGAAATTCAAGCGGCGCAAATTGTGAGCATGGATTTTTTAAATATGAACAGCTCCCACTTTGAGTCCATTCCCGCCCCAATTATGTTCGTTTTGCATTATCACAGACGCACTCACACACACATACTCAATATAGGTACATATATTTTAATAATGATGCCATTTGTTTGGCCATAGAATTGTGTTGGCAATAAAATTTGGCTTTGCCACATAATTCAAATGGTTAATCGCGTTTAATGGCGGCATTTATCAATATTTTTGAAAGAGAAAAACCGCATGCAAATGCCAGCAGGAAAATGGGAATGCGAGAGCAACCCCAGAGCCCCCCCCCCCCCCCCCCCCCCCTCCCCAAGCCACCCCGCACCAGCAGTCATAGCATTTAGTTGCTTGCCATCCAATGACAATGTGTTGACAATGCGAAAACAAAAATGGCGTCTAATATGGCGACAAAATGTGGGGCGGAAATAAAAGCGCAGCGGTCAGCGGTTGCATTGGAGCCAACACCCTCCCACCCACCCCTTTCCTCCTAGTCTAGCAACCCACGGCACCGCCCTTAGTTATGAAGTTTGCCGAGCAGTTCCCCATCACGCTTTTAATGCGCACCATTGTGTCAAGATAAAGCAACGGAAATTAGCACGATAGCAGGAAGTTGGCAGCGTCGTTGGCGTTGTTCTTGACGACGAGGACGAGGACGACGCCGACGCCGACGAAGACGAAGACGAAGGCGATAAAAAAAGAAGCAAATGCCAAACGGCAGAGACAACAGAGCGAGTTGAGCGACAGCCGCACCAAAGGACCAAAAGGACATCCACAGTTTGTCGACAACGGGCAGCCGGGGCCAGCCACAAATAATAATGAAAACGGAAATGAAATACAATACCCAGGAATGCCACAAGAGATGCTGAATAGCAGCTACGATGTTGGGTCCAATGCCAATGGGCACTTTAGAGCCTTGGTTTCCCTTATTGCCCATCTGGATGCCAGCACTAGGCTTACGTTTAACATTTCTGGTCACTTTTGTAGCGCAAGCAGGACTATAGACTAATTATATCGGAATCTTTCTATATGCCTACACATATTAAGTCTTAAGATTTAGCTAAACACGCCACGTACTAACCTAGTATTTAATATTAATATGTATAAATACAGCTGGTCTTATGATTTGTCCATAAAGTATCTGCTGGAGCCGAAAAACCCTAAGCTGTCACCTTAGTTACAATCAGAAATTAATAAGCCAGAAAATGAGCAACAACTTTTCGCATTTTGATTCTTGGCGCCGCGGCAAGGGCAACATTTGTTCATTGCGAGCTGAAACTGGAACTGGAGCGGGAGCGGGAGCTGGTATATTCTTTTCATAAACCGCACACAAATTAGACGCATACAAAAAAGGCGAAAAATGAACGCTGATTGTCGTCTATTCTTGTCAAGTTTTGGACCGGTGGCGTCTGAGTAGGTGGAAGGAGGTGGCGACAGGACGGGGGCTGAGGATTCGGCATGTGGCACGCAAAGTCAATTAGGCAAAGCGACGACGGCAAACAAAACTGAAAACAATTCGCTTTTAAATTTGCGCATTCTTAGAAAATTTGCGCGACAAAGTGTGGTTGAGGTGCGGGAGAACTGCCGTAAAATACGTGCATATTATTGCGCTTATCTAGCAGCAGACACGCCCGGGCCAAATGCCCATTCCGCCCGAGCCCATCTGCGATGTACTACGATGTACTACGGTACCCTTCTCGATGAAGGCCTCTTCAAGTTGATTTCGCTTTTCTTTCTGCCAAGAACTGAGCTTCCATGTTTCAATACTGTTCTAGTTGTTGTTTTTGTTGTATTGTGCATTTGTTTTTATGCGTGTGGATCGCACCACAGCCAACCCACCCCCCCGCCTGCCGCTGCCCACCCCTGCCGTCTGTCCTAAGCAACACATCCTTCCTTAAACGTTTCTTGTCTGCCAAATGTTTCTATGGGCAATACGATTGCAGAGCCTGTGTGTGTGTGGTTTGTGTGAGGGTGTATGTGTGTGTGTGTGTGTGCGGTTTTATGTGTGCATTGTATTGCTGGCATAATAGACACATTTAATTTTACTATTATGCCTTTTTGTTGTCATCACATTCGCATAAGCATAATAAACCGTTTCGTTTTCAAGTTTTCCTTTGGGGACTGCTCCGTTTGCCTATTTGCCAGTCATTTTATTTGATTTCCACTTGAAGGAGAGAAAGAGAAAACAAGTAGCGTAATATTCTAAAGAAATTAGAGGTGCATAAAGTGGTAGACAAAAACACTAGTGAAAACTCATGAAACTTATTTAGATTGATGTCCTTTTAGCGTCAAATTAAAATTCAGCCCCTTATTTGTATCATTAGAAGCTCCCCACTCATTAGATGTTCGAGCATTTACTGAATTAGCAAGCATTTTGCATGAATTTGTGCAGAATAGAATAGTTTTTATTGCTCGATGAGACCATTCCACACACAACATTAACAAAGGGTTTTTTTGATTTCTGATAAACTATGCATATATAATCAAAGCCACGTTCGACACTTAACGATAGTCATTAAAAAATTAGTCATTTGGCTTCAAACTCTAATGAAGAAATGTTTAAATGTGTGCCTTAGCTTTATAAAAAGAAGATGGCGCTGCTTTATTTTTGTAAGCGAACAATAGATGGCGCTTGCAACTCACAAGCAGGCCACTTTGATATCTTTTGTATCGATACTCTTGATAATTTTAAGTTGAAATTTTAAAAAATGCATGAATTGTTAGTTGTTTCCAACTGCAGCAGGTTATAAATTAATAATCGGTGTAAGTCCCAGTTTTAATCATAAACTTATGGCACACGCGATAACGAAAATAGATAAGTCTTTAGTATAAAAGCAGCTACCGATGTTTGCGATTTTCAATAGTTGTCTCGAAGAACTACAAGATGTACAAGGTTGCCTGCTTGCTAGTTGTTGGTCTTATTGCCGTGGTTTTCGGCGTTCCTTCCACAAATGGTAAGAACTTACATTGCTCTCAGGTGAATGAACCTCAGAACCTAATCCTCTATACCTTAGATGCTGAACACGTGTGGGTGGCAGGAAATCTGTCGTATCCATTGCCCAGCAATGTTGTGCTTGGAGGATTCGATCCTTATGGCTACAACACGTACGTCGGCCGAGTTACTTATGCCACCAACGTTTTGCCCGCCCGAGTCGTGGCTGAAACGGGCGTTGCCCATTTCAATACGGACACCATAAGCAATAAGGGCGTGACCTATCAGCTATTGACTACCCGGCCGAATGTAGATTTCGAGTGGGTGCGCAGCTTCGATGGCTACTACGAGAGAGACGCCGTCGCCGTGGGCACTACCCATTGGAATGAACGTGTCTATATTTGCCGTGCCAAGGCCGATGGCGGTTTGCTAATTGGCACACTATTCCTATCAAAAAAGAATTGCATTATCAAGAACGACGACTTGCCTTTGCGTCAATTCGACAAATACGAGACGCTCGTAGCTAAGTATAAGAACAGCACTTCCGTTTACTAAGCCTTAAATAAATTAGACCTAATTAAAAATATAGTACATCAATTCAACAGTATTTAAAAATTATCCATTGATTTTTTTTAAAGGAGTTTTTTTCAGGGAAATATTGATAAGATTCTATTATTAGCTATTCTATTAGCTTTTTCTAATTATTGCCCATCATTGACCAACCTCAGTATTATGTGGCTAATTGCCACTTCAATTTATTACATTAGTAGCGCGATAAGAAAATGCCTTATCGGAGGTTCTTAGTAATTTTCAGCATTATCAATGATTTTGAGCTTAATAAATTACTAAGTTCAGGGGAACCCCAAACTCATGTCTTAAACTGAATAATCTCTATTTATACTTTCAAATGTTAATGCCTTCAAACTAAACCACCTTCGAGCAATAAGCCTATACCAAATATTCCCCGAATTAGCTGCTACGCTCGATTAGTTTTTATTTAGAGAAATTCATAACCACAAAAACAGTTTAAAAGTGCTGCCACAACCGCGTTGCATAGCTTTGTCAAGCTTTCGATAACTGAAAGTTCCGATAGCGACGATTTTTGTTATCGATAGTTTTTTCTTGTTCAAATTCAAAATGCAATAAGTTGAGCACACAATTAAATCAGTATTAGCTGGGGAATCAATCATTCTTTATTTTGTTTGTTATTGATTTAAAATATATTCATATTAAATGAATCTCTTTGCCAAGTAAGAATCATTTAGCTTAAGTCCTGCGAGTTCTGATGGTAGATAACCACGTCTGAGAGTACGCTGGCAAGTATAGGAGCAGTCCACTCTGCAGCCCAGCCAGCCCATTCACAGTCAGCGCTTATCTCAGTGCCATTCCATTGAAGCACTTGGACAAGCAGTTGTAGTTCTAGACCCTCGGCGGTGCCACGAGGCAGCAGAAGATGCTTAGGAAATGAACAGGGATTGGGACCAGCGAACGGTGCCTTGGCTTCATAGAGCTCGCTAAGCGTGTGTGCATTCGAAGCTGTGGGGAATTGACGCTCTACTAAATTTTCACCACTTACCAACTCACTAACAAAACTGTCCAGCAGCAGTCGAGGCTGATCTCTGCCAGGTGACACCAGATAACTGCGAATCACTGCAAGCATCTTATAAGGAACGGACAGCTCGTAGGTGATATTAAATGCTTTATGGTTTAAGCGAAAATGACGGGCCACAAGACGTCGTCGCAGCAACTGCAGATTGTTGCGCTGTGTCTGAAGCAGCTGCTGGTCCATTAGATTAATCAGATCGGTGTCTATGAGCTCCTCATAGGTTTCCAAGTGACCCACTCGGATTTGGCTTAACTGCAGTAGCTGCTGGTCCTGCGATGGCGCCTGCGGCGGAGGCTCATATTGCGCAATAAGTTGAGCCACTTGGAGAAGCAGCGACCGGTATATGGGATCCCTCAGGTTGGACGTGGTCATGCCCAGTAGATTGGGCTCCACACGATTGCCGTTGATGGCCAGACTGAGATGTCTACATAGCGGCCAGTACTGTACTGCAATCACTTCACCCACTGCTGCCATTGTCTGAATTTCTTGATTTTTTTCCAGCTGCTTATCAATGCGACCTTGCAGCTCTTCAATAGACTGGCTTATCAATTGCCGCACGTCTTCAGCATTGAGCGCTGTCGCCTTGTAGGGTACACCTCCCGTTGTCATCAATGTGGGCTTAACCAGCTCCATCGATCTGGTGCCCGTTGCCAGCTCCTCCAGTTGCAGCAATGCGACAAATTGCTTTATGTTGTGCATCAGTAACTGCCCGTTTTCTGGCTTGCGTTGAATCTCTAATTGTTGTCGATATGTCCATTCATCTTGAGCATTACGGAACGGCATCATGCGATCGCCGTCTATTATAGCAGGTGCAAAGTCTTCCTTATCTTTCGTGGCAATAATCAGGCGACTTATGAGCCTGCTCCAATAGCCATTTAATGCTACATCCAAGCTCAGCTGCATCCCAGTGGAATTCACTTCTATGACAATCGGATCGGCGGGCATTAGCTCGAGCACCGGCGGCGGCCTCAATATCCTTGGATACACAATGCTGCCCAGTGTCTCTCTCCAGCTGCGCTTTGGGATAACTGGAGCCAACTGCTGCCAATTAACAAACTGTGCTTCTCGTATCAGCTCCTTGTCGAAGTATAGCTGCGGCAGTACCTCATGCATGGCCGGCATCATAAGATCCTTTGTGTCCTCCCGTACGCCAATCGCCAACTGCAGCGCATGCACAAAGAGCACGGGATTAAAGTGGCTGCGTGCATAGCAGGCATTGCTTTGAAAGATCTTCCAGTCTTTGGCTAGCACTAGAAAGCGATAGACGTCTAGCAGCTGCTGTGGCAGCTCCTCCTGCAACAGGCTGTAGATGCTATACGGACGCAATATGCGGTTCTGATGGACGCGCTCAAAAAAATCCCGCAACAGCGGCCAGCTTCCCTATAAAGCACAATTTATTGAAAGCTCAAAGCAGTTAAAAATGCGCATCTACTTACCGCTTTGTAGTCATTGGGATTCTCGTTAAGCTCACGGCCCAGGTCCGTGAGCTCCTGTTGGAGCAGAGGCTTGTGCACCTGCAGCAACAAATCAAGCAAGAAACGCTGACGAAGTTCCCATATCGTGGGTCTCTCTACACCACGATCTGGATGAGGTTCGCCCAACCACCAGCGCGAACGCAAGCTCCAGCCATTGACAGAAACTCCAGCACAATAGGATAAGCTGAGAAGAACACAGATCGTTAATGTTATTTGCTGCATTGCGAATGAAGCTGCTCTTAAAAGATGCAGCTTATTTATTTCATATTTCTTATAATTTATAATGCCAATGGCTGATCCTTATCGCAAGTATGTATATATGCATATATGAGAACAGCATTTGCATTGTTTCGGTCTGCAACTCGCATCACAGTTCATATACCCTGTAACAATAGCACTTGGTAGGTAAGCCGGAAAAGCTTGTTTTTGAACAACAATTCCTCGACGATTTGTCCAGCGAGAATCCGTGATTGTATCTGTACCCTATATTTACAATGATAAAAGTCTAACTAAATATTTTAACCGTACATTTGTGGAACTTAACTGTCTTTGAACTAAATTTAAAGAATATAAATTTAATAAATTCGTTTTTAATTTTTCAACAATAATAAAAATACAATCCCAAAGAAAAACATGCGCAAAAATAGCATCCCATTAAAAACCGAACTTCGGTTTTATATAATTATATCTTTTAGCTTAGTTTCTTAGTCTTTAGAGCTATGCCAAGGTGGCCCGTTTGGCTACAAACTCCCTGGAGCTCTTCTCCTTGTTCGTAAAGCGTGCGTATCTGTAAAAACAGAAAATATATATAGTATTTTTATATACATATATTTATGAGTTGAGCTCACGTTTTCTTATATTTGGATACATCGGTGGCGCTGAGCGATGGGCGGGTCGTCTGATAAGATTCGACGAGATGTTTTTGCTTCACTAAAATTTTCTTTGGCAGCTTCTGTCGGTTAATGGAAAAACATTGATTAAATTTGCTTAAATAGAATCGGACGTAATTTATTGATGAGTATTTCTGATTGATGGATCGATGGATGTAAATGGTAAAGCCATGCCTAACATTAGTTAAACTTATATGTATATTGATATCTAAGCGGTAAAGTCTCTCGGAATGTTTCAGTTTCAGAGCCGTCCTCCTCATCGCTCGAGGATGGCGGCGTCTCCAGCATTGGCATCGATAGATCCAAGTACGCATCGTTCGGATTGCTGCTAGCCTGCTGCAATATGCCATCAAAACTCTCCACAAGCTCCGCAAATGTGGGCCTCGCACACGACTCAAAGTGCCAGCACTGACGCATCACCACATAAATGTTGAGTGAGCATTTTGGCGGCTTCTCCATACGCTGGCCAGTTATTAGATAACTGTATAGCTCCTCGGCGGACATAATATTTGGATAGGGCTGTTCACCGTATGTCATTATCTCCCATAGGAGCACGCCATAGCTCCAGACATCGCTCTGTGAATCGTAGAACTTCTCCTGCAGCGACTCTGGTGCCATCCATTTGATGGGCAGTCGTCCATTTGTATTCTTGCGATAATATTCCGTATCCTGTATATCCCGGGCTAAGCCAAAGTCCGCTATCTTCATCACATAGCCATCGCTGACGAGCACATTACGCGCTGCCAAGTCGCGATGAATGCACTGGAAAATTGTAAACACATTAGACCTACATACTCCCTCCGCTTTGGAAAAGGATGTCGCCTTACCCGTCGCGAGGCAAGGTATTCCATGCCGCGTGCTATTTGGAAGGCGAACATGGTTAGCTCCTTCTCGCCCAGCTGCTGATGGGGCTGCGTTGGCTTATCGTCCAGATAGCCATCGCTGTCGCTACGTCGCTGCAGCTGACCAGGTCGATTTTGCTTGAGAAAATCCTTTAGATTGCCATGGGGTGCATACTCGACAATGACCCACAGGGGACCGTTCTGGCTGCAGCATCCAAGCAGATTGATGATGTTGATGTGCTTGCCAATCATTTTCATCACCTCCATTTCGCGCACCAGGCTGGCCATGTCGGCATCCGTGTGCTCCTCCTTAACCATCTTGACGGCAACAATGGTGCCCATGCCGTTATTGGAGGACGGCGGACTGCGCGGCAGGCCATCCGCCTCGGCCATGACGACACGTCCAAAGGCTCCCTCACCCAAAATGGAGCCCAGAGATAGCTGCTGCCTGGGTATCTCCCAGTTCGAGTCCAAGGGGAACTCGTACTCATTGAAGCCCTGTGCCGGATCTGTCGAGCCGCCTGTCTCTGTATTGGAGAAGGTTGTGCGCTGCTTCTCGATCTTAATTACAGGTATTTGTAGATCACCCGCACAGGAACCGCCCTCAAGGCTGGCCGGCTTGTAAATAATAACCTTCTTGGTCCACTGATGCACCGTCTCGATGCGATGCTTCAGTAGCTTCTCTCGTCGCAGGCGACGAAGCATGTATACAATAAATGCACTGCCAAACAGGAATAACAGCAGTATCATACCGATAGCCACAGTGAAGCCCATGGGATGTGATCGGTAAAGCTCGCCGACATACAAATAGGGCAGATGGTCGACCACGTGCAGATAGAAGCTGGCATTGCCGCTGCCCAACGAATTGGACGCCACGCACGTATACCAGCCCTCGTCCTGGTGCGTTACATTCTTCAACAGCAGCCAATCGCGCCGATCCACCGTGGTGTTCAACGGTATGCGCACAAAATCCCGATCCAGTGAGTCCGATTTTAAGGGCCGTGAGTGATTGTGCTGCATCACACGTATCCACTCGACGGTCGCTTCAGCATCGGATATCACATCGCATTTCACCTCCACCCGGGTGTTGATCAGCTCCGTTTTGTTATCTATCTTCGGGATAAATGGCGGTGCACGGATGCGATCGATGACCGAAACGCTGAACTCGAATTCAATACAGCCGAGGGTGTTGCACACCGTGCACTTGTACATGGCTGAATCCTTTGAAATAACATTCGTCATAACCAAGGACCACCGCCGGAACTTGTAGCCACCAATATCGCGCTGCAGTGGCTCATATTCCCCGCCTCTCTTGAAGGTCCAAGTGGTGTTTGCGTGCGGATGCGCTGTGTTGGGGCAGGAGAGGACCAGGGTTTCGCCGGAGACACAATGTTGCAGGCGATTCAAGGACTTTGTAAACTTTGGCAACTGCTTCTCTTTGGCAACATCTGTTGCATCAAGTGCTGCATCATCGGCTGCATCATCATCCGCATCGCTAGTGATCGAAGGCAATGTCGGCGTCGTTTTCATTGTCGTCGTCGTGGTCGTTGTTGTTGCTGTCGTTGTTTCTGTTGCAGCGGACACGTTGATGGGCTTGTCGGACACCTCCAAATAGGCAGCGCCCAGCGTGCGTCCCAGCTGATTCTCAGCCGCACAGATATACCAGCCGGCATCGCTGTGGTCCACGCTACCCAGTCGCAGCACCTGCGGCGCATCCTTGATGGTCAGCAGCGTTTGCACCTCTGCATCACCCTGCAGCTTGACTTGTTGCCGCAGGCGCTGCATCAGCGTGTTTATGTCGCCATCCGCTCGATACTTTTTCAGCCAAACGATTTGCGGCTCCAGCTGTGAATCCTCCAGCTTGCACTCAATGCTCGCATGCTCCTCGAGCGCAACGCTCACATTGTGCGGATAGCCGGCACTTAGCACAGGCGCCGTGTGATGCCGCGTCATGACCTCCAGGCGGCTGTTGTTGCTGTCAACGCAGCCGCGCGAATTGCACATTTGGCAGCGATAGTTGCCCGCATCTTGCGGCTGCAGCTGCCACACGTTCAGCGTTGTCTTCTTCAGCCGGATGCGGCCGACACTCGCCAGTGGCGTATTATTGTGATACCAGTTAATGTTGCTCCATGTCACGCCCGCCGCCGGACTGCAGTTCAGCTGAAACATGCTGCCCGCTGTGCGTTGCACAAACGCCTCCAGTTGCTGGCCCAAACTGGGCAACAGGCTAACATTCAACTGCTGCAAATAGAGCTCGCCATGTTCATTGAAACGGGCCACATCATCGCTGGGCATTTGATTGCCAATCTGCAGCGTAAGATTGGCCCACTTGTTGCGCTCATAGTGGCAGGAATAGATGCCCGAATGTACTGCCTGTGCGCGCTCCAGCAGATAGCTTTTGCCGCGTTGAATGAGCTGCTCCTTGTAGTACCATGCCGCCTGCGGCTGCGGGCATAGCAGCGTTATATCCACATCCGAGGGCACATGACGATAGCCAGGCTGAGGCTCTTGAAGCACATCGATTTCGCAACGATGTGCCTCATAGTGGCAGCTCGAACTGTTGCTGTTCCGGCTGCTGCTGCTGCTGCTACTGCTCCAGCTGATGATGATGAAAATGATGATAAGCAGATTTTGCATTGTCAAGTGGAGCATTTGAGTTGTTGTTGTTGCTATTTTTATTGTTGTTGTTGTTGATGTGATTGTTGTTTGCTTAGCTGTTGCTGTTGCCAAATTGCTGCTGCTTTTGCCAAGACACTTACAATTCGCTTGGCTTCATTTTTACATTTTTTATTTATATATCTTCTTCTATTATTTTTATTATAATTTATTGCTATCAGTTAAGTCCAGTTTGAGTCTTTTTTTAATATTCAAAACAAAAATAAATCTAAAGAAAAAGGCAACGCGTATAATATAAAAAGGTAACCATTATGTGCACTGCCTCTGTAATGAGCAACACCGTTGTTGTTGTTGTTTTTGTTGTTGTAGCTGTTGTCAACTCAAACACACACATGCACACACACAAGTCAAGTATCTATAAGTTGTCTATATATATATATACTCCACTGCGAGCATCGGGCACTTGCCATATGCGTTAAATGTCGTCATTTTCATTGATACTACGAATCGTTCGTACAGTTAGAAATTTTTGATGCAATAACAATTATAATGGCCGGTAAATTTTTACAAGTCAACATTGTTACCATGCGCGCACCGTGGTCCAAAATTGGCAACTGGCTTTGCAGCGTTTTATTGAAACAACAACAAAAAATAGATAAATATAGAAAACTACTGTGTTTAGCTGGGCGCACTTTTAATACCCTTTTTGGCTATGTGTGTAGAATTCAGTCAAGATAATTTAGTCGAGATATTTTAACAAAAAAATAGGCAAACTTAATATCCAACCGACCAATCACAACAATAATATTTTGCCTCTAATTCAGGATCATCTTACAAATAAGTAACGTTGAGTTTAGTTAAAATAAGTTGAATAAGAACAAATTTTGTCATGTTTTATGACGATCAGTGTCAACAATGTGAGTATCTCACATACACTTTGATCAGAGCAATAATACTTAAAGGGTTCGGGTGTGTCTCCTTCTATGCATTACATATTTAATAAGATACAAAACGATCTGTCGCTAGCTTTAGATGTATTTTTAGCAGCACACCCTTATATCCGCATCAATTTGATGAATACAAGGTGCACTCAAAAGACCTCCCGAACACAACACTCCTCAAACATTATAAGTATATAATTTAGATTTGAGTGGGTGCTCAGATTTACATTATTTTTTTACAAATCAAGCTGTGCATAACTAAATCTAGGCGCTAAAATTCACAACTGAATGCCTGCAAAAGACCACGTAGCAAAATATTCTCAGAGTCAAAGCAATTATTTAATTATGATAAAGCTAATAGGCGTTGCATTTCCTTAAGATCAGAAGTATTTGCGGATGTGACTACTAAGATTCTTATCAAATTCTAAACTGAAAGCGGACACAGCCTGGGAACTATTTTCTGTTGATAAGGTGAATACTGATAACAGCAAGAGCTACGTGCATTTGCTAAAAACGTCATCTAATCGGGGGCATATTTATAGATTATAAGATCAAGAGAACGCGCAAAAATGTGCAGATTGTGATTTGGGAAAGGAATTGATGAATCATGAGGTGTTTAATTATAATTAATTAGATTAATAATAAAATTTAAAGCCTTTTCGCTTGAATGCAAGCAGTCGATACTTTGACCTAGTTTTCTATATAAAAGCATATACTTTTTAATGTTATACTGTACAACACTATACAATATCCGATTTTGACTAATTAATCGGGCTTTGTGGACTGCACACAAGCTCTTAATTGTGGAGAGTAGGGTGTACAGACTCTGCTTTGAGAGCGAAGATCTAACGAAATCGAATCAAACCTTAAGGCTTTGTTTAGTAAATGGTCAAAAAATAGCCGACCCCGAACCAAATGTTGTGAATGAGAAAAAAGGGGACAAAGGTGGAAAGCCAGGTTGACAAACTGAACCTTAAGACAGAAATCTAACTGCAACCGTGAATCAAAACACCTCTTAATAATAATATATGTTAACTCAGAAACTTAATTGGCTTTTGTTTTATAAACTTTAAATATAATTTTAACCGATTGAAAAGTTCAGACTAAGCCTTCTTTAGCAAGCGATTCGCTTTTAATTGTATCTTTAACCACTGTGCACTAATGAAATTTATATTTTATATTATTTTTAAGCCAAGCCGACAGCTGTTGTTGTTAATGTTGGACAGTTGTTGTCGTTGTTTTTGTTGTTGTTGTTGTTGCTGCTGTGGTTGTTGCTACTGCTGTTATTGTTGGTTTTGCCAATGCTGATTTTGTCTGATATATGTATATATTTGCACACACGTCGCGATTTTTAATTTATTCAATTCCTTTTTTCATTTATTGCCAGCCGACAAAACGCGTATGTTTGAAATATGTATTATTATTATTGTTATTTTTCGCTGTTGTTGTTGTTGTTGCTGTATTCTTGTGTTGTCAGTTTGTCAATAATATTGTAGACGATGGCCCGAAACGTTTAACACACACATCGAATATTTATTATTATAAAGATCGAAAGATCACTTTTGGACTGGTCATTTGAATAATTTTGCAAAATTTATCACCTGCTTGCAAATATTTATTCTTGGGTTAAATTGTTTTTACATATTTGGACATGTGAGAACTCTATTTTGATATTTTGTTTGCCTGAGAAGGCGCGCAAATATTTGTGATTTTTTTCTCCACTTATTTATGCACATTTGTCACCAATTTGACAGATTGATGCTGCATCATGAAGTGTTTGAATAATTCATACGCACAATTTGTGCTTCTCGTTCAGAGCACGTTCCTCTATAAAGATATAGTATCCTGAGTATAATCTCACAATTATTGATTATAGTTATTTCACTGTAATCCATAAGTCTTTTCATCAATTTTCTGTGATTGTTATTGAATGCCTTTTCATTTTTATTTGATGGTAATAAATTTTAGTTGCATGATTATTTATGTTTATTCGATATGCATATTTTTTGTTAAGCAAGTCTGCAGACATGTTTATGCGCACTTTAAAAATTGTTTTATATTTTTTATTTGATTCTTTTATGTACTTTGCATTTCACTTGACTGGATGTTGTATTTTGCTCTTAAGCGAACGCCATCCATGTCTGGCAAAATGTGTACATATTTCTTTCATTGCACGCAAATTCTTTGACCAAAAAATCACGTCTTTGTTTTTAGCTCGAAATAAATAAGATGGAAAAATAACAAAAACAACGCGAATTGTCACAGTGCTTTCGTTTGGCTGTCAATCTGGCAGGCAACAGAGATCCCTGTCCAGGCGCCCTTTTTTGTGGACTCGTGCGCATTTCCGCTTGGTTGCCAATACTTATTAAAGACACCCTCGCGCCCCGCTCCCTCTCTCCCTCAAGATGGGGGCGGCTAAAAGCTGAGCTGGGAGCAGCGGGGCTTGCACTATTGACAACTTCCGTTGCACTAACCGAAACAGATCCCACACAGTCGAGAACCCAACCGATTTGCTTGAATGTGCGCACACAACTGAAAGTAACGATCGATTGAATACCCCAACAACAAACCGAACAAAAATATAAAAAAAATAATAAAAAAAAACGTTTGGATTTGGTGGCGACGATCGTCGACCATCCACGAGGTTGACGGCGTTACCGACGACATCGTGAAAACGTACCCAAAGATATACACAATTATGCATGTGTCTGCGTGCGAGTGTGCGTGTGTGTGTGTATGAGTGTGTTTAAATAATATTTATACAAGTAGCGAAAATACACGATCCTGTCGAGCGCACCGAGTGTGCCGGCGATTCCTTGGGTTCTACCTGTCTAGAAGGTGTCCGTCCCGTGCTTGCCGCATGTTGCAATTGCGGGTTGCAGCATATTATTATGTTTGTAGTTTTCTTTTCTTTTCATTTTTGTTGTACTTTTATTCTAAGCATGTTTTGTGGCTGAGGATTTCGTCTACTTGGCTTGGTTCGGCTTGCATTCTTTATAATCGCGGCCCTCGGCCTATGTTTAATTTATGCACAAGAAAATGTGTCCATTGTCTTTTGAGTTGTTGCTGCTGCTGTTGTTGTTGTTGTTGCTGTTGTTGTTGCAGTACGTGCGCATGCGCGATAATCGCATATCAATAAGGAAATATCCGTTACGTGACTTATATATCTAAAAAACCCTCGTCTGCAGTTTTTTTTTTTTTTAATATATTTTTCTTTTTGGCCCAACACCCGCATAAGTCTGCCTAATCCTGATCCAGATGCTAGACACGTAATCATAGACCGAAGCAAAACCCCAAAAATAGTTAATTTTATTGCACTTGTACGCCCTGCTTCCACTTTGGATGCGCTGGGAACGGAAGCAACAACTGCAATTGCTGTTTGGGCTATGGCTTTACCAAGAACTTGTTGCATTTCCGGCCAATTGTAATTCTCACTCACCTCATGTCCGAATTGTGCCAGCGCCTCCTTAACCGCTGCCATGTTCGCCGAGGTCAGAATGCTTTGTATATCGGCGCCAGTGTAGTTTTGGGTTCTGCCCGCAAACCAATCAAAGTCCACGCACTCATCCAGATTAAGCGTTGCACTAAGCGCCTCGAAGATGCTCACGCGCGCCACTGCATCCGGCAGCGGGCACTCCACGAGGCGATCAATGCGTCCGGAGCGCAGCAGCGCTGGATCGAGCAGCTCTGGTCGCGATGTGGCCGCTATAACCGTTACGCCCTGCAGCCCCTCCACGCCGTCCAGCTCGGTGAGCAGCTGGTTGACCACACGGTCTGTCACGCCCGTGGAGTCATGGCCACGCTTAGGCGCCAAGCTGTCAAATTCGTCGAAGAAGAGGACGCAGGGCTTCGCACTGCGCGCCCTATTGAACAGATTGCGCACATTCTCCTCACTCTGGCCAATGTACTTGGCCAGCAACTCGGGACCCTTGACGGATATAATGCGCAGACTCCAGCAGCTGGCCAGCTGTGAAACCAAAAACGTTTTACCCGTTCCAGGTGGGCCATAGAGCAGGACTCCAGCCTGATTGCGCAAAGGTGATGCATTGAATATCGTGGGATACTGTTGGAAGAGAATGGATAAATTAGTATACATATGTTTATATTGTTATATTATTAACCAACCGTTGATGGCCACATGAGCACCTCCTCAAGCACACTGACCACAGGCTCCAGTCCGGGCAGCTCCTCCACGCGCATTTCATTGGCATTCGCATCGGCGCCAGTCTTTTGATTGCTTTGAATACCTTGCAGGCAGTAGGAATTCGTATGTTCCAGGGATTCTATGAGCTGATCATTCGTTAGCAGCGGCTGCGCTTTGCCTATCAGCAGGATAAAAAAATTTGGTTTATACAGCTCATTAACTGATTTTACCGACTTACTAATGCGATAGGCGTAGAAAATGGCGCGCTCCACAAACTGCACAAGATCGCACTTCCGATAGCCTTCCGTTAGATTTGAGAACTTGACCACATCTAAATCCCTTGACGCAATATGACTGCAGAGCTCGCGCAATATCATCTCACGATCGGCGCGCTCTAAGCTGGGCAGCCGGGCCACGGTTTGGAACAGATGTCGACCACGTGGCGCACTGAGACGCTTGTTCAGCGTCTGCAGCTCACTGACCGTGGCAATGACAGCAATCGCATTGCTGCTGGTATACTGCATGATGAGCTGATGGACAGTGTCTGCCATGCGGTTGAAGTACTCGCCATCCTGGCTGGACTGCTCGCCGGCAGCATGCGCCAGCACATCCAGATTCTCCAGCACCACAATTGCAGGTGCATGCAATAGGCAGGAGGTGAATATGTTACGCAAATCCTTTTGTATCGATTCCGTTTTGCGTCCTTTGCTGCGCGAACAATAAAATATATCAAAGTAGCAGTAATCCGGTTGGCGTGACAACTGCTCCAATATGCGCTCCACTAGCACCGTTTTGCCAGTGCCTGCTGCGCCGGTCAGCAGCACATTGCCCTGGCGTAGCACCGAGTTTTGTGAGTTGAGGCACAGATTCATGCGCAGCTCGCTGACCACTTGATCCACAATTCGATCATACTCTGGCAGTCGTATCAAATCCTTGACGCTCAGTGGCGTTTTTGCTGGCGGTCGCTCCTTGATGATTTCATTCACGGGACGCACCAAATCGGCGGCATAGATTTTCGATTCTTTTAGGAACTGTGCGTCTACAACGCAATACCGAAAATGTTCGGGCAATATACCCACTGTCACCAGCAGATCGTCCTCCAGGCGAACCACCTCCTCCTGATTAAACAACATGGCCGCTTTTTGCGTTTTCTCAATCACAAATCGCTTAAATGCATTCTCAATAATCTTGTAATGCGTCTTCTTGTGCGCAAACAGCTCAATCTTCTCCACAAAGTTCACAACCGTTGTCTTGGGGCGCAGCACAACGCGCTCCAGCTCCTTAATGTTCAGTAGCTTCATCAGATTCACATTTAGCTCGATGGAGGGATGAATGGTAGCTGGTAAATCTCCATCCTCGTCATCGCCAGCTAGCCGCACACGCACATAGTACTCCTTATCGCCAGCAGTGCGCATGCTGTAGAACTGCTCCAGATCCATGAATTCGGGCAAATGCGATTGCGTTATGTACACATCCGATTCCTGTGCCTTCTCATGCCAGAGTCCTTGTATGACACGAAACTCAAAGACACGCGAGCTCTCACGTCGCAAATCCTTCTTCAAACGATCCATGTGATCCTGCCTCTTGTTACGCTGCAAGTTGTTCTTAACATTGCTCATTGTTGCGGAGTGCACGAGGGCAGACGGGGTCGTTTTAACCTCATCACGCACCTGCGCACTGGTCTTGCTGCGCGAGAGTTTATTGCTTTCCTCGGCGTTGTCGTTATCATTGCCATTGGTCAACCCCTTGAACAGATTTGGCGCCACAATCAACTGCGTGTTGTGATCGAGACGTCCATAGCTTATATGCGGCTTTAGGCGATCTTTGGAGAGGATGTAAAAATTGTAGTTAGTTGTGGTGCGCCAAGCATTAACCAAAATATTTACCCACTGTCAGCGCCACTTGCATCGACTTGTTAATCCAGACTAGCAAGATTTGCGATGAGTTTACAATGCGCGTTTGTTCCAGTACGCTGCCAGAGATTTTCTCCGTGCTCAGCTCCTGCAAGAATATTATAAATTTATAAAGATTACTTTTTATCATATCATTGATGCTGAGAAGATGATAAGAAGCTATTGGAAATTCAAGCTGCGTAAATAAATCTATCCCTTGCATGACTTGAAAATCGCATAGAAAGGTGATGTTTTAGGGAGAGCCTTTGAAATAGAAAACGCACTTGCACAAGGCTTGCATACAAGGGTATAAAAGAGGACAGATACAAAAAAATATATTCTATAATTTTATTACAAGGTAGCAGCTATCCCTGTTAATAACACATAATTATATAGGGCAAAAGCATAACAGTATAAAAAAGTTTGATAATGAAAATGAAAGTCCAAACACAATCAACTTTTTATCTAAATAATTCCATTACTGTATTTAAACAGTTGACCGTTACTTTAAGATTGTCTATCCCTGATAAAAGAAAGCCCCGTTGGGGTCAATGGCAATGCCGGCGAAAACTAGCGGCTGCACATAAATAAACACTGCAAGCACGCCCGCGCCAAAAGCTAATCCGATATAAAATTATTTTTATCTGGCCGCAGCCACACACACGCACACGCACACACGCGTACACGCGAACACATACAAACGCTTATATGTATTTGTATTTATAAGTATATAGATAAGTACTCACAATGATCTCCCAATCTTTGGCCGAGACAGGCGTGACATGCACGCTGCGCAGATTTAGAACGTCAGCGATGAGGGCGCACTTGACCAAATCGTTTTCGTGGAGACCTATAAGAAAACGGAGAGCAGAGTGCATATTATAGCGTATATAAAAACGATATTTTGGCAATTGGCAGCACATTAGCACTTCCGCTTATTAAGTAACTCACCGAGCTCCTTGGCCGCCCTGGCATTGATCCCAATTTCGGTGTCTTTGATGCCACCGCCGCCCGCCTGTGGCGCCCAAGAGGCATAGTGCACACGGCCATTGTACTGAAGGCTTAGGCAGCCAGTGTCCTAAGTAATACACAATTATATTATATTCTCATAGGAACTTATCTAATCTGCGGTCCAATGGCATATTAAGTTGACTTTTGGACACTCACATAAGTTGAAACGACACCGTAGTACTGATCGGGCAGCAACAAGAAGTTGTTACGAATCGGCCGATAAACCACTTTAAATGTGCGTTTAAACATTCTCCCGGCTGGCGCGCACTATGTGACACAATTAAACGCGAAATTTTAGTGTGCAATGGTGTTTAAATCATATTTAAATTAAAATTTCCAATAGGAGCCAAATTTTCGCGACCAGCTGTTCAACTCTTGCGGCTGGACTGCCGCTCACTAGAGATGAGCCATAATGTATCGATACATAACATAACAGAATTTTAAATTAACAGTACTGTGTAAAATGTTATCGCGCTGTTATTAAAATATAAAGTTGGCAGCTTCGCAAGACCAACTGTTGCTGCACATATTTAAGCCATGTAGCATAATTTAAAAAAGGCGCCAACATTTAAATATGAAGTACTTCTAACTAGGTAACTATTAACAATTGGCGCTTAAATAGAATTAACAAATTCTTTGTTTGGATAGTTTACTTACAAATTTATAAACAATTTATTACATACTGCAGCATAAATGTATGCATATTTATCTGCGAACATCAATCGAATCGAATCGTTTGTACACTTAGAAATGCAATAACATTAATCATTGCTTTTCATAGCTTTTCCGATACGTGAGAAGAATAGTGAGCTTAGAAATTACAGAGCTTATTCAAATTATCTTGATGCGCAATAGCAAATAGTATTGAGTTACTTTAATACGTAACAAAATGTATGCAGACTTTCTTCCAAAGTAATCATTAAATGATGAACGACCTGACCGCTAATTCATTTTGCCTCCGCAGTTGTTGCACTCTGTGTACCAGCACCAAGCCATTTCCAAGCAGAATCAACAGCGTTATCATCCCGATAGCCACAGTGAAATCCATGGGGTGTGATCGGTACAGTTCGCCGCAATACAAATGGGGCATATCGTCGACCACGTGCAAATAGAAGCTGGCATTGACGCAGCCCAACGAATTGGACGCCACGCACGTGTACCAGCCCTCGTCCTGGTGCGTCACATTCTTCAACAGCAGCCAATCGCGATCCACTGTTGTGTTCAACGGTATGCGCATAAAATCTCTATCCAGTGAGTCCAATTTCAGGGGCCGTGAGTAATTGTGCTGCTTCACACATATCCACTTGACGGTCGGTTCATCTTCGGACTTCAAAGCGCATTTCACCTCCACCCGGGTGTTGATCAGCGCCGTTTTATTGTACATATTCGTGATTATTGCCCGTTCACGGAGGCGATTGACGACCGAAACGCTGAACTCGAATTCAATACAGCCGAGGGTGTTGCACACCGTGCACTTGTACATGGCTGAATTTTTTGAAATGACATTCGTCATGACCAAGGACCAGCGCCGGAACTTGTAGCCACCAATATCGCGCTGCAGTGGCTCATAGTCCCCGCCTCTTTTGAAGGTCCAAGTGGTGTTTGCGTGCGGATGCGCTGTGTTGGGGCAGGAGAGGACCAGGGTTTCGCCGGAGACACAATGTTGCAAGCGATTCAAGGGCTTTGTAAACTGTGGCAACTGCAGCGTTCGCTCCTCTGCATCGTGCCGCAGCTTGGTTTGTTGTCGGTAAAACTTATACTTTTTCAGACAATCGAATTTTGGCTTCAGCTGTGGATGCTCCAACTGGCTGCTGCTGGTGCTGCTAATGATGAAAATAGCTATCAGCAGCTTTTGCATTGTCTAGTGGAATAATTGGATTAATTTGTTAAAGTGAGTGTTAACTTAGCTACTGCCGTTTGCACAGCACTTACATTTTCGGTTACGACGAGCATTTATATATTCGCGCCCGCACACCAAATGCATGGCATAATAATCGATGGATTAACATTTAACAGTGTGGAAGTCGGATGTTTTTATGCTGGTACATAAAAAACAAGTTGGCAACACCAAAGACAATCTGTTGCTGCATATACAAAACCGCAGAACCCAGTGAAAAGTCTGGCAGCTCTCGAGAATTTTTGAAAATTTAAATTACAAACTTTGCGCGCCTTTACAAAAACGAATTTTTTCTTTTGGCTAGTTTATTTGGTTAATAATTTATTTAAAATAGTTAGTGTTTATGTTTTTATATGTCTGTGTATATGTAAATATATATGTGTAAAAATGCGGCATCTGTTCATGTATTTGTTTTTCGTATACCATGCTGATTTCTTATCAAATTAAATAACACAATATTTAAAACTAACAATGCAGCGTGCTAGTTAATTAAAGGTTTCGTTCATGTTCGCTTTATTTCCTTTTTTTTTTTGGCAAATTAAAAAACATGTAACGAAAAGATATGCAAAAAGACCATCTCATTCATGCCAGTGGCACTAAATAAATTTATGTATTACTCGTAGTACATGCATATGGGCTTATAGTTCAACTAAATTCGATAAGTTTTAGTTTTAATAAATGGAAAGACACTAGACGTCTGTTCGAAAAAGATCGTTACAAAGCTTTTTTTAAAAGTGTATTTAATATATATGTGTAGGCGTGTTTTTTATGTATAATATAAACTGCTCCATATCAGTCTTCGTCATAATTTTGTGGCTTGTGAGAATAAATTGGCTCATAAATTGCATGTATATATATATATATATGTAGTATATACATGTGTATATATATTTTTCTTTGTATAAAAAATCTACATAAACTGTTATAAAATGGTTTTAGTTGCTATTGTATATATTTTGTAAAAAACTTTCTAAAAATGTATTTCGTGTGCAAAAAATTGTTCATGTTGCTTGCAATATTTGGCGCTTTTTATTGTTTATTGCAGTTTTTTTTCATTTCAGTATAAGCTGTGTGCGAAATGTGTTATATACTTGTAATTTATAATACAACAAAATTTAATTTAAAAAAACATAATAGAAATATAATAGGAAATTTACAATTAATCGTATGATGCTCATCATACAACTTTTTACTTATACAAAATGTTTAAAAAGGTTTAAAATACAACTAAATACAAAATAGTGTTGGTTTTAAAAAACTTCTTTGCCATCTCGGATGCAAATCAAAATTCCAATTTGGTTTAAGACTTATTCGAAAATAATGATTAAAATATATATATGCATACATATATTTACACACTTTAAACTTAACATTTAAAATTGGATAAATACACTGTAAAAAATTTGTAAGCTTGTAACTCATAGGCTATGCAACCAAATATAAAAAGCAATTTTACAAATTTTGGCGATAGAGTATCTCAAAAAAATAAATGAGATTCACAGAATAGTACTGGATATTTAAAGATATATTATGCAAAATAACAACGAAAAATATATTCGAATGATAGCACAAGGGTAAAAGGGGTTCGGGAATGTGTGTATGAGTGTGTGTGCGTGTAAGTGTGTATTTATGTGTGTATCCAAACAATTTAATCGCCCAATCACATATTGCAGTTTCTTTATCTAAGACGTTTACATATTCGTTTTTCGCATCGCTTTTGAATTTTGATTTTTGCCTTTGCCCTGCGCCCTGCCCTGCCCTGCCCTTGCCAAGCCAGGCAGCTAGCCTAGCAGTCCATTTCCTCCATCGTGCGAGACAAGCGATTATTGTCAATGCGTCGGCGTTGGGAACGCCTGACCGCGTCCGCCCTTCGATACGGCTCACTCTTAAGCCCCAGAAGTATGTCCTCCAGCGCTCCATTGTAGACCTCGTCCTGCTGCAGCAGCTTCTTTTCCCGCACCGAATGCGTTTTGCTCTTCAGCTCATTGATGACGGCATCCTGCAAGGAGAGTGCGCAAGTTGTAGGCAACTGATTGACAACGTGCATTGAAAACAAAAGAGAAGAGTTAGATATTAACCAGCACCGGAAGTGGCCAAATAAGCATAGCATGGATTCAGTTACCAATTTATCTTTTTAAAGTATTTGTATTACAATTAAGTGACAGGTTAGTGAGTTTTCGAAGGTTATTTTAAATTTAGGAGATGTTAAATGCAAACATAGAAATGTTCCTTCACTTTAAGTATTTAATATATATACACACACACACGCACATACATTTATTTGGTACACATTTGTCGAAAAGTGAGATCACAGGTGAATTGGATTAGCAGACAGCGATATGGCATGTATAAGGCGTTAGGGATTAGCATGGGGGACCGTCAAATAGTTAGGGACAGTTACACACAAGCCAAGCGACTTACACTAGAATATAAACACAAACAACTTCCGTCACATGCTGCCCCAAAGTACTCGACTAGATTCTAGTGGATGGTGTTGGTTGTATTGGTGGTGGTGGTGGTTGTGGTGATGATATTGGTGGTGGTAGGTTGCTTGGGGTTAGGTTTAGGTTGCTGGCCCAAATTCGAACCGCACCCGGCAGCCTCCCCGCCTAATTTGTGTTTTACTAGAATGTGTGTTAGCCAAATAACCAGTACGTGCTAGGGTTGAGTTTGCCTTGGGGAGCGGGGATTATACATAGTAGTATTGTATGCAGTTAGGGAGACATTTCCACAGTGCTATGCTGCTTGGCAAAGTCAAGCAGGCAATGTATTTGCTGCATAAATCAAAAGCATAACAGGTTACATTTCCAGAACAGAACAGAATCAATCAAATGAATGACACAAACTTGAAGGAGTTGGCCGTCTTGTTGACTGATAAGCTTCCAGTCAGCCGTCCACTCACCTGTTGCTTTTTCTGATTGAACTTGTTGCGCAGCAAGACCTGATCACTTTCCTTCTTCGATGCCGCCAAAGCAGCCGCCTGCTCCAGCCGACGGCGCTGTTCGTTCTCCTGGTCGAGTTGCTGAAATTAAATAGATTTCAGATTTTTTATTGAATTCCAGCAAAATTAGCCAGCTTGTGCTTACTTTAAAGGCGCGCGTAAATCGCACAATCAATGCAAAGAATGCCGCTGCATCCGCATTGCGTGAGGAGTCCCCAAAGTATTCGACGCACTCCTTGAACGCATCCTGCGCCAATCGCAGATCGCTCTTAATCTTCTTTAGTTTGTCTTCGCTGTTGTTTAAGAAATCCCACAGTATGTGTGTTTGCGTGCCCTTAACACGCAACTCGGCTTCCTTACGCACCAGCTCCATGCCCTTATCCAGCTCCTGGACATCAGCCACTACGTTCTCCAATGCCACAGATGCCGCCTTATCGGTGCCGTACAGTTCGCACTCAAAGCTCAATAGCTCTGGAAATTTGGCTCGAATCGTGGCCACAATGTAGTGCAACAACGAGGAGCGCTTGTCAGTTGACTTAGTGTCAATCAGAGTGTCCAGCGACTGCAGCTTAAAGCCGTAGGCCGGACCACGCTTGTTGCTATTGAGATAGTTGCCAAAGGCCAACACAATTTCCAGCACAGCTTTGAACTTGCGCGACTGTTTCAGCGAGTTGGAGGCACTGGCAATCGATTGAACTTGCTGTAGATGGAAACCGGTAATGAGAAAACAATTCAATAGATTCTATCGATGTTATATACTCATCCATTTCATACTAACCGGGCTAATGAGATGCACACTATCGACAAAGTTGCCCATGTAGTTCATAATGGCTAGCTTGGAGGAGATGCGTTCAACGCGTGACAATTGCAACATGAATTTGTCCTCCTCGGTGAGTAGCTGCTGATCCTTGCGCTCAATTATGTACTCCTTGTAGGCCTTAACCTCCGCATCGGTGGGCACCATCTTCTGCAGCAGCTCCACATTCTCCAGCGATAGCTTCTTTAAATCCAAACTATGTATGGCAGCAACAACATCATCAATGGGCATGCCCAATTTACGACGAGAGATTGCTGAAAGCAGAACAAATATTCAGTATAAAGGAAAATAGTTGGTATATTTCTGGGCTGTGTACTTTACCTATGTTTCTTAACCTCGTGTGCTCCAGCAGGGAGACATTATCAGGCTTCTTGAAACGTTTACTGGGATAGGAGGACAGGGCTCCATCCACCTCGCTGCCATTGCTACCATTGTGCAGACCGCCGCCGATGCCGATTTTGAAGCGTTCTTCAAATTCGTTAAAGTCGATTTGCTTGAAGATCTTCTCGTCGTCCAGCTCATTGAATATAGTGCCGCGAACCTGTTGCAAAAGAGGATCGAGAAATTAGATATGAAATCAAAGTAATCAAATATATCATGCCTCACCTGATTCGGCTTGAGCGCTATCCAGTTAAGCGTGGGCAGCTTGTATTTGGTGGGCACCTTGCGCTTGATGGTCATAGCACCATCTGGAGCTGGCATGAAGCCTGCCACTGGTGGCGGCGGTGGCTGGAAGGAGCTCAGCGTGGGCGGCGCATGTGGTGGCGAGGGAGCTGTGGACGTCACGCTACCATTCGGACTGCCCAGCGGACTCAGGCCCGGCATCATGGGCGGCGGTGGCGGTGCAGGTGGCGCAGGTGGTGGCGGTGGTGGCGGAGCGGTTGTTGCTGGCATGGGTGGCGGTGGTGGAGGCGGTGGTGAAACTGTGCCTGTTGCTGAGCCCGTCAGCAGGCTGCCATTCACCAGCGAACCATCGCCACTGGACGCGGAACGTGGCAGTGAACGCGATAGTGTTTGCAGCTCCAGATTTTTATTGTGAAGCAGCGTATCACGTTTCTTGAGCTCCTGTTCGTTCTGCTGCAGCATGCGTTGCAGGGCATTCAGCTGCTCCTCCAGCTGTTGCCGCATCACGGACAGTTGTTCACGTTCCGTCTTCAGTGTCAGATTCTCCGTCTCCAGTTCGGCGAATTTGTACAAGAACTCCGAGTTTCGATCTATTTCGCGCTCTAGCTGATCTTCCAGCTCCTGTACGCGCTCCAATGCAGATGTTTTTGTTTCCGAATCCTCCATCAGAGCAGCCACATCAAACACATTGTCCAGATAGGCCGATATTTGGACTTTCAACTCTTCGGACTCGGTTAGCCGTATGCGCTCCAGATACCTATCCAAGCCCAGAGCCGTAAACTCGTACTGCAAATGAACCCGATAGTTCATATCCTCGACGGAGTGCACCACAATGTTCATGAATTGCATGCACGCGACCATAAAGTCAATGTTGAAGGCCTCAAAGTTCATGAAATATTCCATGAGTGTCTGGAAACGTCGCTGCTCCTGGCACACATCCTTGAAATTGTCAAAGGAGCCCAGGATGATCTCGTGCCCACCCTTGACCAGACAAATCGCCGCCAGCAACTCCAGCACCAGCGCCTTGGTGCGCAGCGACTTGTGTATCAGACTGAGAGCGATGCAGTTAATCGCCTCCCGATGCTGTATGACCATATTGAAGCCATATTTGTTGTTCATAATCGCACGCAGGCACATAATGGACACATGTATATCGTCCGTGGCGGCGCCCATGTTAAGTTTGGCAATGTGACGCGACCGACGCTTCAGGCTGGGACTGTCAAGCACCTCGGCAATGGTGGGTCGCACAAAGCTATAGGAATGCGAGTGATTGCTATGGGAGCCCGTCTGCTGTCGCGAGCTGTCCAGCAATAGGGAGCCATTGGTCAGATTGGTATTGCCGCTAACACCGCCAGGGCTCATCGAGCTGTTGCTCAACACCACCTCGCCGGCATCCAGGCCGTTTATCAGATTCAAACGCTCCTCGGATGCGCACAGGGCGCCCTGTAAACGCTGCTCGTGTCGCATCATCTGCAGCCGAAAGCTGAGATAATCAACAAGAGCATCTAAGCCCTGATTCGTATCGTCAAGGAACTCCTTGACCCATTCGATATGGTTGGTGCGCAGTGAGATCTCTAGATCCCGCAGCACCTGTGTGGATGTCGACTCGCCGACCATCTTACGTTTCTGACAAAGAAAGTAGAAGAGGTAAAGCTGTAAGTGTACAAAGAGAGAGAGAGAGAGAGAAGAGAGAAGCGGGAAAGGAAGTTCGTGTTGGCATGGGAAACAGGACAATGAGCGCAGGAAAAAACAATTAATGGATTGGATGATTCGGTTGTTTGGTGCAGTAGAAGGGTCGGGGTTTAAGTGCATGAGAAAGGGGGAAGGTTGGTGGTGTGCGTGTGCGTATGTGTGTGTGTGTTTGTGTCAGTGTTGTGAGTAGAGAAATTGAAATTTACACATTAATATTGGAACAAACATATAGATCTTTCTTTTATTATAATTTAGATGGGTTCTTTTTTGGTTGTTGTTCGAATAGTTGGTTAATGAGTCGCTTCTCTGCAACAACAAGAGTCAGACAAACGCACCACACACATTAAACTACAGTGAGCAACAAAAGTATCTAGATACGAGGAGTAACTACAGCAACAGCAGGAAGAGCTGCCGCCGCCTTTAGAGACAAGTTAGATAGACACAGTCATTACGAAAGCTATACGCACCACCAACTTTCAACATTTAAGCCAAGTTAGCTGCAATTGCCAACTTACCCGATGACTGCGCGAAGCCTTTGGATCCAAATATGTTCGCAATTTGCTTAAGTAATGGGAGGGTGGATCCTTCGCCTGCACCATTTCCTGCAAAGAGACAAATAAAATGATGTTAGCAAATTAAAACAAGTTTTTGGCTAAATAGAAACAAGTGTCAAGGTCGCAAACTGGTTTAAAACCTTGCAGGTTCAAAGCGAGAATTTGTATTTTATTTACTACAAAAATAATCTTCAAAAAGAGTTTCTTTCCAAGGCAAAAAACTAACCGGAGCCTATTCTTATTATAATATAATATATATTTATATAGTTAGTTTAACTGCCATTTATTTTGGGAAATAACCGCAGTCATGATCAGTCCAAGCGCTTGCTTTCCCAATTAAAGGCCATCAATTAAACACGGAAATTGCCGCAATCCAAAAGTTTATAAATTGTTGACTAACCAAAAATGTGCTTGGACTGAGGCCAAAAGAAAATGCCTCCACACATGCATTAACACTAACTTAGCGGCTTTTACTTTTGTTATGCTTTGGGTGTTGTGTTGTGTTGTGTTGAGCTGTGTTGTTTTTGCCTCTGCCTCTGCCAACTGCATATTTGTGTACCATGTTTACGACAAAGCCCTGGCGAGCTCTCGCGATCTCTCTCTCTCTCTGCCGCCCAGCTCCCTGCCGGATCGCACTGCGATCATATAAGCATCGATAGCTTGCCTAAGTTAAAGCATGAAGCGTGGTATACTTGTTTTTGGCTTTTTACTATGCCAACAACACACAACAACAAAACACCGACAACAACAACAACAAAAGCAACGCATGACTACAACTAAAACTATGTGTGGGTTTTGGTGCTTTGCCTGTCCGTGCAACTCGACGAGGAGAGAAAAAAAACCAGTTTCATTCTTTTCCTAGTCAAGACTGGAGATGAAATAAATACATGCACATAGCCGCTATACATATATTTGACCAGGTATGGGGCGTCCAAGCGGCTCCAGCGATTAAAAACTGCAATTTATCGCAGTCATAATAATTTGCATTTTGTCACTGTGAGCCCAGCCAGTGTGCGGTGGTGTTCCGAGCGGATTGGATTGCCATTGGGCTGTAGTTGTGGTGATGGTGATGGTGGTGGTGGGATTGGCTCTAGCCAAAGTCCTCGCCGACTCTAGTCCATTGTTTGTGGGCTGCGTTTTCATTCAAGAAGTGCCTGAATTATGGAAAACAGGTCTGTTGGCATGCAGGCGGTTTTAAGGAAACAACCAACAAAAGACAAGACAGCGACGAGATCTTGAGATGTATATACATATGCATATACCCTGTAGCAGCAGAGGGTATGTTGGGCTAGGTTTGTTGAGGAAAGAAGAGGCCGATGTACACAGTTACATTATAGCCAAACATCTAATCCAACAAACTATATAATACAGACTGGGCATCGAGTAAGCCGCATAGATCACATTTTCCAGCGTAACTTCTAGTCAGTCCTGGTCATAGTTATGTGCTCTCAGCGTCTTTTTGGCTGTGCAACTCCAACGCCAATGGCGAATATTTTCTAGGCGCAGCTCTTGAAAATTCAGTGACCCAGTTTAATGCTCTGGCCAGAGCCTCTATAGAACGGAGCCAAAATGAAGCCGAACAGAACCCGGGCACGCCCCGTTGCACACGTTAATAGTTTCGTCAAAGCTGCCCAAACGGAGCACGCAATGTGGATTTGTGTAGACATGGATCTATAACACATGTAGGCTTGTGTATGTGCCCCACACTGCCGCCCATCTGTTCTGTCTAGCTTAATATAATACCGAAATGTAAAATGGCTTATTTTAATGCCCCAGCCAAGCATTGTTCAACGCCATTTGAATTCAACAAACGCCGAAATCGTTTTGAAATTGGACTCATTTTGCACTTTAACAGGCATCAAACGCGACAAGCGACATCAAAAAACGAAGCGACGAGCACGCACTGAATAATGATATATATATATATATATACTTAAAGACACATAATAATGTATATATAAAGAGATACTATCGGGCACAACACATGCCCAATATGAATTTCGGACGAGTTAAGCTGAGTTCAGCGCTTTACGAATTTGAAAATGAATTGCACTCTGTTCTGAATGTCAAGTGCAGAGGATCAAAGTACACAGTTCAGATGTCAGCTAAAGAGGGCATTGTAATTGATGTTAACAACGAGTTAATGTACTTTTTTTTAGGAACAGGTTGACAACTACTCAAAATTCAACATCTCGCAAAGTAGAGTTGAGTGAAGTATATATATATCTCCCTTGCAATATGATCACAAACTCTTGAATAGGGCTACAAAAACTTAAATGGGATTATTTTGAAAATGTTACAAATCGAAAACCCAGAAGTCGCAAATGGTTAAAAAACTTCATTTTAATTTACACTCTTTTTGTAGGATGAACTAGTGCGAGAAATTTAAGTACATGCCAGAGATTATTATACAAAACTTTTGGTATATGGGATATCAAATTTTCCGTATGAAAATATTTAAGGCTTGCAATAGTTTCAGTAGAACGAGCAAATATATATTGAAAATTAAAATGTTTCAAGTATTACAAACCAAGGTTTCAAGCAAAACCTGGAACAATCAGCTACATTAACGGAACTCAAAGGCAGAGAGCTAGTTCGTACCGTGAACCGAATCATTCCTTTTGGGCTGGCAGCCCTGGTTTATTTGGATTCATGTTCATGTTTCTCATACTCACAATATATATGTATAGTATATAGTAAATAGTATTAGTACTTGCTTTGGCATTTATCTAACGCACATGTGAGCAACAATTAGGCCGCCTGACACTTGGCATAGTTAATTAGAGCGGCGACAATGTCGAGAGAAACTCAAAGGTCGCAGTTCAAGACTTAGAAACTGTTTTAGGCGTTGGCCTTCCGTCGAATGTTTTATGTTAAAGGGGCGAAAGGGGGAGGGGGAGAGAGGGAAACAGGCAGCAGGTCCCATAATGCGGTTGTCCACATTTAATCTGCAAAAATTTTGCGTTTGCCATAAACAGGAAGTGGCTGATGATAAACACGCAGACATGTGTCCGGCCCCTGGCAGGGGAAGAGCAGGGCGGGCTGAATCGGTTTAGGCAGTTTTTAGCTATGGCGACGCACATAAATCGGAAATTATGGAGTCTACTTACTTGATCGCATATCATGTCCCACTTCTTTTCGTCATCGTAGTTGCGTAAGAGCTTTGCTTTGTCCGGCGGCAGATCCATGGAAGCCTGCACGAGAAGAAATAAATGTAAACAATTAACAGCCATACACAAATGGTAATAAATCGTAGTGCTTAAATGTGAGCGAAAATATATGTTTAAACAGAAACGTATTTGCAAATCCTCAAGAACAATGCGAACCATTCGCTTTAATGGACTGACGAAAGTCAACTGAGTCAAAAACCTAAATTAACCAAATTAAACGTTTCCCCAGGTGTGGATAAAGTCATCGTATGCAAAGTACACAATACTTAACTTAGTCCAAGTTGAATTTCCTTTTAGGAAAAAAAAATTTCTAAAGACGGAATTTTTGATTTACTTCAGTCGTATACCCTATAAAAAGCAACATGTCACGCACAGATTGAAGTTATCAGTTGCTGATCAGGTTTGCAATGAGAAAAGATAGATAACAAGGTGGGTTTCCTTTAAGAATATCTTAAAGATAAAGGAACTTAATATCTTGTACATATATAGCACACTCTAGATATATGATATAGACCTTTATCTCAGACATTACCTTCTGCTATCTTCTCGAAGAAGAACATGCACAAATGAGATAAAAGTAAAAGGATTCACTATACAAACAATGTTATATTAAAAGATACTTTTGTATCTTTGAGCTGGAAGAAGTTGTTGATATCGTCTCGATTTCACAGCTGTGCTAATGCTCGCTCACAAGGCTTGTTTCCTTATTGACCCAAAGTAAACCCAGACAATTCGTGGCTAGAGCGCATACAATTTACACCTGACTCTGCTGCACCTGTGTGCAACAACAACAATAGACCAAAATTTGCTATAAGGTAAGGGGCCATTTGCATTTTAGCCGCATCTGATGATTTTGTGAGCCCACGACTCACTTCGACCAAAAACATCAATCAGCCCAACAATGCCAGTCAAGTGTGATGCCATTGTATATTAAATGTACATTGTATATTTAACATTTTACGGGGAATGTATCCCGACCATAATGAAATCAACAAACAGACGTTAACGTGACTTCAATTTGGGTGCAGCTGCAGCCAAGTTCTAATTGGAGTGCCAACACACGAGCACACGCGCAGGAAAAGGTGTGGATGGCAAGAGGAAGAGGTCGTTAATTTGGACAGGACGTTGATAAGAATGAAAAATAAACACGAGAGCATATACAACAAATTGGAAAATTCAATTCGATGCGAGTCAAATTAAATAGTTGTTGCACGGAAATATCACCACATTAAATATATTTATTTATTTATTAATGCCAAAAGCCTAATTAGATTAATTTTTAATAAAGCATCCCCGAGAGAATAGTATAGAAAATGCTGCTCAACAATCGGCTTAACTATAAATTATTCCTCTTTTTGTTGCAGAAATCCTTTGTTATTATATCTTTCAGCCAAGAAATTAACGCCTTGCTTATTTTTAAACATGTCCAAAGTAAGTATATATGCCAATTGAAATCTTTTGGAATTAAATCTGCTTACATATACGATTTGCGTATGAAAATCGTATAATGAATCACGCCATGCGGTCTAGTATATAAAAGTCTATTAAAAAAATTGAAATTGACAAACGCAAAAGGTGATCGAGCTCAAAGTACCCTGTAACTTTTGGATTGTAATAAGATTAAACAAACGTGTACTTATTTTATGGAAATCTAATATATATATATATATATATAATATACATTTTTTGATTATATTCAATTACAAAAGGCAAATTAAGAGTTCTTTGATCTAGTTCCTTCCCTTAAACTTCATAAGCATTGAATAGATAATTTTGACATGGGCTAATCAGCAAAAAGATGCGAATGCCTTTCGATTATTTATACATTAGAATTATTATTCATTTTTTACTGCTGCGGTTATATATATGTATATATATGTATATATATGTATATATATGTATATATATATATATATATATATAGTTATAATAGTTGCCAAGTTATCCCGATAATTTCTAAATGGAATATAAAATTCGAAGCGCTTACTCATCGCTCAAGAGCGTAGATCAGGCTTTTCAAAGGGGTCCCATGGGCTACACATTATTTATGCACACCCGAACACACACCCACACACACACAGGCGCACACACTCATTGAACAAAATTTTAAAATGCGTATCCGGTACAACGGTCGGGCAGTTGGATTATTATGTGTTGTCGACTAATTTATATAGAAAAGAAAAAAAATGCCGCTATTTATTTTTGCCTGCTCTGGCATAAATATTAAGCGGCCGTGCACAATGCTCAGCGAGAGAGAGAGAGAGGCTTTGCCATTTATTATTCCAAAGTATACACAATCGTATATTTATATTGTTGTTTAAAAAGCGCGTCGAGGCAAATCACTCAGCGTCAAGAGGCCGAGCGTCACGGGCAGGGAGGGAGCTGTGGGGTGGGAGGGTCAAGGAAAAGGTGACTGGGCGATGCGACATTGGAGGGCGATCCCCGCAAGGGCAGCCCCCACACTCAATAAAAAAAAAAGGCGTACGCTCCAACACATAATGTTAATAATAATAAGAATAATTAATCAATAAAACGTTGCATTCATTTTTAATTCCATATTCCATTTACTCAATTATTGCAGGCATGTGAAATGTTTATCAACATATATTACGTTCAGCACGTTTCGTAAGGCATAAAAATACTAAATAAACAACTCGAAAGAAAATTGCATGACAATGAAATAATTGTTTTGGCTTAATTAACACACAACTAAAACTGGGAAGAGCGTGTAAATTCATAATAATTGACTGTGAAAAACAAGATCATACGAAAATGTATTTAATTAGCATCAGGTAACAACTGGGAGCAAAATTTAACTGAACAAAATAAAAAACAATGTAACGCGAATTAAATACAGAAAAAATATTACGCTGTGCGCACTTAAAACAATTTTATGCCTTACTTTGCGATTCTCATCAAATCAGGAAGATGGATTAAAGGAAAGAGATAAGAGAGAGAGAGGCAGAGAATTTCTATGCGATTCTCATGAGGGAGATACATTAAAAGAGGGAGATAGACAGAGCCTCTATACGACTATCAAAAGCGCAGAGAGGTACAGACGGATTAAAAGACATAGCCTTTCTTTGCGATTCTCATCAGTGAGATACATCAAATATATAGATATATATAGATATCGGGGTAGGGACGGATAAAAAGACATTGGGAAAACATTTGTGGGAGACAAGAAAGGTAGAGCAGAGTGAGACAAAAAAAATGAAGGTGAATAATAAATGACAATGACAGCATAAAAGGAAGGGACAAAAGGAACAAACGATAGTTAAAGAGTGTCAAAGGAATAAAAGAATATACAACAATCTTGACGATCTTCAACACAGCCAAGTAAACATGATCTGAATAAGGTATAAAAAAATGTGCATGCAAAAAGTTATGTATTTAGACGATTAGCCAAACTCAGGTCGAATATTCGCCATTTGCCGGCTACGCAAATTTTTGCCTCTATTTAAGCATTAATAAAAAGCAAGAATATTTTCCAAGCCCAAGTCCGAGCATACATAATTACAATTATAATCGCCAACCAACTGCAGATGCAGAACAAAGTGCAATGTAATTTATGTGCTCTGCACGGCCTGTTTATTGGTCTTACATCAGTTCACATCGAGTCTATGCTCGTTTACAGTTTTTGTGCGCATAAGAACAGATGCATCTGGGGGGGTTTTGTTTTTTTTTTTTGCCCCACTATTTGCAGACCGCAAGAAGCTAATGCCCCTAAAAGGGACCGCCAAGGAAGTTGAAGCGTAGCGATAAGGAAATGCCAACTATCTATGCAGTATATGCATATATATATATATATATACTATGTATATATACAGAAAATAGATAAACACGAGCACAAAGACTGAATGTGGATGTGTATGGTAGCAATCGGTTGGTCTCTTTTATTTTCGCAGTCATTAGATAAAGCCCAGCAAATGGGCAAATGGGCAAAAGCTGACAAAGTCATCAAAGTGCTGAATGACTTATAAACAATGAGTATTAATTCAACAAAAACAACAGCTGCGGTTTTGCCAGACCTGTGGTTGTTCTGTCAGCCACTGGAAATGCCATTAGGGAGAGACACTCAGACCAGACATTAATAGCCGGGGCATATATATTCTAGATAAAGATGAATTCCGCCTGCTACTGAAACCCTTTGCACGATAACGATGATGATGTTATTGATAATGATGATAGTTATGATAATGCTGATTATGATTAAACGAGTGAAAGTCATTTGCGTTTGTCGAGAAAGTTTGTAAACTAATGAGGATTTTATGTGGTTAGTCCGACAACACCCACAGCCAACACACAAGCACAACCAGCAGCAGGCCAGACAGTCGGGGCGATTGGGTTAAGCCTATTAAGTTTTATGGATATTAAAATGCTATTAAAAAATTAACCAGCTATTAATTATGATTGAGTCAACTTACGCCAAAGAAAGCAGTGCTTGGATTTAGCCGCAAACCAAATCAGTTCGAAAATGAAGTTTAAATTAACTTTATGCTAAAAACCGCATCCTAAATCAAAGCAGTTGCCCATAAAACAGTCTAACTGAAAGTTACACCAGGTTATTTTTGAAAGAATATGTTCAAAATTGTTTTGGTGCAAAATATAAACAATTTTTAGAGAAACCCAGGTACGAAAAACTTTGGTTTCGATTTGTGCATCATATAATTTTAGATTCAAATCAAATTTAGCCCGCATTTTGTACATGAAAATATGTAAGGCTTGTCCATAATTTTAAGTACAGCGGGCAATTGTATCTTTATATTTGAATCGATTTATTACAATTTTAAAAATATATTATCAACCAAGGCTCGAACTAAAAGTTGGGCTTAGGCATGTGGATAACTAGCTTCACGAAGCAAACCCTAATTCAGGATGTTGGTTCTCAACGAGGAATATTATAGAAATCAGTTTCAGAATCTTAAACATAGTCACATTGTACGCTCGGACCTCCAGTTTACAATGCATTTCAATCTTTAAAACTCAGATATAGCCAATTTGTACTCAATTTATTTATAAGAAACAAACGAGCTTAAGGAAATTTGAATACTTTGCAACTAGCTAGCCGAACAAGAGAATTAATATCTTGAAATGCAGAAACTCGACGAACTCTCGAAAGTATATACAGAGTATTAGAGGAAAGACGTTTTCACATATCAACTGAGATGTAAATGTCATATATTCAAGCCAAAGAGCGCCTGTTGGTTGCTCTGTGGATATTTGTCTCTGCAGACATTTGTTTGCTCAGCTTGATCCTCAGTCAATTTGCTGAATGCATCCGGAGCAAGTGGAAAGTTCAATCAACCCACGCAGCTAACCGGAAACATCTGCGTCGACTGCACCCGATTAGACATAAAACGCAAATTATTAGCGGCAATGTTGGCAAAAACTATTTATAACCATGAATCAGGCAAACAATTGCCTTCAATTGTGGCACGGACTGTGCAAGGGCAAAGGCAGCCAGACAGAGAGGGAGAGAGAGATGAGGGAGAGGAGGGAGAAACACACAGAGAGAGCGAGAGACACTTAGTAGCTCCCAAACAAAAGTAAACACAAATTAGCCTAAGCCTTTTTGGAATGGCAAGTCGAGGCCAAGTCGAGCGAACGCTACCGAAATGACAAAACAAATTTTGGAGAAACACAAAAAAACACACACACACAATGTAAACAAAAGCAGTTAAACACTTTCAGTGCCAAAAAGAGGGGAGGGCGAGGGGTAACCAGAATATAATCAACAAGTGCTATCCATGGCGAATCGAACGCTTGAATACCCTTGAATAGAGATACGTTAATAAGATCAAAGGCAATATATTAAGTTTTTAGCTAATTGAAGTTCACGCAAAACGAATCCAGGAAATACACAATACATATAGATCACATATATTGCTCGCAGATAAGAAATTCTCTGTAATATTTCAAAAGAATTCATTAAAACATAAATAAAGAATTTTCTGATACGTGCGAATCATTAAAGAAACAACATTTTTCCCACCCATAAAACGATGGCATAACAAGCAACATGCATAAATCACCTATATTTACATGTTGCATGCAACCTGAACGAAACAATGCTGCCCCCATATCGACTGAGCAAAGGGTTAAAAAAACATAAATGTTGAGAGCGAGGTTTCATATTACATCGGGACTGAGAACGATGATAAGTGAGAATTTGAGCTGCGCGTATGTATAATAAATTAAGATTTCGTGTTTTTCGTCTATATTCTTCTGGTTTATTTGAAATACTTATTCTCAATTTGGGTGCGAATGGCAGATAAGCCAAGCCGCAACAGCAGCCCAATGAGTCAGCAGTGCGAAAGAGAGCGGCGACAATCGATCAATTTGCTTTTAATTGGCATTTGCATGCGGCGGCTGCGTTTCGATTCGAGCTTGGGATTGGGATTGGGTCACACTCATTTGTTGTACTTTTTTTTGATGGCAACAAATTTTATATTTTTTTATTTCTGCTTTTGGCAATATAAAGGCGCGCGCCCATTGTTTAATTAAGTTGACTTTGTTGCGCGGAGTGCTGTGGAGCAGCACTTCACATGCATGACAAACAGAACAGAACGCCGACGGAGTAAGAGAGACAGAGAGGGAGCGAGATGGATAGACACATATACATATGTATATACAGAACGCACACGAGACAATACACAGCTGAACTCTTGTGCGTGCCAAACGTACAGAAACTCACATTCTATTTTCTAAACATGCCTGAGAACATTTCTTTTAGCAATAAATCATGAAAAGGGAAACAATTACCGACTTTTTTTTTTCTTAAAAAAAAACTCAAGTATAGGCCGGCTTTGAAAGGGCAGATTATTTTTCATTTCATTTAAATTTGCCGCTTCGTGCGAAAATCGTTGAAACAGATGTTATTAAATTTAAGTACCCAGAGCTACGCTTAATATTTTGGTGATAGATTTAAAACTCGTTTCAGCTGTGACTAATTCAGCTTCCTAGCTGCTTAGGTCAGTTATTTAGTTAATTGTGGCAGTTATATTTAGATGAAATACTTTGTAAATCTGTTGAGCTTCAGTTTAAATAAATTGTGCATTGCCAATTTGTAACATGATTTTAGACTACGTTATGAGTAAACACGCATCAATGGAGACGCCAAAAGTTCGACTGGGGTCATCAAATCGCACAAACACACGCATACAACAAATGATGAGCTCATCAATCACATGCATTTAGAGTAGGCGAGCGGAAGAACGGGTTGGGGGCATATACGGATAGGGATAACGTTTGTTATCCGTTTATCCGTTTGTTATTGTTGCACTTACCAAGACTTTGGCAAATCGTCGATCCAGCTCATCGGTGGTGGGCATCGGCTGTTGGCTGCGACTGCGCACGCTCGGCTGCCGGACATGATGGTACTGTGAACTGGAGCCGATGTCATAGCGCAGATCCTGCTTTTGGAGTGTACCCATGCCGGGCGGCGCATTGTGATGGCCATTGTTGCGGTGCATGGAGTGTGTGCTCTGGTGCTGATGCAATGGCGGATGCGGATGCTGCTGCTGCTGCAGTTGCTCCTCCCTGTCCACATCGGCATTGGTGATGTTGCGTGATTTGACTGCGCCCATTATGGTTGCGAACCGGCCGCTGCCCGCCGTTGCTGCGCCAGTTGTTGCTGTTGTTATTGTGGTGCACCAGCCGCCAGCACCACCGCCACCGCCGCCTCCTCCGCCTCCGCCTCCAACGCCTGCCCCACCGCCACCGTCGTTGCGGGCGTCGCCGGCCTCGATGCTCGCTACAGTTAGCGCTGTGCTAAGGGACGTTGATACCGCGCCCCATACAGTGCGACAGAGTGCGCGGGTGCGTTCGGGGCAACTTGAAAGTTGCTCTTTGATTCCGTTGAAGATATCCAAAGCGATGTTTCGGCTTGGCCTGCGCTCGCCCTGCAGCCAGTAAATTTTAGTATAGTCTATATATATATATATATTTGAATATATATATATATCAACCGAAAATTTTAATTTTAATTTCTTTTTTAAGTGTGTTTGTATTTGTTTTGGGTAGTTGTCTTTTTTTGTTTTTGTATCGAACTAAAAGCGAAAAAGTTGCTGTGTTAAAACTTTATTTTTGCAATGCAAGCACTTTCAAATGCAATATTAATTATTTATATATGAATATATTTATTGTATGCTTGTATTTTTATGCACATACGCGCACTCACACACAATTGCATATACACGCCCTAAAAGAATTTTGTTGGAAGCACAAATAATGACACCAAGTGAGTAATGTGTGCCTGTTGTTGTTGTTGTTGTTGCTGCTGATGCGGCGGCTGCTGCTGCTGCTTCTTCTTATATGCAACTGAACAAACACATACACACGCCAGCACACACAAAACACACACTCACACACAATAAACACGAGCCAGCACGCACACAGACACAACACACACACTAGAGCACAGACAAAGCGCAGATTTCAATAGAACGCTCCTGTAGGCGTTTGTTTTAAACCCTTGCTTTTTATTTGTGCTTTAGTCACTTGAAAGAAACTTGAGTTAAAAGCGTTTCAAATTTAAAATTAAATGCTGCATTTTAATTACTTAGGTTTTGTACGCGAAATTCCACTGCAATTGTTTAAATGCACTTTACATGCGACGGCGCGTCTACAGCGACTTGCAACTTCGTTTGTCGAGTTTTCGAACGAGACTGACAGTGTGACCGACCTTCTGGCAGCATTGAAATACCAAATGGTGTGCTTTTAAAAAAATATACTAGCCTGCACGCTGTGCACGAAAGTGTCTATGTACAAATTATTTGAGAGCAATTTATGACTCGGTAAAAAAGCAAATTAAAAATGTTTGTGATTGAATAACAAATAGCTACATAGTTTTTTTTTTGTTGAAAATTTATCTAATAGCAATATACAAATACTGTTCATCCAAATAAACCTCGCTGCCGTGGACATTCCGATTAATTAATCGACGATCGCCATCCCTGGCAACGAATTTAGTGAAAATACGTATTGTTTACAAACATTTGCAAATACTTAAATAATGGGTACTCCACGCAAAAGTTCTAACTACTTTTCACCATACTCACAAAATGTGCGGCAATATCCATCGCAAACATCGGACTATATGTCACAGCATGCTGGCGGCGTGCAGTCCCCATACACACCGCAGGACCGAGGCGGACAAAGATCTAATCAAAACACACCGCATTTCTACCAAAACAGAACGCCGCAACACCAAAACAGTGGCTTCTACGAGGACAGACAGGGCTCCAGCGCCAATACGGCGCACTTCTATCAGATCAAATCCCCGCAACAGCAACAAGGAGGATCTCGACATTATGGTCAACGCGGCGGCAGACGTGGCCATCATCAAAATCGACAATTTAATAACCGGAACGTTAATTCGTTCTCCCAATATTTTCACAATTCAATGTTGGAGGATCCATGGCGCGAATTGATGGAACGCCACGAGGCAATACACGGCAGCGCCCTGAATGACAAATCGATTATAGACATTTAGATACATAGCTTCAGTTCAACACTATATATACATTTACGAAACGTGTTTCTTTTATAAAACTCAATTGTTAAACACTTAATGCTACAGATTCTTCTTTCTTTGTCATTTTTGATGTTGACGCTTCTCCAGATATTTCTCCCAATCAGCTGCAATTCGATTATAGATGCCCATCGCGGCGCGTGCATCCTCCACAGAGTTGTGCTCCCCGGTCTGTATCTCCTGGCCCAAAACGGCCAATGTAAGGCGCTTAAGGCTTGGCGTGTGTCCATTTGAGACGAGCTTACAAAGCGGCTTATAGCGAGAGGTATCACGGATTTGGGCCACGGGATGCTTTATGCTCAGGACGGCGAGATCATTGCGCAGAGCGTGGCCAACCAGTATTTTGCCGTGCAGCAGCTTGACTACCTCATCTTGCACGTCTTTAAACTCCTCGGCGTTCTCGATGTCATGCGGGCGTATGCCCGAAACACTTGTGCGATAATCTGTCACTGGCTCGCGGGGCTTAACATGCTTGTCCAGCAGCACCTCGCCCACTTTGTTCACAATGGACACACGCGCCAGCATGTCATCCTGGCCGTTGAAGCCCACGCCAACCATCTCACAGTCCATGGCCAAGATGCGATTGCGCTGTGCCTTGCGCTTAAGACGCGCACGCGCCGATTTGGTCAGTGCCGCGTTTGCGTCTCCACTGTCAGTTTGGGCTGTCTGTTTTTGGTTCTCGGTGCCAGTGGCTGCTGCCGCCCGCCAATTGGAGCCGGCGGCACGTCTATTGATATTTGGCTGCTGCACTTGCAAACGCTCCATCGAGATCCGCAGCTTGCGCTGTCCGGGAGAACTCGAATTCGTGTTCATAGTTTTCGTTTTCTCACTCACTGTGGCGTTTCTGCCGCGGTTCAGGTCGAACTGTTTCTGACGCTGCGCTGAAGACATTGAGCTAACGGCAGATTTATTCCATTAGTTGCGTCTAATACGATGCGATTCGTGTATTCGTCGTAATTTTAATATTATTTGGAATTGGGCTCTTTTTGTTTCCAGCTAAATTCCCCAAAAAATGTGTTTTGGCAATCGACGGCGATATCGATTGCAAGTAATTGGAAATCAGAGTTACTTTTACGAACTAATCGAATGTTTTAGCTACGAAAATAATATGTTTAAATCAATAACCATTTTTTATACCAAATAAGCCTCTGCACACATTTGCTTTTTTTACACAATCTCAATTAAAATAGTTAATTTTTTTTTTCAAATCTTAAACGGGTAACTTTAGCAACCAAAAATGTTATCACTGCTAAATAACAGTGCCAGCAAATGTTAAATTGTTATCGCTGCATAGCTGCTGTTAAGATACAACAAAATCTGAAGTAGAAAAAGAACAAAAAGAAGACAAGTTCAACAAGACACCAACATTATTTAAAAAATCGAATAAGAAGAAACTTCAATAACTGAAAGGGCTTCTAAGGCTGGCTGCTTTAAGTGCTTTGCAACCAGCTGCCGGAGTTTCTTGCACGCGAATCTTACATTTTAATTGAAAGAAAACTCTTGCAGCCAACAATGCATACATGCTATAACTATGCAACATTGTCATTAGCTGAATGCACTTTGTGCGGTCTACGCTGGCAGTGGCCGCAAAACTAAAGAAAGGACTATATCCAAACTCGTAATATGGCTGGTAGCGCTGCCGCTAGCGCCATGCAGTCCTTTCACACGCGCTGCGGTCGTTCCATAACGCTCGGAAATGGGAATCGCTCCGCACAGCGTTCGATGCGAAACTTTAGCCATGCGCTCGTGTTCAGCGCAGAGCCCCTTGTGGATGATGTGCTCTTCGAGGTGGTCATTGAGAAGAAGGTGATTTGCAACGTTATTAGTATTATTATTATCAGCGCATCAATTAATAACCTTAATCTCAGAATCACTCCTGGGGCGGCAGCATTGAGATTGGCGTCACATCCGAGTCTCCCGAAGATTTGGAATTGGTCGCCTGCGCCACGGCCATGCGGAATGGTACCTGGGTTATGTCCGGTATTGATGTGCGCAAGGATGGCCGACGATTGCTGGAGTATTATGGAACAGATCTCGAAACTCTTAACGAAAATGATCGCGTTGGCGTTATGCGTACGTCCAGCCACGAGCTTGTTTTCTATGTCAATGGTGAATCTCAGGGCGTGGCCGCCAAGAACATGCCCAAACCACTGTGGGCCCTTGTCGATCTCTACGGGCGCTGTGTGCAGGTGTCCCTGTGTCCCACGGATGCGAGCACCATCATGAACAGCAGCAGCGAGGTACCTGATTACCTGATTTAAGTTAGTCATTGTGTTTTGTATAGCAAAAACTTTGTTTCAACAGCTGTTGGACTCGCCTTTGCAGCAGCCACTGCAGCAGGTTATCCAGAATTTGGACGTGCCCATGAGCGTCGATGTCAGCGTGGTGGATAGCAGCAACATTGACGCCCTGACGCGGCTTAATCTCAATGCCAATGCCAGCTGCAGCTCCAGCAGCGGCATCGGTGAATTCTACGATGTTAATGATCGGCTGCGTTTTCATACGCGTTGCGGCTCCTTGGTCAAGTTGTTGCCCAATTTCCGTTCGGCAGAGCGTCGTCGACCGCTGGATGAGTTCAACAATGGCGTCGTCATGACACATCGTCCACTGCGCGACAATGAACTGTTCGAGATACGCATTGATAAGCTGGTGGATAAATGGTCGGGCTCCATTGAGGTGGGCGTCACCACGCACAATCCGACGGTGCTGCACTTTCCAGCCACAATGACGAACATGCGCAGCGGCACCATCATGATGTCCGGCTGTGGCATCTTAACCAATGGCAAGGGCACGCGCCGCCAGTACGGCGAATTCAATCTCGACGAGCTGCGCGAGGGTGATCGCGTGGGCATGATGCGCAAGTCGAACAGCAACCTGCACTACTACATCAATGGTCAGGATCAGGGCGTGGCAGCGACACGTGTGGCCGCCACACTATGGGGCGTCATCGATCTGTATGGCATGACCATCAAAGTGACCATTGTCGACCGAGACGAGCGCGAGCAACAGAATTTAGTCACCAGAAGGAACAACATTGTTGCCGGCATGGCCATGGGCTGCAGTCACGGTCAGTCTGGTACGCCCACGCTGAGTCTCCTAAGCCCGGAGAGCGAAATGAACGTGGCCGGCGCTGCTGGAGGCCTAAGCGAAACTATATCCAGCACACGGGCCATAGCACGCAACGATGACCGTCTCACATTTCATCCCATTTGCGGCAGTCATGCCACGGTTACGCAGAGCGGACGCACTGCGCTCCGGCCTAAGTAAGTATCGTCTACTTAAATGGAAACTTAGAACTAATTTACCTTTTAATTCCAGCGCTGCTGATGATTTTAATAATGGAGTAGTGCTAACACGTCGTCCATTGCGTCCCAATGAGCTGTTCCAGGTACGTCTCGAGCGTGTGGTTACCAAATGGGCGGGCTCTGTTGAAATGGGCGTGACCACACACACAGCCGATGAGCTGGACTTTCCATTTACTATGACAAACGTGCGGTTAGTAAAGAATTGCTTATGGCTTAATTTACATATTTAATCTTACCTCTATCTCGTTTTCTGTAGCTCCGGCACGTGGATGATGACTGGCAATGGTGTCATGCAGAATGGCGTGACTGTGATCGAACAGTATGGCCAGAACCTGGATCGCCTTCAGGTGGGCGATCGTGTGGGCGTTGTGCGCAAAGATGATGGCACTCTGCACTTTTGGGTGAATGGTGTTGACCAGGGACCCGCGGCGACAAATGTGCCGGAGCGCGTCTACGGTGTGATTGATTTGTATGGCCAAGCTGCGCAGGCGAGCATCATTGACACCTCGGAATGCGGTAGCCCCGACACTGGCAACTCAACCATTTCCAATACGACGCTGTACAGCGAGGTGCCGCTGCGATTTCACAACATTCACGGCGCCAACGCGGGCATCTCCAACAGCGGCCTGACTGCATCGCGCCCCAACTCGTTGGCGGAGTTCAATGATGCCATTGTGTTCAGTAATCGACCGTTGCGTAATCGTGAACTATTCGAAGTGGAGCTGGAAACGATGGTGCGCCACTGGTCGGGCAACATTGAGATAGGCGTGACTGGCACGCGACCGGAGGACATACAATTGGCACCGAATGCGACCGATTTGGAGGCTAATGATACCATCATTCTCTGCGGTCCCATGATCTTTCACAATCGCAAAAGCATACGTACCAATGTACTCATCGATTTGGACACTCTTGGCACGGGCACACGAGTCGGTGTGATGCGCAACGGCGACTTCATACACTTCTTTGTGGATGGCATGGACCAGGGTCCCGCTGGGGAGTGCCATGCGCCCAACATTTGGGCCATCATTGATCTCTACGGACAGTGCGCACAGGTCAGCCTGACGCAGACACAGCTGGACATACGTGCTCCGTATGCCACCAGCGAGAACTCGCAGAGCTGTCAGGCCACGTCCGTTATACAGCATCCAGCGTTGGAGACCAAACATCGCTGGACATTCATTTCGGGCAATGTCGTGCTTACCAAGGATTGGACAGAGGCCTCCCGATATACTGGCTCCACGGCTGCCCTGTCGCATAGCCTGGTCTTCTCCGAGCATCCTTTGAGTGTGGGCTCGCCCTTTGAAATAAAACTGACCTCTATTAATCCCATGTATGCTGGTAGGTCTCGCGCCTATTATATTAATCAGTATATTAATCGACTCTTTCTTTGCAGGCTGCCTCAGCATTGGCATCACAGATCTCAACTTGGCTGATGAAACCGTGCGCAAGAAGCTGCCCACGAGTCTTAAGCGTATTCCCGCCAACGTTTGGTATGTAAGCGGCAACGAGGTACGCTTCAATTCCAGCTGTCTGCAGCGTTCGCTGGCGTCCCTTGAGTGGCTTCGTGTGGATGATCGCATCACACTGGAACGCGTGGAGAACTCGGTGAACATACTGCTCAACTCGGAGAACGTGAATATTCAATTTCTTAATGTTCCCAACAATGTGTATGTGGTTGCCGAGCTGCGCGGCTCGACCATGGCCGTTCAGGTGATCTCTACACAAGTACCCGCATCGCCGTTGCGGCCGTGCAGTCTACGGCTGCAGGACTCCATGGACTTTGGCATGGATCCTCTCAACAAGCAGGACAGCTCAATGCTGGAGTCCATAGATTCAGAGGCGCAGAATTATGAATTTGTGGACATATCCAATAAGCATGTGCGTCTCTCCGATGATCGACGCAGCGCCTCCAGAACCAAATCCTTCAACCAGGCCATTGTCTATCTCAACAAACCGTTGTGCAAGGGCGAAAGCATAAGCATCAAAGTGGACGCGATTAACAATAAATGGAAGGGCACTCTCAGCCTGGGCGTGCTGGCCGCGTGTCCCCAGGCGCTGGCGGTGCCCATATCGCTGCTCAACTGCAAGCGCAGCTGCTGGCTGGCCACACACGACTACATCAACATCAATGGCCAGGTGATGGCCTCCAAATACGGCGAAGCACTTGAGCACATACAGGTGGGCACTGTGATTACCCTGTCGCTCACACACGCCGGCATGCTGAGTAAGTACAGAAGAGTGAGTGGCAATCTTTGGCATTTATAATATGCTCGTATGCTTACAGTCATCATGGTTGGGTCCACGAATCTAGAGGATCTGGCCAGTGGTTTGCCCGGTCATGTGTATCCGATCTTTGATATATACGGAAAGTGCGAGAAAATCACATTGCTAACGGGTAATGATGCCACGCGCACTGGCAACGCCAACGGCACCCCAATTTTGGAGGCACCTGAAGCCCTGGAGCTGGACAATATGCCGCAACAGTGCGAGAAGGCGCATTTGGAAATGCACGAAAAGGAGAAGGACACGGAGCAAATGAGCGATAGTACCAGAGAGCTGCCCATGGGTGCTTCAACCTCAGCTGCCGCCAATGTCATGTAAGTGCATGGTAATTTTTTACTTTTGAATATCATATTATATCGTTTTGCTCCAAACAGGACTCGTTCGGTTATGGAGAGCGTCTCGGAGAATCTGCTGCTAAACATCTCTATTAAAAATCGCACACTTGAACAGCAGCGAAATGAACTGGGCGGCTCATCGTCCACGTGGTAAGGGTAGCCTGGAAAACTTCATACAGTATTTCATGTTCCTGATTATGTTTGTTTGCAGTTGCTTGCGCGAGTCATTGCAGCTGCAGCACAACACGAATCTGAATATTCAGCGAAGTCAGAGTACTCAACGATTCCAGAACTCGCTGAATACATCAACAGGTGGTGGCGGTGCCGGTGCCAGCACTTCTAATGCGGCATGTCAGCCGCACGCATCAAGCGCCGTTTACGATACGAACAAGGAGTATGATGAGCAGCTGTTATGCTCCAATGTGGTTGCTCCAGCTATGGTTGCCTCGCACGAATCGGAGCACAGTGAGAACAACGCAGAGGCAGTTGTGGAGGCAGCCAACGAACGGGAACTATCCAGCGAGCCTGACAATGTGCTGGAAGATGATGAGATTGATTATATGAATCATTTGTTGCTGCTACAGCAGCTGCAACAGAATGAATACACACGCATGCAGCATCATTTGTTGCCGGACCAAATGTCCCTGTTAAATCTGGATCTGTCTTCGCTGAACTCCTTGGAATCGGAAACTAATTCCATGGGCAATGCCCGGGAATCGTTGCGTACAGCAGCAGCGGCGCTGGAGCAAAACGATTGCGAGTATTTGAAACAGGTGAAACGTTTCTGTGCCTCCCTGGTGCTGCCACAGGCCTTTTTCGACATACGCCTCGAGCCGATCTGCTTCTGCTCCATGTGCAGCTGGAGCAGCAACGGCAACGGCGACAAATTGGAAGGCTGGGTCTACTTCAAGCTAAATCAGCAAACGGTGAATGCGCTGAGCACATCAACCTCGTCCGCTGCCGGCTCATCGGCGGCTCAGGTGCACTTGGATCTGAATGGTGATTGGCTGCCCTTCTATTACATGACACGCGTGGACAAAATACGCGCTATCTTAGATCGTGGACAGCCGCTGCCACTTGAAATGGATGAGGACACGGTCGCAACCACGCACAAAGATGAGCCTGGCACCCGTTTAGAGCTCTACTACTCTCCCAATGCCACAGTCATTGAACCGGTGCTACCGCAGCATCATTATGTTTCGGATCAGGGCGTGCATCGCATTTCCACCTCTTTCGAGGTGTATGTGCGTCGTCAATCGATCTCTGGCGTCACCACGGGCAAAGCAGCCACCGAGGCGAAGCGACGCAGCATGCATACGACCGATAATGAGGCAACCAATGATGGCGGATCGGGTGGCGCTGCTGGCGGCGGAGGGTGCAGCAGCTCTGGCACTTTGAACGAGTCCTCTGTGCATCTGCTCAACGATTTGTGCTGGTTTACCAAAGAGGCAGGCGCCTGCATTATTAATGCATTAATTATTAAATTAGACCGCATCGAGGAGCCTGCAAGCGAAACCTAATTAGACTATCTACATATAGATAATATTTATACACTAGTCACCAGCTCGCAGCCTAATTAACTATATATATCGTATATAGTATATGATAATAATACTCGCTAGTTTTCCACGCATACGCATTCCCCTTTATAAACATGTTTTGTATTGTAAGTGCATATGATTCTCAAAATATAATTACAATGTTACTCCTAACCCGAACTTTTGAATGTGTTTTCCGCAACATCTGGGATATTATGAAGTATTCATTTAGTTTGAAGAGTCGTATTTGTATTTGTGTTGATTTGCGCAATTTGTCCTACTTTGTTTCTGATACTATCCATTTTCAGACTTATGTTTGCAACCAGATCATTATCATATTTAATTTGCTCTTCGTATTGGTTTTCCTTTTCTTTATAGAACTCCAGATTAGCTTGAAGCTCGGCTACTTTTGCTTCAAGTACCTTTATTTGATTGTCCTTGTCTCTGATTGCAATCGCGTTTTCTTCAATATCATTTTTGGCTTTTTCTCCACTCTGTACTAAGGACCTTAGAAGAGTATAACAATAAGATCCGCATTGTTGATCCAAATTGGTTGATATTTCGTTTAACTGCATTATAAAAGTTTTACTTATACAATTGTCTGGATACTCGATTTTCGAGCACTCACCGAACCATTTGTGGTTGCTGCACCTGCCATAAATGCCTGCAGAGCAAGCAGACAAATTATTAAAACTTTCATGTTTGTTAAATTTGGCTCTCTGTTCAAGTCTTCCTTTGCCACGAAAATCTTCTTGATACTTGGTTGCGATCAGTTTCGCAGACAAAACAGTACTGAATATTTCTGTATTTCGAAATTTTATAACTACGTGTTTTCAGCGAGATTCGCTATATAAATGTGTGTACATATATATGTGCCAAGAAATATACTACTATATCATTAATTTTAATGGCCTTTTCAATTCATTTCAATTCCCCGGAATTTGTTTACTTATACATATATTAGAAAAGAAAACGAGGTGCGCTGTGTATACTCTCAACTCAATATGTATGGAGGAAAAGGTATTATAAATTTGTGGATTTGTATGAAACTGATTACAGAGTACATAGAAAATCGAAATAAAATATATTTCCATGACAAGGGAACTAGAAACAGTATAATGTGCTTTTTGGAATCATCATTAAGGTTTTATTTGATTATTTGAATTCCATTCATTTAGTGTCGCTTTTTGTTATTATTATTTAACTATGCAAAAATGGTCGATTAGAAAATGTTTTTATTAAGTTGTTGCATCCATCCATCCATCCATCCATACAGCTCCGTCTGTCACTTCCACTGCCATCGTCTGCTGCACTTAATCCAATCGTTTGTTTTATACGCTTACACATTTAGTTTTGTTTACAGTTTTTGCCAGTTTGCTGATTCTGATGCGTCGGAAAAGCAAAAGTGCATATACAATTGTTGTTTCATGTTTGTATACGTTAAGTTAAATTTGTTGTTGTTTTTATCGTTAGCCAATACCATATATTTGTTTTGTTTTTTTTATTAAATATATCAATTACCGTCGAAGATGCCGCAGCAGACAGCTCACTCCACGTCCATGGCAGCGTCGGTGGGTCCATTGCCACCCGCGGCTTGCCCATTGTTGTCCACATCCATTTTGTCGCCGGCGGCACTAGGCTCGCTGCCATTCTGCTCCGCAGCATCCTTGGGCGGTGTCGTTGTCTTGGCAGCAGCCGGCTTCGGTTTCGCGCGCGTAATAACAGAGTTAACGCAGGCATTCAACGATTGTATCTCGTGGCGCAGCGCCGGTAGCTGCACGGGACTGTCCGAGGTGCGCGGCGATTGGGTGAACTTAGACAGATTGCTGTCGAGCCACTTTTGCGCCTTGTCCGCAGTTTCGGCAATGTTGATAAACTCGGTTTCCGTTAAATGATCGTACTTGGGCACGCCCTTTCGGAACTCGGCCACTGCCTGACGGGCCCAAGCAATGCTGTTCTTAAGCTCATCAAATCCAGCCGGGCACTGCTCGTAGTCGTGGGCGCGCAGCTTAATAGGATCGGTTTGTTTCTGCAGGGCCGTCAAGCGGTTGGTGTAAGTCTCACGCTCGCAATCCTCGCCCTCCTCATACAGCCAGTTCTCGAGATCATTCAGCTGCGCTACAATCGACTCGCGCTCCGACTCAACCACATAACGTTCGAGCTGTCCTCCCTTGAGAATTATTGTTATATTAGTATGTTTGGCTATTGTAAAAGTGTATTTGGTAGTTACCTGTAGCTTGTTGCGCATATCGTAGACAAACTCCTCCAATGCGTTTTTGGCATCAATGCGCTCAGTTTCCTTCTGATCGTTAGAAATCATCTTAGTTTCCTGCTGTGTGAAGTTGCTCAAATCGGCTGGATTGAAACCGTGAGTGGCCACCTCCATTGGCAGCTCAATTGCCTTTGTGGTCTTCTTCTTTGTCTTGTCATTGCCCTGTAGCACAAATTAATAGAGACAAACATTAAAACAGCTGCAACGATTGGATATAGTTTTTCGATTCTTGTAACCAATAGAAAGAGGAAATAGCTCGAAGCGGAACAACAACAAAGCGAAGAGGAAAAACAGCTCAAATAACAGCCTACAATATGAGCAAAAGATCGTGATTTGTGTCTTAATAATGTAAATAGAAGTTCGAGTAGCATTCATTGGATTAGAGGCGCATTATATAACGTGTTGTTTTGTTGTTTATTATTACTTTTTTTTTTGCAGTTTGTCAAAATAATAAAGTAACAAATGTATATTTAAATAACAAATAAAAAGTATTCAAGCGTAATGGGCAATTTGTTTAAGCAATTATATATTTTAGGTTTCTTTTTTTGTTTTTGTTTTTGTTTTGCAATAGGAGCACACAGGGTAGGCGGCTTATGAGCGGTCTTCATCATTCGTTTTACTATCGGTTGTTGGGTGGGAAAAGAAAGCGCAAAATTTTGTGCTTGAATTTTTCTCATACGACATTTCCAATTTCGTGAAATTTTCTCATTTTTAATTTTGATATTTAGAAATTATAGTTGTATTAAGATTTTTATTTGCTTTAAATTTGAAAACGTACCGAACCAAACCAGCCCTTGACCCGTTGTGCCCACCCTTGTCCGCCAGGTGATGAGGCTGTTGATGTATTATTATCATCCTCATTCTCAAAATATGCCTAAGAGAGAGCAAAACGCGAGCGCACAATATCCAATATTTGGGTAATAGTAGTAATAATTGTATGTATATGTAGTATATATATATATATATATTACCGTACAAATGCAATGTACAATATAATATAATTAAACAGCGAGAGCAACAACAACTACAGCACTAGATTGGGAATGAAACCAAGCTAACACAAAATGGAAAACAAAACCGACGACGTTCGAGACGTTTTCTTTAATTTTTGGTCGCATTTGAAATATACACACAAACATAATTATAATTAGAAAATAAGCCAGAAACTCATATCTCTGAAATGCTAAGAAAAATATGATAAGGCAAACATACATGCGATAAAAAAGAAAAACTACGAGCATACGCCCCTATAGTCGGATGCTGTTATCGTGAAATGTATGACAATGAATAGATTCCTTTATAATTTGTGCAATATTAGTCGTGATTTTAAAGTTTTTTAATAAATTAAATTGCATTTTATAAGCTGAGGTTTCATTCCGTCTAGACGAAATAAGGAAAGCAAGTAGAACGTCAAAAAAATAAAGAGACAGACTTAATTAGAAGTGAGCAAATGATGAGAACCGATTGATTTGATGTAGAGTGGTGGTTAGCAGAAAAACTCTGGGAAGGGTTAGAAAACTGCGAAAAAGGAGAGCAGCGCCTATTCAACAACAGATGATGTCAGTATTGATGAAACTGATGATGATACTAGAGAATCAACTAGTTGCTTTTTGTATAGACTTACCTCCGGTTGGCCATCCGCTGATTCAGCAGCATTGGGTGCCGCTTGCTCGCCGGCTGACTTCTCCTCGGCAGCGGCGGCCTGTTCACCAGCGGCGGCAGCCTCTTCCTGCTCCTTGCGATCGACAAGCGTGGCCGATGAAATTAGAACAATGCCATTTTGATTGATGCGAACTTTCAATTTAACATCCTGGCTCTCGCCACGTTCCGTTGGCTTCACATCCTTGATCTTCCAGACGCCAATAGTCTGATCCGGATACGGCACCTGTTGACCGTACACAATGGACGCATTGAAAGGACCCTTGCGTGCAATGGTCACCAGACGGCTGAATGGCGACGGATGGAATTGCGGAAAGATTTCAACTTCGCCATTCGATGATGAGCCATCGCCATCCCAGAGCACTTTCACGGCATAGTTTTGTATGTCTGTCACTCCGAATTCGCGCACACGCACAGCCGGTGACATAATGGCGCATTGCAGAGCTGCTCCACGCGATACAGCCTCATCCTGATTAAGTGTGGTGCTGGCCGGCTTGTTGAACACCTACACCGAAACAGATACACAAACATAAGAGACTTGCCAAAAACTTTCGATTGCGATTTGTATGACTCACCTGCTCAATGAGCTGCTTGATAGATGGTATGCGAGTGCTGCCGCCTACAATCTCTACAGAGTGTATTTCGTCCAGTGAGAGTTTGGACTCGACGAGCAGCTTCTTAAATGTTTGCTCGACACGCTGTAGCACTGGAGCGCATAGCTCTTCCATCTGGGAACGCTGCATGGATGAGCTGACGTCGACATCGTCCAAGAAGCATTCAATGTTCAGCGGCAGTTTGGTGCTGTTGGCGGACATTTGCTTCTTTAGCTTCTCAATTTCAGTTAGCAGACGCAGGTTGGCGCGAGCATTGGTCTTGGCATTGATCTTATAGCGTTCGAGAAACTCCTTGGTGAAGAACTCAGCCAGCGCCAGATCAATATCGCGCCCACCAATCTGATCCCAGCTGCTGGCCAACATCTTCAGCTTGCCCTTGGTGAACACACAGGCGCTGACCTGCAGCGCCGAGTGGCCAAAATCAACGAATATAACATTACGTGGCTTATCCTCAAACAGATCATTCTTGTAGAAGCCATATGCAAGCGCCGTAGCAGTTGTCTCGTTCATCAGGCGCAGCACATTCAGGCCAGCAATTTGTGCGGCATCGAGTAGAGCACGACGCTCGGCATTGGTAAAGAAAACAGGGCAGGCAATGACGCAGTCATTCACCTGCGTTTGCATGGCCGCCGCCGAGGTTTCCTTTAATTTGGTGAACAGCATGGCCGTCAGTTGTTCGGGAGTGAAATGCTGATCCTCTTGCAAATAGTTGACTTTGAAGCCAATGCTGCCATCATTGCGCGCCTCCACGCGCGCTGGAATGCTCTTGAGTTCGTGTTGTACATGTGGATCGTTGAACTTGCGGCCAAGTAAACGCTTGAAGCCGCCAACTGTGTTTTTCATGTTTGTCACCTGCTGGTTCTTGGCGGCAACGCCAATGATGCGCTTCTTGCCATCAAAAGCCACAACGGAGCTACAGAGAGAGAGAGAGACGTGGAAAGAAATAAGTAAAAAGAGAATACATAGTTGGTAGTTAAATCTTATCTTTCCAAGAAGCTCTGTTCTTATCAGAATACTTAAGCACATATGTACATTTTTATTGAGAGTGTTTGAGATGCTTCGCAGTCTCCATAGAAATTTATTGCTACAGGGTATACAACGCGTCAAATATGGTCCTGTTGCCACAACAAACTGAATCAAATAGGTAAGCACACATACATAGATTTATATATATACACACACACGCATATGTGCATGTACACATAGCCGTATATGTATAAACGTCTTGCATATGTATGTGAGATCGTGTTTTGCCGGCTTTGATTTTATTTTTGACAACTTTGGTGTGAACGCATTTGCTCTCGCACTGTATTTTCCCCTAATTTTTTTCACCGCAACAGCTGCTGTTGGTTTGCGCTCTCTGCTTTGATGCTATTGACTGACCGCATGACGCATGCGATGATATGCGTGAGCCTGTGTGTGTGTGTTTATATGTGTGCACATTGGCCAAATTATAAAAAAAAAGCATATTGGCAAAAGTGGAAATTACTCCCACGTATTCTACATTTATAAATCAAGATTCTTAGTCAAAAATTGGGCCGAAGCCCCATTTTATATGGAACAACACGCAGTGCAACATCTCCAAGGCGGTCTCTCATTAATTTGCAATGCTTTTTATGGAGAACAACCAGAGCCAAATTTAGGCCTGAGCCCACAATTGCATACATACATATGTATTTACTTATGTGTGCAGTATGTACATTTTACATGTTATATATACATATGATTATGGGTAGCTTTGTAATATTTTTTTTCTTTATAAGCGTTACCAGTGACAACACTGGAAATTTCTAGGCGCGTATACAAGCATATATATATATATATACACACACACTTCTATGTTCGCACGCACACCAAAAGCTATTGGGCATGACTTACATTTGTACATAACCTCAAAGAAAAAGAGCAAAACGATTATGCAGCACGAATTTAGAAGACTTTGCTAATTAATAGCCAATAGAAGCAATAATCATAATCATGTGCTAGTTTTTGGGTACTTACGGTGTTGCGCGCAGACTGTAGTCATTGGCAAGAGTCTCGATGCCGCCGGATCGGGCAGCCGCTACATAGCAGCCCTCGTTACCGAAATCGATGCCAATCACAGACATTTTTCTCTAGTTTCGACTGCCGATTCGTTTGATTAATTGAGTTAAACTAGTTATTTGGTTAGACTTTGTTGCCTAGATTTCTTCTGTTTGATTAAATGGGGCGGCTTTTGTTTTTTTCTTTTCTTTCAGCAACTGTAAAAGAAAACAGAAAATTAGTTCAAAATCACCAAACAAACACGCACACACGCGTCAATTTTATTTCAATTGACATATGATTCCAAAATTTCCTTTGATCTAGGCTTTTTTTTTCATTAATTATGGATTTGCTAGTGGGTTGTCGATTTATAACACAAAAAGTGTTCATATAGACGCCCACGAATTTGTCCGTTTCGTTTTAACGATTTTTCATTGATTTCATCTCTGATAGTTATATTTACGCACATTTTTGCAGAATATATATGTAGACGCTTTATGCTTATTTTAACAATGTATAAACGCTTAAATTTTTCTACCGCAACCGACACGTTTTTTCAGCGTAATGAAAATTGAAGCGGCGACGTCGACGTCGACTGAGAATGGTAGCGAAACTTCTCGAAAAATGCCTATCGACCTATCGATGAATCGATATTGGCACACAATAATATCGCACTAATTCGATCTTACAATTTATTCGCGCCTTTAACAAGTAGATATTTAAAGAGCTCAATTTTAAAACCCTGTTGTCCCATGTACAGAGTATATGTTTTAGTTTTTATAAGTTATTGCTTAGATTGAAAATGAATGACAGGAATTTCAAACTATTTTAGTCAGATTTCAACAGAAATTTTTATTATTCATATATATGTGTATACATTGTCATTTTAGTTTAAAACCAAGTGCGCAAAACAAATTGTAAGTAGGAATGGTTGAGTTCGATACAATACCGAGAAAAATTAAAAACTAATAAACTTAGACTAGATTGCATTTTAATGCATCTCAGGAATAATTTTGAACACATTAAATAATTAAGAGTGACTGAGTAACTACCAGAGATTCGATGTAGAAATCAACTAAGATATTTTAACATTGAGTGTTTCAGCTGAATTTCAATTGTTTGTTTCGTTATATGCAAACTCTTCTAGATATGTAGTACTAAGGCCTTGAGCCAACTCTATCGTTGTTCCGTTCTGTATGAAGTACGTGCGCAACTGCAACAATTCTTAAGGATTTGCCGGCGTCCGTAATCCATGTACTGAAGGTAACGCGTTTCTAAGGTCACTAAGGTGCTAAACATGCTGTATATAAACAGTATTCAACAGGGAATGTATCTTGAAAGTGGATGGAGGTGTCTGGGTTTTCAATTTGAGGGTCACTAATTGAGTCTTTTGCATTTCATTTGTGTAAATACTAAGCAGTCTTGCCGGTCCCAAACATGATCGTTGTCATCGTTATTGCTTAAGGCTTTCCGACTCACAGTTGAGCCACCAGTCCCGATGCAGATATATTATCTCCAGCGCCCGCTGTCTTTTTAGCTACCCGACATACTAGCACGGGCGCTACACAAATTTGTACTTCGATTCTTTGCAGGTCTTCGCCATATTGTATAAACTCGTTCCAGCAGGGTACGGGATTGGCTGCGCCAACGCGCATACGTGGTGCCTGCTCCTGGGCGGATGTTGCGAAGCTATCGTCCAACACTAGCATAACCGATTCTGGATTAACCTACAAATGACATATTTTTTTCATTGAGTATAAGAGCAAATAAATGAAAGGAATATCGCTCACAAACTGAGTTTTGCAGACATAACGATGGGCTGTCAATGCCGCCTTGGCTGCCGCAGCCCGAGTATTCTTCCACTTCGAATTGGCTATGGTCAGAATGGCCTGATATGCCAAGGTGTGTACGTGTATTCTAGAGACCATGCGACGTCGCGTGTCCGTCTGGCGCTGTGCAGAATAGTCCTCCTGTAGACTGATAAATACTTGTCGCATTTGATCCAGCGTATGAGCTACGCGTGGATTCCAGTCGGTGGCTAGCGTGGTGCGTCCGTTCTCCAGCACCTGGCGTAGATTTGACAGCTCCTGTTCGTTCATGCCCAGAGAGTCTACATAGGGCAGCACAAACTGACGGAGCTGTTGCAGTAGCTGCAACTCCACATAGCTTGCAAGCTCGAAATGTTGGAGCGTGTCCTGGGGCTGGCTGGTCAGCTGGATTTGCACCTGCCGCAAGCGTGCCTCACGCACTCCAGGACTAAACTTGAACATGTCCATCATTTGCAGACCGCTGACTACCAGCAGCTGTGGGTTATAATGCTTTAATGCGTCCGTCAGCTGCTCCACTGATCTTAAATGCGGGTTGTTCTTGTCGTTGTGCAGTATGTAGCGATTGGCGCGTGGCGCCTCATATGGCCCCCATTTATCGCCAGCCTTGTACTCGAGTATGAGATGTATATCATCATCAGGTATTTCATCGCCTGCCAGACGTATCTCCTTTGGCAGTAAAGGGCGTAATCTATAAAAAGGATGTTAATCTTATGCTAAAGGGCTAAAGGCACGCGTACGAAGCATACTTTTTGGACATGTGCGCGCCCAACAGCACATCCGCTCCCTCCATGACGAAGCGCACTGCCATCAATGGCGCATTGCCACCCATATACCAATGGATGCGCTCCTTGTCCATGTCTTTGGCATTGCTTATCAGCTGCTTGAAGAGCGTGCCATTCGCAATAGCGCGTCTAAGAAGTTTCAGTATATACATATCAGTTATCTACACGTAGTTGTTGTAGATGATGTACTTACTCGGCTGCGGCGCCGTTCTTAAAGTAATAGGCAAACGATTGCAGCAGCTCGTTTTCGTTGTTCACATCGGTTGCCGCAAAATCGGAGCGCACATGGGGCACACGCATTTTGTAAAAGTTCTCCAGAAACTCTGTAGCATTTACTTGTAGATCTGTGCAGGCGCCATAGCCAACAGCCACTTTGGGTGCCGGCTCAAACGCGGACCTCTTAAGACCGCCCTCAAGCGCCAGGAGACCAGTCAAGAGCACGGTGGTCTTATTGAGTGCCTGCAGCGATAAAAATGCCTGCCATATGATCGAAATGAATGCGGTGAACACCGAGCAGCCGGTTATCCAGCCCATGTAACGCAGAGCACCCATTTTTCGCACGAAGTGGGCAGCAGTCAATAAGCTTGTGGTTCTTGTTGGTTAACCGGCCCCAGCATCGGCGCCTGGCTGTCTTTAAATATGCTTTCGAATGACACGCCGGCTGTCTCCGCTGCGTGTTTTGCTGATGTGGCAGTTGCCTGTTCTGCTGCGTTTGTTATCAGATCGAGTTTCTCCTGAAATGCGTTTTATTTATAGAGTGCGGCTTTATTAAAAGATAACGTCACAACTCCCCTTTGCCGACAGCCAGAATCGCGAGTAAAAGTATCGATGCCATAAGCAGGGGTGTTCCCTATTGAATAATCGTGCACATATATGTGAGTATCCAAAAAAGTTGCTGCTTTCTTTTGAAGGCGTAGGCAATGCTACTAAAATTTGCTACACTTTCGAGCTAATGAATGGAAATCCGGTGCTTCAGTCTCCTTAACTTTGTTTTGATTTAGCTAATACGGCATATTTTTTTTTTTTTGGTTTTATTTTAAGGTGTTAATAAATTGCTATCCATTAATTTATTTTGGGTTTCATCCATTCGAGTGTGCGTTTTCAAATGCCAACTTAAATGCCTCTTTAAAAAAAATTGCGTACACTTAGAGACAATCTGCCGTATGTGAGCTAACAATTTACTTAAATGGAAGTTCTTGCGGCATATTATACACGATTTTGGTTTTGCTTTTGGTTTTATGGTGTTATTTAAAAGGTGATCTGCATGTTGTCTCTCCTACTGGCTATCATTCAGCTCTTTTTTGATTGAATCCGCGTCTAAAGTCTTTCAGTTCTGTATCTTTTAGGCTCATCTGTAGCATCTAATATCTTTTTTCGGAGTTGCACCTTAATCTAAATGCTGTTTGTACATCCAAAATACAGGAACATATCTGTTTTGTCAGCTTATCCTCCGGCATCACTGGGAACTAACATGTCCACCAGGCTGGGTTGATACCTAGACCCCTCAACGAATATATCCATCAAGTACACCGAGGACAAGCAAACGCGACAAACTTCACCCATGAGTTATTTTGTGATCTTAGAAATACTAGCGATGCTCATTTAATAGTTTAATAAGACATCGATATTTGCCTATTACATGTCAATCTGATTAGACATATCGAATTTTCCAATAAGAGTGTAACAGTCGTATACTACGTTCGATAAATCGAATATTTAATTTCCCCTTTTTAAAATTCGATGTATCGATGTTTCAGCAAGATATATCGAATGGCAACAATGGCGCGTTGTTTAAAATATATGTTTGAAACATTGCTTAAATTCCTAACAATAGCTCAGTTCCACTCTGCCCAAATGTTATATCTAACATTTATATTTTAAGATTCAATTAGCGAATGATATAAATGTAAACAGGAATTACTCAAAGCGCATTGCATATGTTAAATATGTGATATGGTATTTCATATGGAAAAACGTAGAGTCAACGTACTCTACATTCTCTACCTATGTGAGAAATGTTGACAGCGTAATCGGGCTAAGTAATATGCCTGTCAAACTTAATGACTTAAGGGCTAAATATGAGTATATTATTTTGATAGTGTAGACTCGTTTATAATTTAGCATTTTTTGTAATTTATTATTATTATTATTTGAAGGAAGTTTCCCGCAGCTGGTATATCAAAAAGCTGGAATACTAAAAATTTACTATTATTGTTAACTTTATGAGATACTGAAGTATTCCATACTCGATACTTCTTCTCCTCGTTGTATATAAAAGCCTTCTTTAAATACTATATTTAAAATAATTGCTAATTGCTGTCGACTAAACGATTTTAATGATTTTTATGGTGCTCGAGTACGTCATCGCCCATCATTTCGCTTACAGGCCGGAATTTAAGACGATGCCACAAGCATCGTAGTGTCATTTAAGGCGGTTCCTTCTTGTTTTCTGATGTTGTTAATTTAAAACAAGTTGTTGCTTCATTGTTGCTTTTTTGCTTTAATTGCTTCGTGCCGTTATTTTTATGTATTATTGTATTATATTGAGACAAGGTTATTTAATGGCTACACTGGATTGTTTGTAGAGGAAGTGGAAGTGTTTGTCAAGTCGAGGGTGCCTGCCTATGATGAGATATAATATGCACAGCTCTTAAAGAGCGCTTACCAAGTACTTTGAAGAGTCTTTCGACATGGGATATGAGTAGCATATCATTGCGAATTACAAATTAGCAAAAACCGATACCATGTGTACATTTCGCATACACACAACACCTTTTGACAAGTTTAGTCACTTGGTCCAAAGGTTCATCCAGTAAGGCATTTTTTATAGCTGTGATAAAATCAACAAATGCCAATTAGAGACAGCAAAATTTATAGGTCTGTGCAAATTGTTCTGTCTCGGCGGTGCACGTACGCCTCATGTGTCCAGTTTTAATGTCTGTGTATTTTTCCCCAGACAAACCGTAGCTTGTCATACATTTTAAAAACCCGCAGATGATTCTGCAAAAAAATTCGCTCCCGTTTCCCATTGCCCTTCCCAAATCGAGCCTCTTTGCGCATTTCATGTTCTGGTCAGGCCTTAAAAACCGCCTTTCAGCACTTCGGAGCGTTGCCTTCTTCTGTCTTTGGGTCTGGCCTGCGATAAGCACGTCGGCCAAGTGGAGCGGCCGCTGTTTCTGTCTCAGAACTATTTTTAACAGCTCAACGAAAGTGAATTTCAGAATTTACGTTTTTCAGACGACGCGCCAACCGGCTCGACGGCATGTGTGTGAGTGTGTGAACCGGTGACAACCAATTTTGATATCATATACCACGTACCCACATTGCGAGAGGGTGTATTCGATCGCATGTGCGACAAGCCCAGACACGTGTTAATATTTAAATGATGCGCACTTTCTGGCTTGAAACTGGATGCTTGAGTGAACATTTAAATGCTCATTTGTATTTTATACAAAACCTCGAACCAGTCAAATATCCAGGTAAATATTTGCAAATTTACAATATGCTACAAAATAGTTCGTTCGATTTCAAGTTAAATAAACTTTGCGTAATTTTCTATGAAGTAGTTCTAGTCATTTTTTTTTAAAAAGCCGAAATACTAGAAAGAAATTTTTTGTTATATATGGGCAATATACTCTATGCTGTCTTTTTTGCTGGGTATAAATATGTTTCTATATATATTTTTTTCTATACATTTTTATATTGTACAGGATATGTCAGAGTCGTGCACACTGTCCATCACAATTCGCACTTAATTTGTATTGTATTTTGTTCTTTTAACGTGTTTCGTCTACTCGTACGTATATATATTTATTTTTTAGTTGTTTTCCATATTATTCTATGCGTACTACGCTGTCCGGCTCTGTGGGCTATCCATATAAAATCAGCATAATCAGAAATTCTACCGAGCAGTTGATTCTATGCGGTCGACGAAGCTGGACGCGCTGCCTTCTGGGGCTACAAGTTTATAATAAATACAATTAAATAGAAATTATCGCTCGCGACTTTTTGTAATTGTGCAATTCTTCAGCTAGTTGCAAGATTTACCGGTTAAAGAATTAAAAGAGAATATATGTAAATATATAGACATTCATTGTTGATCAGCAAATCGATAGAGAAGATTCATTTCAAAGGTAATCTAGTTCTGTGTGTGCCTAGATCTAATTAAATTCTAGCAAATGTTTCGTCTTGTGCTTCCGATTGCATTTTCGTTTTGTTTAATTTGGCGCGTTTTTTTCCTAAGTCTTTTGTTTAAAGTCTGTGCATTATGCGAAAAGGAAACAAAATCTCTATGTATATATATATATATATGAATCTTGTTCACAACTGGATTTAGCACGCGTATTCGGACCACTAATTTCGGCAACTTCCGCCTGCCAACCCATAAAAAATGAATTGAGTGCATAACATTTTCAAACATTTATCGTTCTTTCGTGGCAAAATCGGACCGAATCGAAATACGTTCAGAGTCCGAGCAAGACATTTGTCTTGGCGTTCAGTTTTATGTGATTTATATTTCATATTTGAGAGACTGAAGAATATGTTCTATTAACTAACTGAAAACATTTCGCGACTCAATGTCAAATTCCTCATGGACTTATGTTGCTTTGGATCATTATGACAAGTGCGAACTGTTTGAAGAACATAACCGAAAGAAGCTGTTAAAACAACTGGTCAACGTTTTCTAGAAGACACATTTGCATATTTTTTTTATATATATGGTATATCTCATTTTTGTTGTCAGATTCCTTTATGCTAGATGCTAAAATTGGCCCAGACAAGCTGACTAAGCATAAAGTGTAGTACGACGGAAAAGCAAATCAAAACAAGCATCGCAAAGGTGAATAAACTAAACAAACGCCGATGTCTCTGTAATGAAATATCTGCCGAGAACGGGTTCAGTGTCGAGGACGTCACCAACGATAGCAAGAGTCTTGCGTGACCACGAGACTAGACATTAATCTCGACTTATTTTCAGCTGTAAAACACGATGGGCAGGTCGTCATTTAAGGAACTGTCACTCTGCCTGTTTGTGCTGCTGCTGGTGGGCTTGACGGGCCGTGTGACGTCACAGCGCACGTCATTGGACGTGGCCTTTAGGAATGCCTATCGGCCACTGCGTCTACTGGGCCTGGCCTTCAGCGGGCGCTCCGGCGACGAGCCGGCGAACGTGCAACGCGTGCGCAATGCGGGCGTAGGTCTACCCTTGTTGCAGTAAATACTCCCGAATCTTTATTTCTGTTCGTTTTACTTTTTCTTTTCTTAGAAAACTCAAAAGTCCAATCCCCGCACGCGCGCCCTGCTGCAGTTCTGCGATGCGGAACACGGACCTGGCCGACGCAGTGCGGAGCGTCCGTCCAGCGTGCATCGGTTGCGACCCGGCGATATAGACATTATCGCTGGCATGGGCGACTCTTTGACCGCGGGCAATGGCGTTTTTGCCACCAATCTGGGTCATGTCACCGTCGAAAACCGTGGCGTGGTTTGGTCCATTGGCGGACAATACAATTGGCGCAAGTATCTAACCTTGCCCAACATACTCAAGGAGTTCAATCCCAATCTCTATGGCTATTCGCTGAGGGATGGCTTGTCCACAGATCGTGCATCGCGCTTCAATGTGGCCGAGCTGGGCGCCATGTCCCGGGACATGCCCTACATGGCCAAGGTGCTGGTGAAACGCATGCAGCGGGATCCGCATGTGAACATGACCCGCGACTGGAAGCTGGCCACCTTGTTTATAGGCAACAATGACTTCTGCTCCGACATTTGCTTCTATCCGCAGCCGGAGCTGACGATTGCTGGGCACGAGCGGAATATGCTCAAGACCTATCGCTATCTGAGGGACAATGTGCCACGCCTGCTGCTCAATGTGGTGCCAGCGCCCAATCTGCGTTTTCTAACCAAGCTGTCCGGCCTGCCGCCCATTTGCAAGACCACCTTGCGCTTCGAGTGTCCGTGCCTGATGGGCAAGAGCAAGGGGCACCTGGATTACTACGAGGGCATCATGAAGCGCTGGATAGCCAAGGACTATGAGATTGCCAACAGGGAGGAGTTCAATACAGAGGTGTGTCCATCCCATCTCATCTAGTTTAAGCCCCCCTCAATATACTCTATATACTCTGCAGACGTTCACCATCAATGTGCAGCCTTTTTCTCAGTTTGACGACTTTCCGCGCACGCGTTCCGGCTTGACGGACACGCGCTTCTTCTCCGAGGATTGCTTCCATCTGAGCCAGCGCGGTCAGGCTTCCGCGGCCAACGCGATCTGGAACAATATGCTGGAGATGCCCGGCGAGAAGAGCGGCTTTAATGTGAATCTTTTTGAGAAGTTCAACTGCCCCAGCGAGAAGCGTCCATTCCTGATCACCCGAGAGAATAGCCGCGCCGATTTTGTCATCTAGTCGACAACTGCCTTATTATAAAATCCCATTCCGACTGTGATATGTCTGTCGCCTTAGTCTCGACCATACTTGTTTGTAGTATTCATTTACGCTTCGATCAATATACGCTTAGAAATTAGAAAACTTCACGACTTGCCTAATGACTAACTCAAACGAAGCGCGCATACATTATTAGCTACCCAGCAAAATCAGCTGGTGAAATATATATATATACCATATTTTATATTCCCCGGCTGATTTCCATATCAGCATTTGAATTGGAATGCCCGTGTTTTACACACGCGATTGGAGTCGTCGCCAGTTACATTTCTCCCATAATAATTGGTAAGTAGGGCTATTCACGAATTGATATCGATTTGTTTAGTTTAATCGCAATGATTAAAAAGAATTTACGACTTTAAATGAATTAAGTAAAAAGTTAAATGGCTTTCCATCGCAATTAAAGGCAAAGGGCGTGAGTCCGGCTTGGCAAACTATTTCTAAGAGCTTACTCAAAAAGAAAATAAAGAACTTTTGAGGAAGATCTGGCCGAAAGTATAAATAACTTGGGCCCACGATCAAACCAAAGTGGGAAGTTAACAAATATAGCCCGTATCTTGTGTATGAAAATATTTACGGCTTGCAATAGTTTCAGCACAGAGGGCAACATTAGATTACAAAATATAATTTATTAAAAGTGTTGAAAGATCTGGCTTTGAGGCTGTAAGCTGGTTCAAACCATTAAATCCTTTTATACTTGGTTTGCTGACCTGATTAAAGCTAGAGCAGCTTATCGAACCAGAAAGCTGGTTCAAATCCAAGTTTCTTATTTGCAGCCCTGATTATATGAAAGCGGTATTCATGCTGAAGTTTTAATTGACTTTTCGAATCAGCATAGCCCAGTTTCACGAAGCGATCCTAAAGGTAGAAAGCTGGTTCAAATCCCCAAAACATTTTTTATAGGCAGCCCTGATTACTTTTCAGCACATTCATCAGGCTTACATTTTTATTGATTTCTCGAAGCACCAGATACAAGTTTCGCGAGCCGCACTTTAAGGCTGAAAGCTGGCTCAAATCCCATAAATATTTTTGGTCTGATTTGCAGCCCTGATTACCTTTTAGCGCAATCATCCGGCTCATATTTTAATTGATTTCTCGAAACACCCTCTTACAACTGCCAGCACAACTGTCGTGTGCCGATATCGGCTCGACTTGTGTGGCCATAAAACTTGTTACAAATGTTTTTTTAAAAAGCACATAAAGCACCAATAAAGCCCGGCTCATAATAATGGCCAATTTCGAATATGGAGACGTTGCCTCGGAACGTGTTTTTGCGGCTAATAGCTGCCCATTTGTGCGATGATCAACGGTTTCGCATGCAAGTGCCAAAAGGTAAATGAAATAAAAACATCAATTACGTTATTTCTCTGCTTCTTCTACTCGCTTTTCGAGCTGATTGCAGCACTTTATAAAGCTGCCTGCAGCCCCCCCAAATATAACTGCTGCCTGTCCATGTAATTCGGTCAGTGTTAAGGTTAATGCCAGGCGTTGTGCGGCAGCACGACTTTCTCGTTGACTTTGAACTTGAGCGCGCGACTGAAGCACACATTTGATTACAGGGTATCGCCTATTAACTGCTTAACGACAAAGCCAATTAGTTTCTCACTGACTTTATAGACTGAATCGGGTATATTGGTTTGCTTGTAATACTCACTGTTCGTACGTTCTTTCATTTTGGAATATATACAATGGATACACCCACTGTGGGCGTGGCAGATCGGCTTAACCTTCGCTAAATAACAATTTCATATTATTTTGCAAAAATTGATCTCTTTTCAAATTGTTAGGTAAGGGGTATCGCTTAGTCGGCTGCACCCGACTGTAACATTCTTACGTGTGCTTTTCGCTTCGTATTTCACCTGCGCATGGCCAGCTTGTTTCTCAAGTTCTTGACTATTTTAAGTCACATCAAAGTCACACAAAAGTTTTGTAATTTCGCTTAAATAGATTTTGGATGCCTGTTTATGATAAATGTTTCACAGCTTTTAATCACTTCTTTGTCAAAATGATCAGAAATTATTAAAGTTTTTAGGTCCGCATCAGGTTTCGAATATTATTGAATATGCTAATTTCCTAATTAGTAATTATTAGTCATTTTATTAATAGCTCTGTTTACGCGTTTTCAATATTTGCGTTTGCAAACTTTTAAGCGAATATATTTCGAAGTTAATTTAATTTGTTGATATCCAATTTTCAAGCTGTGCGTTTAAGCTAACAAATAAATTAATAACATATGAATAAAAAGTTTTGTATATTAAGTCAATAAAAATAAAGTTAATAGAATTCTGCGTAACTGGCGCCATCTATGTAATTGTAGGTGTAACTACAAAGTGCTGTCAGTGTGTACCTACAAAATGAATTAAAGACTGCTAGTTCCGCAACGCCACAATAGATGGAGCTAATATTTGAATTCTCTTCTTTAACTTGAAGTCAAAACTTTAAATGTAAATATTTTTTAATCAGCGTAGCAAATATTTCCCATAAAATATTATAGTAAAAAAGAAGAAAATAACAAACAAAAAAAAAAAAAATGGAATTTCTATATCAATATATGTATGTGTTGTATGAGCAATGTTTTTTTATAAACCCAAAGCAAATTCGACTTTTTTTGTTGCAGTATTTTTCAACCAAGTCGGAGACTTGTTACAATAATAATAATGTGCTGTGCTTTTCCACTTGAAAAGGTCTTTAGCAATAACATTGAAAATCAAATTTTGGCAAAGAGTTTCGAGTTTTTCTGCTGTATTCAGCGTAAAACTGAAAACCACAACAAAACGTCTGAAACTGAAGCGAAATGGCGAATTGTGCTTAGCATGCAATTTGTTTGAAATGTTATAAATGCTCGGCCCCCATGACAAGAGCTGAGCATTTCCATAAAATACCCCGGTCTCAAGAGTTGATATCATGGCAGTCGAAAGCAGGCAAATTCAAGCAGCCGCAATCATATTCTTGTTGGGTAAGTCGCAATTATGTTAGCCGTTCGGGTTTCACGATTATAATGAATTTTGCGATTCTCGCAGCTATGCGGCATTGCTGCGGCCTGCCCTACGGCTCGGCTGGCAATGATATTGACATTGATGGCAACTACCAGGGCACGGGGGGAGGTGGCGCCAACGGCAGACCCATTGACTATCACACGGTTGTGGGTCACTTTAAAGACTTCTTTATGTATCTGCCGGTGATGATGACCACAATTAAGGAAACCATGTCCGGATTTCCCAAATTTGCCGAAGGCATGCGCATATTAACCTCCGGCAAGGGCCGGGTCGACGGCGAGGACTGCAAGTGCAACCAGAACAGCCTGGGAATGGGCTCCAGCAGTGAGGTGCTCGAAAACAGCAGCCGCTTCCGTTGACCCAGTCAGGATTTGCAAGTGTATATAGTTCGTGTAGATACTAATGACTACCTAGTGCCAAGTAAAATAAATTATACATCTTAACTTAGGTTTAATAAACTTAAATAACTTTATACGATATAACAAGTTTAATAAATTATATATTTTATTCGTAGTTTCCCACTCATCTCACAGTTTCTCAAAGGTAGACTGACAAGGGGGAATACTGAGTGTAAGAGCGAGAGAGAGAGAGAGCGGGTAGACATTTTTAAAAGGAGTGAAATTTGAATTCTATGAATTTACACAACGATTTTTCGAAAAAAAGCTTTAATTCCATCAAGTAAATATATGTGAAAATTTGTTTACAAGTGTTTTCCACCAATTTTCCACACTTTAGGGCGGAATTTTGCGCTGAAATCACATGAGCAACTACTGTGCAAGTTACACCTTCCTGCCACATGCTTTGGCTGCCTGTTAATCAATCAGCAGGTCAGTCAATATACCTGTTCATCAGTCAGTCGATCAGTCGGCTTGTCAATCAAACAGCCAGTCAGTTAATCAATTAGCCAGTCCATCACAGTTAAACAGTGTGTCAATCAAGTGGCCAGTCAGTCAATCAATCAATCAGTCAATTAATCAATTGATTAGTCCGTCAATCAATCAGTCAGTCAATGAATCAGTCAGTCAGTCAGTCAATCAATCGGTCAGTCAGTCAATCAATCAATTCTGTCAATCAATCAATCTGTCTGTCCGTCAATGCAAACAGCTATTCGTTGAGCAAAAATCGACTTACATTTCATTTAAATTTGTTTGTCATGTTCTTTTACTAATTACGAATCATGAATATTTCACATTTCTGGGTAATAAACTGTAATTGTGACATATTAAGCCATAACTTTTGCTATTAGACAATCGCATAGTGTAAACTTGACCCACAGGACGCGCATTGTCCTTGAGCTTATATAACCACACGCTTTGTGGGCAATCTTCTATGGCCCATTAGGCAATAGGCCAACATGCGTGGACTTGAACTATATTTGTATTTTCTTAAGTAGTCAATAGTTGCGACGTTTCATTAGCCATACCATGTGTGGATTTTGTGCCCGCCAGTCTAGAAATCATATATGGCAGCTAATCAAAGCTGACAATCTGCATGGGACCGAGGGAGTAGGAGGCACTCGCAGCTGGTACTCCTGTGTGTGTGTGCGTGTGTGTGTCCCGCCATATTTACACTTGTCATTATTGTTAATTGTGTTTGTTGTGGGTCAAGCATACAAGAGCCATATTTACACATGCATATGAAGCGTTTGGGTTCATAGGAATTGTGGTTTTAGTAACGCTCGAGTCTCTGGGTCTAACGGTACGTTGGGAAATCGGCAACTGTACCCGGCTGGAACCAGTATGCGAAAGCGCAAAAAGCCAGCCAGTTACTAGAGCAGCTAACGGTAAGAGTCTGGCTTAAATGGCTACAGGAATCGAGCTGCTTGTGGCCGCCGCACTGTGCCTGGCCTGCCCACCGATTAACGATACCCTGCCAGCGGATCTGATACAACTTAACGAGGATGGGAGCCTGGTCACGGAGCTGCCCATTGATGTGGAGGCGGCGAATGTGGGACTGGACGGGGATGCGCCCATAGAAACGCTGGAGGTGATACGCAACAAAAAGGAGAAGCTGCGCAACATGAGGGAGTGGATAAATGGGAAACATCTGCGCATTGCCACGCTGGAGGATTATCCATTGAGCTACACCGAAATGCTCGACAATGGCACTCGGGTTGGCCGCGGTGTTTCATTTCAGATCATTGGCTTCCTCCAGGAGAAGTTCAATTTCACCTACGACGTGGTTGTGCCGCAGGACAACATAATTGGTTCCACGGCAGACTTGGATCGCAGTCTAATCGAAATGGTCAACAATAGCGTAAGTGCAGAGCACCCCTTCAATCCTGTGCCCATATATCCTAAGTCTTCCATGACAGCTGGTGGATCTGGCCGCCGCCTTTATACCCTCGCTGTCTGAGCAGCGCACCTTTGTCTTCTATTCCACGACCACACTGGATGAGGGCGAATGGATTATGGTTATGCAACGGCCGCGGGAGTCTGCCGGCGGCTCTGGTTTGCTGGCGCCATTCGAATTTTGGGTCTGGATACTCATCTTCGTCTCGCTGCTGGCCGTTGGGCCCATCATTTATATGCTGATCATTATACGCAATCGCCTGACGGGCGATTCAGTGCAGCAGCCCTATTCCTTGGGCCATTGCGCCTGGTTCGTCTACGGTGCACTGATGAAGCAGGGCAGCACCCTCTCCCCCATCGCAGGTGAACTAGCAATTAACCCTAATGCAGCGATAAGCATCGGCCATTCGAGCTGCATTGCAGCCATGTGCCGGCGATTCGATTCACTGGACATGCAATCGTCGAGTTTGTCGTTTCAATTAAAAAGTATCTATATATACTATGTACTACTATATTTAATCGCAGATTCGACACGCCTGCTCTTTGCGACCTGGTGGATATTTATTACAATTTTAACCTCGTTTTATACCGCCAATTTGACTGCATTTCTGACCCTTTCAAAGTTCACACTGCCCTTCAACACGGTGAACGATATTCTCACAAAGAACAAACACTTTGTATCCATGCGAGGGGGCGGCGTGGAGTACGCAATACGAACGGTGAGTTTTTATACACATTATATATAGGGAGGATTTTCACCCAAGTATGGATGAATTAACTAATTAATTATTTGATTAGTTAATTCCCATTTTATATAATTATATTTTACAAGGACATCACCCGTGGCTATATCTTAAATGCCTTAGCATAAATTCCATCTATTTATAAATGTATATGTGAATATGCACTTACCCACAAATTCCACGACATCTATTTATAGGGGAGGGACAGACTTCTATTTAAGCACATCACTGAAAAATATAGTAAGAGAACAGATTAGAGCAGGAGTAAGAACATTGAATACAAATATAGAAAGAGAAAGAGGAAGAGAGGGAGGGGGAGAGAGAGAGGAGGAGAGATAGAGAGTGAAAGAGAGAGAAAGACAGATGGAGAGTTATCGAGCGAGAGAGAGAGAGAGAGACTTAATAAGTGTGAACGTGTAAGCTGATATAATAGATAGTTGATTAGATTGGCAGCAAGACTTATTCAGTTGCTATCCACGCATGAATCCACGCATGAAAGCCTGCGAGCCTTACTTGAATTCATGAGAATCGCATAGAGGGGATATTCGTTCATATGAAAACAATATTTAACGTAGTTACATGAAGATGAGTTTGACGAAGATCGGAGGGAAAATGAAATAGTTTTTCACGCATTTTCCGACGTAAGGGGAGGGTTTACTGTTGAAATAGATATGTTGAAATACATCTCTTGAAACCATCATAATTGATCTATAATTGCTTTACTCCTTTTCTTTCATGAAGACCAACGAATCGCTTTTCATGCTCAATCGCATGATTCAGAATAATTATGCTGTATTCACGGATGCCTCCAACGATACTTACAATCTGCAGAACTATGTGGAGCGCAATGGATATGTGTTCGTGCGGGATCGGCCAGCGATCAATATATTGCTGTATAGGGATTATTTGTATCGCAAGTCAGTCAGCTTTCACGATGAGAAGATTCACTGTCCGTTTGCCATGGCCAAGGAGCCATTTCTGACCAAGAAGCGAACTTTTGCCTATCCCATTGGTTCGAATCTCAGCGAACTCTTCGACCCCGAGTAGGAAAATTAATTTGTTTATATATAATCATTATAATATATAAATATATTATTTGTAGACTTCTCAATCTGGTAGAGTCCGGCATTATCAAGCATTTGTCGGCCAGGGAATTGCCGAGCGCCGAAATTTGCCCACAGGATCTGGGCAGCACCGAGCGCCAGCTGAGAAACGGTGACCTCATGATGACCTATTACATAATGCTGACCGGCTTTGCCACTTCACTGGTCGTGTTCACCACGGAGCTGCTGTTCCGCTACATCAACGGCCGGCACGAGGCCAACAAATGGGCGAGACACGGCATCGGACGCACACCCAATGGCCAGTCCGTGCGGCCATCGCGTTGGCTGCGCGGCCTGCGGCGCCTGCACAGCGGCGACAAACCGCTGCTGGGAACCTCCACAGATGCCCAGAATGTGACCCCGCCGCCACCATACCAGAGCATCTTCAATCATGGCGGCGAGCATCTGCACGGTGGCCAGCAGCGCTGGCGGCAGGCCGGCAGGGAGCACGGCCTAATTCTGGGCGGGCATCACAACGGGGCCGGAGTGCGACGCCTGATAAATGGGCGCGACTACATGGTCTTTCGCAATCCGAATGGCACCAGTCAATTGGTGCCAGTTCGATCGCCATCGGCAGCTTTGTTTCAGTACACATATACGGAGTAGTCCATTTGGAATTTTATAACATTTTTGCATTCTTTTTTTAGGGATCTAAGCCCCTTTAAGATAGAAGACAAAATATTTCTTAAGATACAAACACAATTAGAAGCACCCGAGCACAGATAGACGTAGACAATGTTTTGGTGTAGTTTAAAAAGTCCTCTAGAAAACGTGCGAGGTGTGCTTAAAAAGTAAGGGACAGTTCATGATATTAGAGAACTATCCGAAACGTTTTGAGTACAGCTCGTGGATTTAAGGAGTTATTTGGAACTTTGATGTTTTTCAAGCGGAGTTTTAGGAACATTTGCGAATGCCGTAGATTAAAGATACTTGCAGACTTATAAGTACGGTGTACAATATACTTATATCTATACCCAACCCAATTTCACATATAAAAGCTTTCCCATAATATATGTAGATTTCATATAAAGAGAAGATAGCTTGAGATTTGGATAAAGATCAAAATTAGAAATGCTTGATGGGTTCGAATATGCCACAGTTCGTGACAAATGTTGAATACCCTGCAAAGGGAATTGAACTTTAAATCTATGTGATTTATCTAGGGGCTTCATATAAAGTGAAGATAGGTGGAGTTATAGATGCTGATCAAGAATATAAAAAGTTGAAGGGAGTTGGAATATCTCACGAAAAGTCTTATACATTTCAAGATAAAAGAAGGGTATAACAAGATATACAAATGAAATGAATTCGAATTTTATATCAAACAGAAATCTAGTAAATAAAACATCAAAGTTTCTATAACTTTATTAATTAGCCACAATTCATGAATTATACAATATTTTTAGCTCAATCACAATAAATTTCTAGCTGTTTTGTAAGCAACTATTTATCCTGTTTATTCAACCTAATCTAGAGTTCCAAGGGCATTGAAGGCATAGGAGTTGGAGTGCAAGTCCAAGCTGCTGTGTGAGGAGCACGAGCTAATGGAGGGCGCACGCGTGGAGCCCGCCGAGGAGCTGGAGCTATTTGATCCGCTGGAGGAGCTGACCCAGGCATGACCACTGCGTCGACGTCGCTGCCGCACTAGGCCCAGCACCGAGCCCGCAACAGGTGTGCTGGACGTGGCTGCCTGGCGCTGGGAGCGTTGCGAATCCAACGTGACCAATGCCGTGGCAGGCCGTGATCCAGTTCCAGCGTGACTATTCTGATGGTTCTGTGGTGCCGACTCCGAATCGCTGGACAAGGAGCTGTGCGCATCCTCCGGCTCAGCTGCCAGTTCACTCTCAGCTTGGATGGGCTGTCCGTCGAGCAGCTGTAACGTGGCCACGCTGCGTCTGAGCACATCGCGGTAGAGTGGCAAACGGCAGACGGGATTGCCAGACAGATCCAGCTCCTGGAGCTGCGGGCACAGGCCCAGAAACGTGAGCAGGCCCAGTTCGCTGATGCGATTGTTGCGCGCCTGCAGCATCTGCAGCTGGCCCAGCTCCGTCAGTGGACCCACGCGCTGTATCATGTTGCCATCCGCTATGAGCACTCTCAGGGCTGGCAGGCCGCTGGTGCCATCGAAGCTATTCAGTCCGCAATTGCTGATGTTCAAGTGGTTGAGCTGCGTCAGGCCGTAGCCGAGATCCCGCAGAGAGCTCAGCACACTGCCGCTGAGATCCAGTTGCTGCAGACGTGGCAGGAAGAGCGAAAGCCTCGACAGGCTCACCGAGTAGGATATAACACGCAGACGCACCGATTCCACATGTTCCAGATCCGTGCGCTGCGTCACCCGACGCTACAAACATGCACATGGTCAGAGAGAGAGATTCATTTATGCCTCTAGTTAACACCCTTACCAGGAGCTCATCCAGCGTTGGCTCCGGCAGCTGTGGCGGCAGCACCACGGGCAGCAGGTGCACAAAGGCTGGAAAGTGTTCGGTCTCCTCCAGAATGGGCACATCGCGATCGTAAGAGTTTCTGCGTCCCATTTGGCGACGATTTTGCCGTTCCACTTGCAGTTGCTGTTGTTGTTGTTGTAGTTGTTGCTGCTGTTGTTGTAGCCGCACCTCAGCCGGAGGCGGACGTAGCTGTGCCAGTGCGGCAGGCCCGGGCAGCGGAGCCAGCAGCAGCGGCATCTCTGGCTGCAGTGAGTGCTCCGGCGAGGATTCCGCGTACTCGGCGGGCGCTTCAAGCAGCGGCATTTTATTGTAGTCTAATGCGTAGTTTTCGCCTGAACTTTGCCCGCGTGTCCGTTTATTGACAAAACAATCCAGTCCAGTTGCCCGGGGCAACGCATCATGGCCAGGGTTGCCAAAGTGCTTTCCTTTTGATTAACTGGAATGTTGACTGTCCTGTTTGCAGGGTTCCAATAATACTTTTTATTTATTTAAAGGAATTGTTTTTTATATTTTTTGCTTTCTTTTGTAGCACTTTTTTAAGAACGAGTTCGTCAGACACATTTAAGGATACATTCTTTCGATTTAACCTTTTTTCTTAGTCAAGAAGGTTCCATTTGAAGTCCATTGTCATCAAAGCCTTTACACATATAGAATACATTCATGATATTCAGATCTTTCTTCTTGAAAAATTTGGCAATGCCCCAAAATTCCGTAACTTTTACTTTGCCCTCTCACGTTTGCGGCACACTGACGTCAAACTGTGACGTCACGGTCGTGACGTATGCCCAATGTCGTTAGCTTGCCGCTGCCTTGCACTAAACGCAAGAGCGCATTAAGGACCAGAGCCAAGAGAGACAGAGATGGACAGATAGGCTGAGAAAGAGGGAAAGGGAAAGGGAGAGTAATAGACATAGAGTGAGCTCCATGCGACAGTTCAAGTGGCAAACGCCTTTTGGCATTTCGGACACCGTTAGCTGAAGCCTTCGCGAACGATTCGCGAGTTGTTTTTGCTTTGCGTGTCTGCTGCAGCCAGACGACACCTCTGCACGCTTTACGATAATAAAATTTGCCTGACGCCTTTAAATGGCAGCGCTGAAAAAGCTTCAGCCGGCTTTTGTGTCAGCCTCGTTGTTGTTTTGGTTCGAAAGCTTTCGCGATTGACGTCATCAACATGATGTACAGGCTGAAAGCTGCGCAGTAGCTTGAACCAAGCTGAGACGTTTCCACGCATTTATCGATTAAGTAGAGCGCACGCGGGTGAGTAAGGGTGTGAGAGAGAGAGAGAGAGACGGCGTGTGTTTAGCGCGATAGTTGTGTGGGTGTGCTAAATGTCGCAAAAAACACGACAACTGCTTTGTTTTAACAAATCCCGGCGCTGGGTTGGCCTTACAACTGCCTCAGCTTGGACCAGGTACACACATACATACATACATATATTGACAGTCAGATGCTATGCAGAAAATTGTCTATAAATTGGGGCATATTAGGCCAATGCTATATTTGTAAGTATTCTTAATAGCCTGCCTTTTTATTCGTGTTTCTCTCAGTGTAGCCACACGCAAAGCAGCTGACAAAGTTTTGGGGCAAGGTGTTGCTAAAAACAAAAATCCCCCACCTTAGCTTGTACTGGCGGCTGTCTAAAAATAGAATTTGTCAATAATGCCAGCACACAGGCCATGTGTGTGTGTGCATGTGCGTGTGTGTGTGTGGGCGTTAATACTCACGACGCGCAGCGACTGACGTCATTGTGCAGAGCTTTTGCTGCTGCTGCTGCTGCTGCTGCGCTCGTTACTACGTTTCAGGAAGCAGGACACAAACAACAAGCAACCACCACCGAATGCGACCCAGGCCAGCGCCAGGGCATTTCGGTTTGGGCCATTTTGCATTGCCGTCTCGGCCAGGCCAAGTCAGTCGCTTAGCAGCCGCGAACGCGAGCAAAACACACGGTTCCCAAGTCTCCACCGGGCGACCTTCATAGAGAAACCACAAAATTTTTAAGTGCTCTAAGTGAATTGTCATTTGTCAATTGACAAAGGGCTAAAACCAATTTAATTAAGCCCGAAATTCGAGCCGTGGCTAATGCAATAAACTAAAGAAATAATAATAAAGAAATTCCCGAAGGCTGTGTGCGTGTGTGTGTGTGAGTGTGTGCGGGTGTAGCTGCAGCAAGCGCGTGCAACGTTTTCAGCTGCTGCTGTGCATAATTATTTGGGTCAAAGCGAAAAGCTGCAGCCACAAACTTGACTGCACAAAAGTTCAAACATCCTGCCTGGACTAATCCACCTGTTATGAGGCCACGCAGCAGCTTATGCGACAAGCCAGCCGTTGCAGCAACAACAACAACAACAACAGCCTAGACTAATTGGATTTACAGACTTCGAGAAAATGGAGGCCACTCAGCCCAAGGTGCATCGACAGCACCAGCGACAACGGCGCACCGAGGCGCGTCAGCGGCGCTTGGAACGTGAGGCAGCCGCAGCGGCCGCAACGCCGCCCGATCTGGAGCTGGAGGCAACGTCCGTGGTGGAGACGCTGGAAAGCTGTGCGGCGGCGCTCAACGATGCAGCATCGACGACAACAACAACAGCGGCAGCAACAGCAACAACTGCGGCGGGTCGCATCAGTGCGCAGAGCTCGGCGGATAGCATTGAGATGGTCGGCTCACCCAGTCAGACCTCACAGCAGACGGTGGTGCTGGTCAATGGACATGCCCCGCCCACGCAGGATACGCAGGAGGAGAGCGTTTCCCTGGGCGCTGACGAGCCGCTTGGCGCAGCTGTCGCTGCGGCAGCCGCTGCAGAGGTCACGCACCTGGAATCGCCCACGCAGCCAACAAAGCAAAGCGATGGCAGCCGCAACTCGTCTGGTGATGCAATGAGTCTGCGGGAGACACTGCGCCAGCTGCCGGCTACGCACGGGCATCGCTCGCGGCGCACACACTCGCCACAGTCTCCGGCGCTGCGCTCGCTGGAAGTCGACTCGTCCTTCCATCGCGGCATATTGGGCTACATAGATCGCGAGCTGAAACAGTGTTCGCCGACTCCCTCGGCGCTGAGCATGGGCGCGGGCAGCAGCGGAGCCGGTGGCGGAGGAGGCAGCGCTAGCGGTGGAGCCTCGCGCAAGCAGCAATCGCTGTCAGATCCTCAGGCCAGTCCCGCTCAACGTTCGCTGCGCTCAAGGAACAGCTTCGACAAGAGTCCACGCCGCAAGCGTAGCAAGTCAGAGTCACGCAGGAGGCGTGAGCGGAAGCTCATAGCTGCCGGCGAGATGGAGGTGCGCCAGGCTAATGAAACCCTGATGCGCTACCTGAAGCAGTGCTCCGATATGCATGATGCCTCGCTGTCGGGCGAACTGGAAATTGATCAGAGCCTCGAGGAGCGTCGGGTGCACCGCAAGACGAAATCGCAGCGGGACAAGCGGGGCCAGCTCATTAGTAAGTCACAGAACAGCAACTCCCAAGACTCAGTCCCAGTCCCAGTCCCAGTCTCAGATTGACCAAATTGTATTCCATTGAGAAAAAAGCTTTCAACAGCCAACAAATACGATTCTGCGCAGTTGTATGCCTCACTCCTGCTGCCATCTGACTGACGGGCTCTCTTTCTTTCTCTCTCCCTCTTGCTCTCACCTGCAGGCAAACTTTACTCAGCTGGTGGCCTATCCTCCATACTGAAGGAGCTGGCGGATGACATTGCGCCCGCCGAGGGCGAGGAGATCTACAATCCATTCACTCCGGTCGTCTCGCCCACGGACGATACGCCCGCGCACATCGACAAAATGTTCCTGCAGACGTCATCGGGCTATCGACCAGTGGAGCAGAGCTACTATAAGCGTTCCTTTGTCGGCGCGTCGCGCAGCGCAGCTGGCACCAGCGGCAGCTGCATGGGCATCGATGGCATCTCGGCCGCAGAGCTGGGCGGCGCCGGACGTCTCTTTCGCTCCAACGGCGGCACAGCCAGCGGTCGTGGCAGCTATGGTGATTCGCGCTGTCTGCTCGATGCCGACCTGAATCGGTGGGTTAACTCAGACACCGGCGTGGGCGTCTACTCCTAGCGTCTATTGCGTGCACATAAGCCAGCGGTTGCGGGCTATTTTTAGTTTCCCTGCCATTCCATTCAATTTGCCAATTTGTGCTTTGTTTCCTTCCCCCGCAATGCAAGTTTGATTTCTATTCGTGCTTATCTTGTCTTGGCCTGTTTATTTTAGTGCCAACAATGGGATCTCAGCAGGGCTTACATATTAAGCTGTTTTGTGTGTGCAAAAATTGCGCAAGAATCCCAGAGCTCAGTTTGTGGTCAGGGGCTTAGAAAAGGCAACCACATTGGAGAGAATATAATGAATGGGATATGCTTAGATACCGCATTTCCAAGTACAATTCATATTAGATTATTGCTAAATCAGATATTGAATAGATAAAAATAGATAACAGATTCTTGGTTTGAGCAATAAAACTAAATGTGAGCAAGCTGTTCCACTCAAAAGGCAATAATATTCTCGGTGAATGTAAGCCCGGCTGATGAAGCACGGTTCGAATCCTGGGGCGTATTATTGATTTAGCCGAGGCAGGATTTAGGTACAGATAACTAAATATTTGTTATAAGTATATGCACTTATTTAAGTGTATTATTTAAATATTTTTACTATAATATTTAATTTATTTATTTACTTCAACTTCTAATTAGCCACTTTCATTTATCTAAATCCAATTTTAATGAGTCTTAATTTTTTGAAAATTTGTAGAAATGGCATCTCAAGCAATATTCAACTTGCCTGTGTTATTCAACGAATTTGGCTGCTCGTTTCAAACATATGCCATGGGCTGCTAGCTGGTCTAGCCTTGGCCCATCTGCTCTTCGTGCTGAGCAGCCATCCCACGGATTGGGCAAAGGTCATCAATAGCATGAGTCTTGCGGGCGAGACGACGGCAACAACAGCAGCATCGGCAAACGCAGCCACAACCACCCAAATGCCAAGCTTGGGCATAGAACTGAGCAATGCTGCGAGGGGAGCGGACTCTGGAGCGGGCACAACTACAACTACGACGACGACGACGACGACGACGCCGACAACGGCAGCGGCGACAAATGGAGAAGCCCTGGCACTGATCAGCGATTATGCCGGATTTGCGGATATATATCTAAATACCTTTTACTGCTTGGCCATTATTTGTCTGGTTTCGGTGTTCGATCGGTAAGTGAAAGTGTGATAAGTATGTTTGGCATCTTAACAGTGGGCACAATTAGTTTGTTTACGAGTCCTTCGCTAAATATAGAAATTGAAAGTCAAACTCATGTACTTGAAGTACTCGCTGCGGTGTGCGTGCTAACAAAGTGTTTCTGTTTAGGTGCCCCAAGAACACATTGACCTCAAAGCAAACCGACTGCCCAAGGTGGAAACCCTTAAAGCGACCCGCACATTTCATTGAAAAACAACACACACACACACAAACAGGCAGACCTGCTGTCAAGAACATATGAATAGTAGGCAGCCAGTAAATTCTGGGCAACACAATGCCCAAGTGTGTCGCGTGGGCGTGCGTTGTGTGCGTCAATATTGCCACTTGGCGGCGCTGAAAAGTATGCTATACTTAATTTTGAATTGCAAATTTCAAGAGCTGCTCGGCTTTGTTTGGCTTCGTGGCTGTTGTCAGTTGTCGGTTATTGTTGCGATAATGTTGCGTGGCCAATTTCATCATCTACAGAAACATATATTTTTTAATGCCCTTAAACTTTGCTCTTTTGCCCACACACAGCCTGCGCTGACTGCGCTGCTCGCTTTGCTGCACTCTTGACCTTTAAAGCCAGCGACTGTTGGTGTTGGTGTGTGCTTGTGGGTGAATTTTCGGGTCGTTTTGGCACTGAAAGTGTCTGCTGTTCAGTTCTCGGTTTACTGTTTTTGGCCATTGCCATGGGACACTCCACTTTCCCACTTTCACACTTTCCTATGCTCGAGCGGCAGCAGTGAAAGTGCAAAAAGTCAGTCTGACATTTCGCCTCGTTATCCTGTGCTGCTCTGTGATTTATGTGATGCTGCCGCTTTTTTATTCGTTTCCTTCTAAATGTCATTGGTGTATAGCTTCGTTTGTACGTGGGCATCATAAGTAACATTTGACCTTTGATATCTTTGTGTAATCTACATATGTACATACCGCAAGGAAATAATACTGTTTGCCATTTCACTCAAGATATTAATTTAATTAGTATAAATGTCAGAATACTTGGCAGAAGTGCGAGCAATAAAAGCAATGTGGGTTAAGTTCACAGCGCAGCGAATCAAGATTTCAGATTTCAAATAAATTGATAGCCGCAATTAGATATACGATTAAATATACATGAATTTATAATTGATTGTGTTTTCTTTTCATTTGCAGCATGGACGTTTGTCGCTGGAGCTTCTCGAATGCCAGCGAATTAATATCTTTTCGCTGGCTTATCATCACAATGCTCTATATTGCAACAATAATCCTAACCATATGCTCGGATTCCATTGACGAGAAACTCTATCTGATCAATAACAATGCAAATATAACGCTAACACAACAAGAGTTGGTAAGCCACAAAATCCCCTCCAGATGTCCTTACACTAATCTGTATTGATCCTTAATAGCTAAGCAACAGTGTGCAGAGTGTTTGGAGTAGTCTCTCGGTGACGCGCAGCATTGCTGCGATATCGGGCTGGATTATGATCGGACTGACGCCCCAGGAGGATATGCTGTATGAGCATCTGGTTGATCTAACCAAATATCAATTGACAAATAATTGAATTTAAGTACGAAACCAACAAAAATTAAACTATTGTATATATTAATATATAATATATACAGTATGTGTAGTGGAAATCTTTAACTAACTAGTTGCAGTTGTTTAGTAATTGGCTTTTTATATTGTTTATAATCGAATATCGACTATTTAAAAACAATAATGCATAGAGATTGTATATCTAAAATGAGAAAACGAAAGAGAAAAGAACTTAAGCTTTAAAAAATGTGAATATTAAACATCTGCAATTGCAATTGCGATTGCAATTGCGATGATGCCCTTCACTGGCCGCTAGAACAAAAGTTTAGTATGTTAAGAATACTCAAGTTGGTAGAAACGATAGACACCACATAACTTATATGAAATACATATGTGTATATAAAGAGCTAGATATATATGTGCTTATGCATACTTATACGGATTATATAGATATGCGTATGCATACATTTTAATATTTTAAGCAAACATATCGACTTTAGTGAAGATATTTATTAAATATATATAAACGTTGTCATCGTTGTGGCAGTTTAACAAAAGGCTTCTTAGTTGTACATTCAATTGAAAACTACAGTAGGTATCGGTTATATGCAACAGAAAGCAATAAAAACTAGCAAATGGTTGAGCGGGTTTTTGTATTTGTACAGTTCTCTTTATAATTTGCAAATGTGAAACATAGTATAATACAAATTTGAACTGTTTACCATATTTCACATTATAATCAAATCAAAAACTATGCGCCTTTTGTTAACACTTTCCGAAAATGTAAATTAATGGAATTCACGTTAATATCTCAAAAGTATGTACATATTTTCCTATAAGTTAAATCCTATATATTCTTCATAAATGTACTTAGTTCCGATAATAGCGATATCCACTGTAGTAAATCAGATTTGACAAATGCAAAGAAATTTGTAAGGCGTTAATTACATGCATAATACTTATGTATATAGTATAAGTATACACATATATATATATATATGCGACATAAAAACGAATTGTATAAAAGCGCATAAATTATTTATTCATTATATAAAATATTGAATTGCGTTAAAGAACAAATACTTCTCTGTTGATATTCGGTTGTTTAATTTTATCAAAAGCAACACAGTTTGCGCTCTTCTTTTTTGTTGTTGTGCAATACAAAAATTGAATATAATGTGAAACAATTATTATATACCTAAACATATGAATATAGAGAAAGGAAATGATATTGGACAAACGAGCTAATGAAACAAGCAGAGCAAACGACAACCCAGGCAAAACAAATATATATATATATATTGTAAATTGTATATAAAATATAAATGCAAATAAAAAAATTGTAAAAACAGCAACCAAGGGCAAATGTTGATATTTTTGCAGAGCAACAGTTTTCTTGCTAAGCGAAAAACAAGCGATTTATAGAGTTCTAGAGTTCCAGTCAGGTAATATTAGAAAGAACAGAATTGCAAAGATATATTTTAAAATATGGAAGTACATATGAGATGAAAAGCTGTTCAAAAGAAAGTTCACTTAGAGTTCTAGAAGTCAAGTAAAGTTAGAAATTAATTTCTCAATATTCTGGGCAGATATGCAATATAAGTGTATGGAAGTATGGTATGGCATTGTATTTAGAAAGTTGACCTTTATCAATAGGATTACTATTTTGATATTTAAATTAAGTTAAACAATCAGAAGACTCTCTGCTCACCCTCTTCCCCCTAGCCTATGGAGCGCAGTTAGACGAATTTGCTTCAAAGTTTTAGATATTGTTCTCTGGTACTTTTTGTCGAATCGCGACTTAAATTTAAGTTTATCTCAACTCCTTTTCGAATATTAAGTGACAGTTATGAAACTAGTTTAATCTTTTTACTAAGTAAAACATTTACTCCCGCCCTCCTTTGTTCTCCCCTCCCTCTGCATTCTAGCTGCTATGACTTCCTATTGTACTCTGTACTTTACGGAAATTGCAATCCTTGGTTGTTTTTGTTCGTTTGAGAAATAAACAAAGCTGAGCAGCGTATTCTAAATACAAATTATTTGATTAGGGACCGTAAAAGTGACATTTTATTATGCCCTAAAGCAAAAATTTACCAGGTCAACACAATAAAGAGCAAAATCTAATATCAAAATTGGCAATTAAGCAGCATACTTTCAGCCGCGATACGATTAATAAAACGCTTGAGTACGTGTCGGATCTTAACGCTCAGCCCATGCCAATCGCCCATTGTCCTCGGCATCGTAAACAGTTTTAATGAGGCGCTAAATGGCTAAAAAAACAAAGCTCTCAAAGTGAGACTTTTCAGGCTGTGTAGCACAGTGTAGAGATCGTGTGTTTTCCAATTTAAATAATAAACTTTGTACGTAAATTAATTTCGAAATAATCGAATTTTTTCTTTTGCTTTAAGCACACGAGGCGTATGCGCAACCTTTTGATGTGTAAATGCAGCACAACAAATACTAATTAACAGAAAATTGTGTTGCAAATCTAATATTTTGTGTAACATGTCGGCCAAGTGGCATTTATAAAATTTACATAAATGATTTTTAAGCAGTTTTTTGCTGGCCCATCATTTTTTTTTAACACATTTCTCTTGTGTTGCCATAGCAAAAGTTGTGTCGAGGCAAAACTTTTTGCTTGTTAGCCAAAACGAGCGTATAAATTATATAAAATGCATAAATCTGCATAAAAAGCGAGCAGGTGGACGTTGGCCAGGACTGTAAGCCGTATTATATATATCAAAGTGCTTTTTTTTCTGTTTTGGCCAAAAGCTGCTTCAGGCAAAGTTTCTTTTAAGTCTATCTAGTTAATATGTTAATGATGTTCAATCTAGACAATACACTTGTAAGTGCATAGCAACTAAGTGCTAAGAATCATCACTTATATTTGCAAGGCAGGCTGAGCCCAGAGGGGGCAGAGAGCGGGAGGGAGAACTTGAGCGGGAGCTGTAGCTGGGAGTTGGGCTGCGGTTTGGCTTGCGGCTGGCGAGGTAAACGCATTATCATCATTAAGCACTTGCTGTAATTATGGCGCTAATTGAATTTCTAAATGTATATAATGAGTCAACAAAAGCAACTACAGTTGAGCAGCAGAAATGATGCTCTTCAGGCAACTAACTTATTGTGTCCTATTCATACCACAATAAAATAAATCTAAATAAATATCATACTATTTATAAAGCGTTAATATGAAAGATTAAAGCATAATCTAATATATCTATGCTGATTTAATTAAAATAATCAACATAATTGATACGTAATCTATGACCGATTGCTTGTGTATTAAGAGCATAATAAGGCTCGAAATTGCCAAGTTTGGTCAAGATAAATATCTTCAAATTCAAAATAGTAGTTAATACAGATCGACCTGAAATTCCATCAACAAAGTCTACAAATTGGGTGGAAGAATTGCACAAAAACAGACAAATAGTTGAACAAAGCTATATAAGCTCAGATGCTGATACTGATTAGGAATATATAGGTTTAGGGTTAAATATGGTATATATATATATTTGATCACATGATAAGATTCTAAAACTATCAGAAATATACTATGATCACGGATTTCAGCACAAACCATGATTTTATAGATGTTTTGAATGTCAATATATTCAAATAGACGATAGAAGGCATCTTGAAGAAAATATAAGATTTTTGTGGAATAAAATTCAAATATGATCGAATTTCGATTAGACTTAGGAATTTAAAATAGATAGGCGAATTATCGCAATAAGCCTTACAGCTACCATGTGCTAAAAATATATCCGATGCCGTATTAAAGCTTTCTTTTATCAGGAAAGAATTCATTTTTTTAATTTGCAATTTTTAAACGATTCTGGTTAATATTTTTATTGGGCTTTCTGTTTACTTTAAGTAACATAAAGCACTAAATGTGTCATATAATTGTGGCCGGAAAGGGAAACTCAGCACGATGAATTAGGCTGTAGCCGTAACCAAAAACAAGAGAGTCTTTTGTTAATTAGGTTAAACACACACGTGTCACAAATTGCCGCTGTTATGAGTGTGTGTGTGTGTGTGTGTGTGTGTGTGTGTGTGTGTGTGCGTGTGTGTGTGTGTGTGCGGACTCGAGATAAAACGCTGTGAAAATTAGGTGAGAAATTGAAATAAAACAAGCAGCGGCTGTTGGATGAATAAAAACGTCACGTAATTTGCACATTTAGCCACATGACAGCGAGAAAAAAATTACGCAGCATAACAATACACACACGAGGAAAAACACACACAACAAATGTGTGTCTGTGTGTGTGTGAGTGTGCAATGTCTAAATTACAATTACATAGCCAGGCAGAGAGGCAGAGGCAAGGCAGCGAGGGAGCGAGGGTGCGAGGGAGCGAGGCACTCAAGCCAGGAACTGTCAACGCTTGGCTTGTGTTTTGCTTGTGGCCGGACATACGAACATATGGCGGAATAATTATCCTGTTGCTTGCGCCGCAGTCACATGCAGCTCGGTTTTCATTTACCCTCAGTGTCCTACTTCAGGCTGATGTTTATCGATGTGCTTATGAAGCTAGCAGCCATAAGATGATGAGTTCTTCAATTCGCAGTTGGCCATGGCGCAAATCCAGAGTTGATTAAATAATGAAAACGATGCAGCACACATAAATATATATATTTAAAGCCGACCTAAGTTATGCCAGGGACAAAGGATTTGAATTGGAAGACGAGTTTTTAATTCAATATTCCATTAAAGCACATTTACAATTAAATGTGTGAAGCTTTTCCTAAAATTTCCCTTTTTATGTTGATTTTTAAATTATACTTGCTTCATTTATTTGTCTATTAACTTTAAAAGGAGATCTTTTTTTTTTAATAGCATATTAATTAACTTTCTTTCTAGCATATATTCCCAATTTACATACACTGCATTTTAAAGAAGAAAAACTTGTTGAATAAAAGTTAAATTATTCTCGTTTCTTTTTGCGTATCAAAATAAAAGAATCATGAGTAAAACAAAAGTGTAGTCAGAAGCTTTGAAATACATATTTCACACATAAATATATACATCATATATATTCTCATTTTGCTGTAGAGTATACAAGTGTGTGCGTGTGCGTTTGTGCCCTGGCAACATCCAAAATACTTGCGGCCTGGAACTTTTAATTAAGCAAGGAGTTTGCCGAGCAAAACGAGTAGCGCCCCGAGTGCGGACAAAATGAACAAATAAGCGTATAAATAATGGCGTAACGGCAGGCACACAATGCCATATTGAGGCTGCAGGAAGCAATGGGGGCCACAGAGTGAGCGAGAAATATGAGCAGCAACTGCGACGACGACGACAATGGCCACATTGGCGACTCAGACCTTTGCATGGAGCTGCTGTCCATCGATGTTGGCATTCAAAGCCTGAGTGCGTCAAAATGGCTAGCTTCGAGTTACACTGGCCTTAAAATTCCAGTTCTGGCCATTGTGTTTGCTGGTCAAATATGACACTTGCTTAGCCAAACACACACACACCCTCGCACACACTTGCACAACTTGCAAGCGCTGGCGCCATAGACACACGCGTCGTATACGTAATATCGACAGGCAGTAAGTAGCAGCCACAACGGTCATTAGCCCAGTTGTGGCATAAATACCTGTGATAATATACAGCAGAAGACGAGTCGTTGCCATCAAACCATTTATGGGCTGAATGCTGGTTCATTGGTTGAACGCGATAAGCAGGCGCTTTATTGTTTATGTTGGCCAAGGAATTTACGAGCCAGAGCCATAAATATGAAAGGGACTTGCTGGCCAAAAGTGGACGCAAAGTGCAAATGTTTTCCTTTGTTGCAAAAATACAAAGAACAAAACTGCGGGCTCTCTGGGAAAGAAAAAAAAAAACATAAACCCGTGCCAAGAAAAGTGCAAAATGGGTTGGCTAAGAGGGCGAAAGTTATTGTTGCTCTGGGATTATAAAGAAGCGGCACTTAGTTAACTGTCGTTTCTGTTCCTAAAGAGTTGCTACTGCATGCAACAAAAACACTTTATATATATATCTTATAAGAAATCGAGTTGTTGCACTTGACGCTCAACAAGAATCATTTTATCCAACAGCCAAGTGTTGTAATAAATATGCTCATATACATTTTCAATGCATTGGATTTTTTTGCCTGTCAAGCCAAGATATTTAGAGGCAATAGTTAAAATAAAATATATTACATTTTCTGACGTTTAATTTGCCAGTTCTATTGCCAGTGAAAGTGGGCCAAGAAAAGGGTATTAGACAGTTGAGCAACAGTCATATTGCCGGAGGTATCTGCTGATCATCTAAAGTATTCCAAATAATACTCTAGATGCATGTCAAAAGTCACAATTAGCTAGATCTAGGTCATGTCC